ATTTTGAGGGGAGGTGTTCAACATTTCCAAGTCACTCATGTTAGGTGTTCCCAAGTTGACAGGCCTGAATCATGCCATCATAACATAACATACATAGGACTATACATGTAGCAAGGCATAACTGTAGGAAAATGACTAATGACTAATGAATATCATTAATATTTCCCTGACATATACTACTGTGTGATAACAGTACACTAACTTTTTACTACAGGGTGGGCCAAAAAACCACCCCTAGCCAATATTCCTGATAAATATCTATTTCTTAACAAACACACCAACAATGATATATCGTATTCCAAGATACACTCCACTTACCTTTTGGAACGACTTTAGATTGTTTACTTTTATTACGTTTCATTTTCCAGAATACTTTACGAAAGAGATTTGACACGTTCGCTCCTCTAAAGTGTAGAACTTTGTAAATTATATAATTTGAATCTTTAATTCTTAAAGTCACAGCGGACAAAACATTTCAACATTTTTATAGAAAAAATTAAAAAATACCCAATACATCAAGATCTCATTAAAACCGTCGGAGTTATGCTGAAACATATTATGTAATTAATATCGTGTCACTATATTGTACCATTAAAAAGAAATAAATGAAATGGTACATTTTGGAGTATGATACTCAGGCCCCGTTTTCAATAGCTTTTACTCTTAGCGTTTTTGGACTTCAAGCAGAGATTAAAGTTACTCGCAAATGATATATCCATTGCATGGAGTAGGTAATTTTCTTTGATATAGCGAAACATATGAGTAAAAAAATAAATTGTGTGGATTTCCTAGTGTTTCTATCCAAAATAGCATGCTCCGTCACAGCGGACAAATTTTTCGATACCAGCCTGTGATCTAGAGGTATAACCAATCATGTGACATGGGGGTCAAAAAACACCTTCTCAATTTTCATCGATTTTGCGTACAATTCATTGTGTCACAGGGGTAAACATGTTCCATATTTTAATTCTTTAACTTATATTTTTTATTTTGTGACCATCATATTCAATATTTCTTTGCATCCCATCTTCAATTTTTTTCGTATTTTCCCATACTAGTATCTTTACTGGCAGAATCATAATTGGAAAATATTGGAAATCATTGTTCAGAACAATTTTATAATATAAAATAAACACTGACATATAAATATGTCATCACCATAAGTACTACTGTATTTAAAGAACTGATTTTCAAAATCATCTACAGATTCTCGGAAGTTCAAAAACCGGCCGGACGTCAGATTTGAGATTTGACCTTCCCAATGTTCATAAAGGTCAAAGAGGTTTTTTTCAGACCATTTTTCAAAATTATCTACACGATTTTAGAAGCTCAAATCTGACTTTAGATTTGAGGTTTGACCTTCAATGACCCTGTAAAGTAAAAAAGGTCAATGAGGTATTTTTCAAATTGACCATTTCTTACAAATGATTAGATTATAGGGTCAATCTATTATGAAGGAGACTATTTTCGAGCTTATACTGATGCACATTTTGGGTCAACTCCTGTAGTTGCCATCCGGACAAACGAGGCAGGAAACAAAAGTATAGCATAGTCAATATTGTTACACGAAAAGCTTCTCGAACAAATACAGGCATTTATAATTATATGCTCAGGTCAGAGTGATATATCTAGGCTTATGCAAGAAGTATTAATATATCAAGCCCTGTCATATTATCAATTATTGTTGAACAAATGCAAATATTTAGACGGCCACAATAAAATGAATTTGATTTACATTGCAATTGATTCTCGTCTGTACGTCATGTTCACGGTAGGATATACGCCCCGCACTTTACTGAAGTACCACCTTGCTTATTTCCGATAGTATTGAATGTTGACAATTGATAATTATTGACATGTTTGAAATAATTATAAAAAACACATTATGTAATGCATAAAAAGGTGTATAATTAAGGCTTTGAGAAATTTGAAGATCTAGTCTCTATTTGAAACTGAATTTCCACCTTCACGGCGCGGTATCCAAATTGCGTGCACACCATGCACGCAGTTTGAAACACTGCGCGCATATTTAAAAATGGCAGATGGGGAGGACACGATTCTCGTGTAAGGATGAAAAGTACTGGAAATACAAGGTTAGTTTTGTTTATCAGACAGTAAGGCTTATCATTATGCGGAGACTAACTTACTTTACAAGCACACACTACCCAACCTCGATCGCACATGCTGGCTTTCAACCAGGTCGCTTTTGAGTATATCGACTGCTTAGTCAAAAGGTTAATACGTTTGGTGCTCGGAGTGAGTCAATATTGTTATTCGGTGAACTGAGAATTATCGAACAAATCAGTGTGTAAAGTTAAATAAAATCCCTGGGTGACCTTACGATGCCACCGGGAGTCGTAAGATAATCGTGCGATGACCGTACGGGACACGGCCGGGTAGGTACCGATAAGTGTGTTGAGACACATCGGCAACTTTTATCTCCGCGATAAAACTCTGCCGGCGCCCGGGCGATGTCTAAAAATCGGCCAATGGTGCTCGATCATCGCCCGGCGCCCGTACGATGCCCGGGCTCGCCGGCCGATTTTGAACAAAATACTCATCGACCGGGTGCCGTAGTGAAAATCGGAGCCTATGTCACCAAGGCATTAAAATGACGTTTGAAAACACAGACTCCAATTTGTATGGTATGATCATATGATGTAATGTTTATGCGCGCAGTTTGTTAGTGTTTCAAACTGCGTGCATATAGTATTCACGCAGAGTGGATACCGCGCCGTGAAATTAAAAGAAGAAATATTTATGTGTATGATTCTAAGAGTTCATTATGTTTTATTTAAAGCCGACTAATGCTCCGATCCATCGGCCGGCGCCCGGCCGATTGAGTGTTTTGTTCAATATTGTATTCAATTTTGAACAAAATACTCAATCGGCCGGGCACCGTAATGGTAATCGGAGCAAATGTGACCAAGGCATTAGGAAGCAACACAATACATGTTTATAATTGTTTTTGAAGAATGGACACTTGGCAAGCTATCAAAAATTAAATCTGTGTGGCTCGTTTTTTGGTGTTGCTCACTGTTTAGTATAAAAGGCGCGATCCCGGAATAATACTCAAGGGTACACAGGTTTGATGTCACATTTGCTCCGATTTTTACCACGGCGCCCGGCTGATTGAGTATTTTGTTCAAAATTGAATACATTATTGAACAAAACACTCAATCGGCCGGGCGCCGGCCAATGGATCGGGGCAAACGTGACCCAGGCATAAAAACCTCTGCCTGTTTATCACTGTTCCACAACAAGTTACTTTGACGGAACGTCAAAGTAACAAGATGGCTCAACTTCCGGTGTTCACGATTTTTGTTTTCTCGATTTAGCCAAAGTAACTTGTTATGGAACAGTGTTTATATAGCAATAGCATAGTATAGCTCGTCACGCATTTATAAAAGGGAGATTTTCTTTTGACAAATCAATTTCACATTTCATGGGTGAAGTTTCGGATCTTTTTGTGTATGATAGAAAAATTGACATCTTAATTTATCCATCACGTATTAGCACACAGCATGACTTATGAAATGTCCTACAAATGAAGCAAAGCAGTTTAGATGAATGCAAAGATTTATATTGACTGGTGTACATGTATCCTTTGGATAATTCACTCTCCCGATGTTGACAGGATCAAGACGATTTCAATGAGTTGCACTTTACAAGACTCTTTGTTTCTTAAAAATGGACTAATCAAGTTGACTCACCCATAGCCACCATATTCACGCAAGGTGATCGCACAAAGGGGATGGGGGATTAGGCGCCATTTTTTTAAAAACGCATGGAAACTAACTTTAAAAAGTGAGCAATGTCATTAGTATTTTGGTAATAACGTCCCTTAGGCTTATACCTATTTATTACAGGTCGTGTAGACCATTGTTGCCCGATTTATAGCAAAAACATTGACTTTTGCACATTAGTGATGATACGCCTTTTTATTAGATCTCATATCTTAGAAGGGTATCAGTTAAAAAAATACTAGATGACCTAACATATTTTGCCATGCGCTGCGCCTCTTCATTTTGGCAATTCAGATGTAAATTTTCTCTTGAAAAAATAAATCTTCCAAATTTGTTGAGTTTTCTTGCAGAAATCGCCTAATCCCCTCTCCATCCCTTTTGTACGATCACCGGGCGTGATATTGTTTTTGCACGGTAAACTTAACGTAACTCTTAAAAAAATTGTTGTTTTTAGTTACTGTGCAGTCTTTAATATAAAACATTTGATTAATTTGCTACCTACAGTATTGATATAACCTTACTTACAAAATTCTTCTCCATCCACGTCCAATGTTTAAACTTGGACGGACTGCCACATCCTGGGCGCCACATACAGTGTAGTGAAACTGAATTACTCACCTGACAGTTTGATATGAAATACAAATGAAATTAAACTTTACACTGTACCTGGCCCTTTTACATGCAGTGGACTGACGCTGAACTACCACACTCACTCATTTACATGTATCAACTCACATGTATCAATTAACATGTATCAACTCACATGTATCATTTAACATGTATCAACTCAATAGCCAATACTAAAGAAATCAAAAGTTCCAGACTTGAACATGAATCATACCTTTCATAAGAGTCAGTGTGGGGTTTACGTTTACGTTAGATAAACAATTTGTCCTGGGCATTAGGGATGAATGGCCAAGGGCCGACAGGCCTCAGGCCAACTACATATTTCGACGTTTAGACTCCGATATTGTTGATCTTAAAGTGCTTTCTGGTATTTTGTTCCCAGGTTGGTCTTTGTGTTCTCAGATATTATGTTGCTTTTCTGTTTTGTGATATGTTGTGCTATTGCAATTATCTTTCTGAATAAATACATATTTGATCAACAGAGGCTATCCATCTTATACACTCGATTATTGAGAATATTGACAGATCCAGATATTCAGCATGTTAGAAATGGTCTTCTTTCGATTACAAAAAGATCACTCATATGAAGTCAAATGACCTGAACACCTTAAAAAGTGAAAATAGAAAAATGATTATTTAAACAACTCGCAGTTTGTTGCTGTGGCTTTATAAATCACCGTGAAATAGTGGAATCCCATTTGTACCGTTATGTTGATGTTAAGTTATCGATGATGATAGGATGATTCAATGCGCCGTCGCACATTATAGAAACATTACCACTTCAAGATTAGAACATTAAGAAACTATTAAACATCGAGCAAAATGTTCAATAGCAAAAGGACAGTAAGGCGCTTAGGGCTTCTAGTGATTTCGATAATTGGAGTTATAATGGTACTGGACTTCATTTTACAGGTATTACTTCCCTTAACTTCCAAACTTGTTGGAATTTTAGAAGTAATTGATATAATCACGACATTGATATAATTGCAAGCGAATTGGCAAGCGTGTCAATTTGATATTATTAGAGCTGTTTTCTAAATTGTAGAAGCTTGCGTATTTAAATTGGTTATAACCATATTTTCTAATTTTCAAGAGGAAAGAAATTAGTAAACGTTAAATTTTGAGTGTAGAATCTTTTAGACTGTGGTCTAGCTGAAGTCCTAGTATTTTCTGATGTTCAATTTCGGTAGTACGACCGATATTCAATTATATAGTGGTATTATTTCGTAAAATAACAAAAAGAAGTGTAAACCCAAGAAGTAAATCCATTGTTGCAGTAGTATGATAATAGAACGTACATTGTATGGTCTCCCCATACAGGGATTATCGTTCCCTTCCTATTGGACTCTGGGATTGATCATCATCTCGTATTTAGGACAATAGTTAAAGTTAGGTCACTGCATTCTTCTACTCTGTTCCTTGACATAATATCAATATCATTATTAGTATTTAATCGCTATAGTTTAGGTGTGCAGTTTTAATTACACCGGACAGCCAGAATGAAAAACACATGGCCATCTTTTCTCGAATCGTATTACAATTATTGACTTATTGTGAAGCTTAGAAAATGTCTAACGATTAGTTTTTCCTAATTTTCCTTATTTATTTTAGACGCAATTCAAACATTGGACTTCTTATTTAATTTCAGAGTATTTTTTAGGGCAAACGAACCCCACAGTACATCCATCGTTCAATATTATTGAATTACCTACTACTGTTAATTAATTGAAGAAATTTCTGACAAGGGCCTTTATAAATATATATATTGAAAGAAACGATGTATTTAAAATAACCATAATAAATTATATTCATGATCAAGTGTTTGTTCAGAAAACGCTCAAAGACAAATTCAATTGCTAAAGCAAAATACTCAACGATGAAATCATCAGTGATCAGTTTAATTATCGGTTTTATTAGTTTCACTAGAATCGAAAATCTCGTGTCCGGGGATTGGGAAGAAAAATTGTCAACTCTGGCAAGCACGGAAGGGGGGGGGGGGGGGGGTATAAAATATATCCAGCTTCTCAGATTGATTCATTTTTTCCAGAGGTGTTATATTATCTAACCCAAACTTATCCAAGTATGATATGCATTCTCAATTTGATTGATTTTAGAAAAAAGAATTGAGACACGTTGCAAGATCTGACCAAGCATTGAGTTCTCGTTCCCTTGAAGACCAGGAAAGAAACCATACAAAGGAACCTGCGTTGATGATCAATGAAATGAAAAAAATCGTATCAGAAACAGAGGATAACGATACAAGCGGGCGTATCAATGAACAACTGATGCATGAAAGGACAGAACACGTGAGAAATAAATGTAAATATCTTGGATTAGGCAATGCTAATGCTTTACCACCGATGTCCGATTATATAGTGGTAGATGAGAAGTTCAAGGTCGTTTACTGCATGGTACCAAAAATAGCTTCGACAAGTTGGACCAAACTTTTCCTTTCTCAGCACTTAACAACACCATACCAGAACATAACATGGCAAACCTGGCACAAGACTTGGAGGAAATACATGAAAGAACTTCACAGATACCCGATGAATGAAAGAATAAAGATATTACAGAGCTATACAAAGTTTATGTTTGTGAGAGATCCACTTGATCGGATAGTTTCAGCGTTCAAAAATAAATTCACATTTAAAGGCAAAAGCAACCAAAAAGAATATGAATGGTATGGTAAAGCATATGGGAAAGCGATAGTAAAGAAATACCGGAAAAATCCAACGTTACGTTCTTTACAAGATGGATTAGGGATTACATTTGAAGAGTTTATTCAATACATAACAAATGATGCACCACATAAGGATGAACACTGGAAATCAGTATACTTACTTTGTCATCCGTGTGATATCAACTATGACTACATCGGAAATTTTTATGACGCAACCAATGAAAGTAATTTTATTCTCAATAGAATCCACTTAGAAACAATAAAATTCCCCAGCGAAAATGTTTTAACTAAAAATGGAGGATTCGGAGTCAATGGCACTAAGCTAAAATATGCATATCAGAAAATACCTAAATCGACTTTATCAAAATTGGAATATCTTTATGAAAAAGACTATGCATTATTTAGTGAGGACTTTCATTTTAAAAAAGTTACTGGTTTATTGTAGTAGCCATCTTAAAATATTTCATTAAGAAAGCATCAAAGACAAAAATCAATTCTCCAAGAGATCGAATCATTCCGTATTGGCCACCTTTGTTCAAGCATCGTCATACCTTTCAGTTTAATGTTGAAAAAATATATTGTAACACTGCTGATATAACACTGACTTTCAAGTGGAAATATTGGTTTACAAATTGTAAATGATGCTTGCATTTTTGTCACCCTACAACTCGAATTCTAATTGTATCTTTGTAGTAAACATAATTATGTTTTAAGAATTCAAGTCCAGGGCTCAATGAATTGTAGGATTATTCAAATACAAATGTCTTGTTTCCAGACTTTGAATGAGTCCTGCAGCATGGAATCAAAATCTAGGATACAAAACAATGGATTGAACCATCCACAATTCATTGAATCATGTTCTTAAAATCTTATCACACAATGGAAACGATTTTGTACAGGGTCACTCAAACTGAAAGGATTGAATCTACATCAGACAGTAATAGAGAATGTTTTATTGTCATATATGGAATTACATGTGCGTTCCAAATCAGGTTTCTCGAAACACAAAACCTAAGTGCCATTGCCTTGTCATATATAAGGCTCTGGATATTAGGTTCAGATATACAGTTTTTACTGTGAGGATCTCAAAAGTAGCTGTGATTGGTCTTAATTAATTTGAATATCTAATGAAATACCTAGACTTTGTGATTATATTACAGGCTTGAAGATGATAATAGTTCTGAACAAAAGATAAGATGTTATTTGAGGATAGGTGTTGATCGTGAACATGAATAAACCATGTGTCGATGTTTGCAGATGATACTTTTCACTCATTTGCTAAATCGAAAAGTAAATTGAGAGACATTTTTTCTTTTTAAGTGTTGTATTGCCAAAATAATCATATAAGGAGGATAATGAGCCTATGGTTTTCGAAATGCATAAAATAATACTCAGGTGCATTGAAAAGTACCCCTTTAAATACCCAATACTGTACATGTAGTGACCAAATATTTGCCAGTTTGATGAAATACTCGATTAATAGTTTTCAATTTTGACCAAACGTTTCAATTTTTTTTACCAAACATTTGTCAATGTTTACATTACTTCAGACAGATTTTGATCCAAATTCTTTATCAAATATTTGCTAATTTGTCAATGTCGAGCAAAAATGTCATTAATTAAATGTCAAAGAATCTTTCTAATTTGAAATAACTAAAGAATAAACTTAAAATATCATTATTTTGAACAGGATTCATTTCCTAACATTTCTGATCAAATATTGTCAATATAAGTCAGTCAATTGTGAATCCCAACGACAAAATTCCTTGCAAGGACGATACATTAAACATTTTTGATATTTACCTAGGAGTATTCAATTTAACCAAGTTACAAATCCTAAAAATGTATTTATTGATTCTTCTCTCAGATGAGATCATAACAATTAATCCACATGATCCAAAAACATGCAATAAACTCATTTAACATGATTTCGAATTATTTGACGTACACTGTATGTCTGGAAGTCAAAACTACGAATCCCTCTGCTACTGATCAAAAATCAAACTATTTATTTAAATTTGTAAAGGTCCTTGCCCTTATACTGTTATAGTAATGCGACTCAACAATACAACATGAAGCCGCCAAAGTCTTTCCAATATGTTTTGTGGCAATACCATTCTCTTACTTGCCGACTTCATTAAACTTCTATTCTGATGAAATGAGTATTTTGACTATACTGTTAAACCTGTGTAAAGTTTACGCCTCAAGAAGGAAAATGAAAACGCAGAATGAAATCCTGTGACAGAGGCTAGTGGGGAAAAGTCCTAAATGTCAGTCTATCCCAATGGGTATCGAACCAACGGCCCTTCGTTTTCCAGGCGAGTACTCTGTATAAATATGTATTTTGACAAAAAATGTTATTATAAATTTTCTGGAATGTCTTTAACTGTGTCTAGACAAACATTGTCGACATTCACCTTCAAAAAGGTATCAAAAGACCTTGGTAGGCACAAACACCGACACAAACAGTGTTAAAAGGATTTTGATACATCTTGATAAATGTTGGTTGGTATCCAAAAGTTTTAATTGCGGATTTTGAGATGTAGCATAGACTAAGCCAAGCATTGGGATGAATAAAACATTTTATAAGTATTTTGACAACTTGAAACATGACATTGGGATCAGTTTATTTGATGGGTATTTTAATGTCAAATGATTAATGTACACTTACTGTTTACATTCCATGTGATTAACCTCACTCAGGTAGCAACATAATAGAACGAACGAACGAAGGCATTTACATGCAAAATGTCACCCCCGTTTGTTACAGATGCCAACCACCAATCACCAACCGCTGTCAGAAAAAACAGAGACCATAACAATATGTCACCATTTAGGTGGTGACATAACAAAATGATGGATCATATCCTGACCGATGGGTGGATCCTGCTGTTTGGGCAGAATAATCTGCTCTCTTAATGACCCACAAAAATACAAATCAAACACTAATAAGAATTGTTTTAATCACTTTATAAATTACAAACTAAATACTACGGATGAACATTTAAACAATGGTGTCATTTCTCCCATTCCTTATACAGCCCATGATGTACATGCTGTATGGATATTATATCAAGGCAAGGAAAAAGTCTGGTTTCTAGTAACATGGAGCTTCCTAATACTTTCCACCTGCCAGACCCTTTTCAAACATTTTTGCAAAATATATGTTCCTATTAAATGTACGATTATCACAAAGGTTGAAAAGAAATATCATTTCCATTCTATCTGCATTTAAACATATTTTCAAAATGTCTCCAATTTATCATGTTTGAAACTAGTCTACTATTTTTACATGGCCTTAGGAAAACAAGGTACTACAGCAGTTTATTCTTTGGAATCACAGCAATCAGATAAATGGACAGTCAAATGAATCACTGAAATATTATGTTGAACATCAGAGCACCTTATTAGATAGGACTGAAGTGGAGTATGCCTATAATTCATTAATTTTCTGCCGTGTCTATATCGCCATCTTTATTGTTCTCTTGCTGTGACTGATCAGCTTCCTGTTTCCACTTTCGACGTCTTTGTGCCTTGATGTAAGACCTTGGATGTATAGGGAGGAAACCACTAAGACCTGCAAATAAAAACATAAACCTAGCGTGGACTGAATATGCTTGGTTAAGTTTCTATATGGAATCCCTCTGTTTTGACCAGGTTATGAAAATTAAAATACAGTCACCCCGAGTACAAAACAAGCTAAGCAATGAAATAGACTTTTATTCAACATATAAATAATGAAGGGTCATTAGCAGAATTCAAGTTGACTCTTAAACTGGGAGGGGGGGGGGGGCAGTAGGTATATAAAACATTAAGAATTTATTTTATCTGGAGTTTATGTAGTTTACCTAGCAACTCTGCTACAGGTTTAGAAGGCTCTGCTCCTTGTCCTATCCAATACCTAAGTCGCTCAAAGTTAAATGAAACTAACTTCTCATTCTGCTTATTTGGATATGGGTCATATGTTCCTAATTGTTCTATTGGTTCAGCTTGCCTGTCTGTCCTAACTGGCATTACAACTACATGGTAAAAGGGCCTGTTGGCACAGCCATGTAAGGCAAACCTGATTGCTAATCTTCTACCAGCTCCAGCCATATCTGTCAGACTTTCAAATTAAACTAATATCTAGTAAATTATGTTATAAAATTAATGTCATATGAATGAATACTGTTGATAGAGTAATGATTTTTTGATTGTTCAGTACTCTGGTTCGCTAATGCAATTATCCACTAATTCTTTAAGGTTAGGATTTTCCATAGCAGCTGCAACTCGTTCTTTGTCATTGATCTGTTTGTTTATTTCTGCAGCAGTTTCATGGGTTCCTTCTTTGATATTGATCCTGAGTTTATGTTTGAATGGAAGACACTGGTATAATTTCACTCTTATACAAAGGCCTATCAATGTTGCCAGGGAACAATGAGGAACGGTAGGCACAAACTCAATGTTTATTCCATAACTCTCATCATCTATTTTTTCGATGGTGATACCTTCTTCAAATACTACATTAAGATCTTCTAGGGTTTCTGGTTTCTCTGGATCTTTGATATCCTTTATTGTGTCATAGATTTGATAGATGATTTCCTGATCTATAGCTTCAGCTGCATTAGGAATGCTGGACATGCTAGGAAGTGCACCACTCTAATGTTGTCATCATCAAATGACTCAGCAACTGCAAAGAAAAAAGTGCAAGATACTGACTAAGCTAAAAATTATGACATAAATATCACACATCCTCCTAAGCAGGTATCCAGAATCCATAATTCCTTCTTCCCCCTGCTATAACCAATTTGGAAGTGCCCGATTAAACTGGATCACGTGATCTAATTATGCGCAATAACTTATACATGATTTCTGTCACAGTGTTGCGACAGCCAATCAGATTGCGAGTTCATAATCTGGGAAATGCTAACTGCTTATCGCAGGGTGTAAAAAGAAAGAATATATTCTGGATTTTGAAGCCCTGTGATCGGAGGATGATATCACAAGAAACAGAGAGACTGTGCAAAACTGCTGTCCCACCTGTAAGTGATGACATATTAAAAATAACACTGATTGGTGGTGACATAAAAACTAAATATAGTTACAAGGAATGCTTCACAATCCAATAAACATATCAAGGTGACCAAAGGAATAAAGGTTTTTGAGGTAGGTATGGCACCTCCAATGAACCATGTATGCAATAATATATGGGAAAGTATATTCATATTGTACATGAATGACATTTGCATATTTCAGATTATTTAGTTGTGCAATAAGCCTATGCCCTCTTGTAATTTAAAGAATTTCAGCCATATTAATCTTTTTGAAAATACTTTGACATTGACAGAGAAGCATCAAAATGGAGGCCACATACTTTATTAGCCAAACCTATAGAAGCAATCCAAGATATACAAATGTCATTTATGTACAATAGGAATATATTTTTCCATATATTATTACACAATGATCTTTTGATTTCTTAATGAAATGGGCTGCACTACCAAAAGTCAATGGTAAATTTCATATGTCGAAGAAAACCGGAGCTTGATATCTTACAAAACCACATTTTAGAGTGTGTTTATTCAGACAAATGTGTAAAATTAAAGGTCCATGAAGGTTCAAGACTCGAAATAAGCAGGTAAAGTATCACCCCTTGCAACTTTCTAGAAGAATTTAGCTGTGAAAAGATCGAAAATACTTACATCTTCAATCATTTAAACTTATCCCACCATTTGTTTACCATGTTGTGACTCAAAAGCAAGAAATTTAGACACGATTACGATAAAGAACCCCTCCTATTTCCATGTTAAAAATATGGGGTGACACCGTAATTGAAACAAAAGTCGTTTCTTCCTAGCACTGCGCATTGACCAATCAATGGATCGGAATCAATGGATCAAATCATCATATTCTTCCATAAATACTGCATATGTTTGATAAACGAATCACAATATTATCAGATGTAAGTCTAAGGTGTATTTGAAATATAAGACGACATTTATGCTTTGAATTATGACATTTGAGATCAAAAAATACAAATTAGGTTGAGGATAATTTTCCATTGACTTTTGGTAGACTAGTGAGCTGAAATTATTTTGAGGCTTTTGAAAAAAATGAAAAATTCAATCAAAAACTCATTTTATTTCCATTAAGCATCTATAATATGGTATGACACTACGATTTTCTTATAAATCCACATATACATTATGCAAGGAACGATATGTATAGATTATTTGAACCAGAATATAGACGATATAATGAAAAAACTTACACACTAATTTGAGATTTTCACATGGCTTGTGAACTACGTCATCAGTTCTTGGGTAGCTGGTGGTGTCTCATTTCGATTAGTGCATTTTATTCCAATTTCTGCTTGGCTCATTTAGCCATTTACTCTACAGATTTTCAATTATAGGATCACACCTAATCAAAATACTTAAAACATATAATTAAATTCTCAAAATAAGTACCTGCCTTTAATTTTGTTTCATTTATCTCAAATAATTTAATCATTAATCATAGACACCAACAAATCACCGGCAATGGCGACTTTGGAAGACAAGGCAATTTGGGAAGATGGGGACGTAAGTTTGTCCGTTGTATATATCTAACTAAGTTTACAAGCTATTTGACAGCTGCTAATATAATCTATGATTTCAACCATGTAAATATACTCGATAAACATGTTATAAGAAAAAATAATACAGTGAAAAAAACAGTCAAAAATTCGAAAAAATTCACTGAGTCACGTTCACTTCGATTTCAAATAATATAAATATGCTTTGAAATACATTCACGGCAATAGATAGAAGAGTTGTGCCGTTAAAAAGTCCCTCCAACTATCTGTGCACTAGTGAAAATCTTTTCCCTTGGTACACAGTTCACTGCCCCAGGATTCCTTGTTTACAGAGCGCAGAAGGTTACTCGAGTCTCTAGCTAAACTTGGGTAGAAGACCTAGCATGTGGACCACCGTGCACTAGTAAAACGATCATTCGGAGTAAAAATAAATTTATGTGTTATTTTAAAAATCGTAATGAGAATACTTCATCAAATAGAATTAGATCTAGGTAACGAATACTATCCTTTGTGAGATATTGCAAGCTTTCGTCTAATATTAAATCAACCGCTCCAAGAACATTTTTTGCTGCAACCCTCAATAGGGTCACATGTTATTTTTCAAATTTGAGTCTAATTTTGCATTTTTGTCACATTATTTGTGGTAAAACTCTTCAGAAAATACATTAAACTACACTGTAGATACAAACAAGGAATAGGAAGTCAAAAATCTTTCTGAAATGTATATTGTGGTTAGAATAGGAAGATAATCTTAAGTAGTATTTTGAAAATTATACTAATCTCTGATCTCATATGGGAGAGGAGTAGTCGCGATACCGCCAAAAAACCGGAGTCTAAAAATTTCCTTGCGAGAACCCTGGACTACAAATTTTGTTTCAGACAAATCAGAATTTGATGTCTGCTCAAATGTTCTGGTTCAAGATCTGACATTTATGATGCACACACCGACTCGATTACAGTGTTATCTCAGTTAAATCTTATCTTATGAACTGAGCTTAATACTGTCTATGACCTTTGTGTATTTTATGTATTATGCACCAAAATTAATTCTCCATTCACTATTTCAGGAATCGATGGGAGAGGAGGTGCTACGCATGGGAAATGATGAAATCATTGGGAGGACACGCTTACTAGACAATGAAATAAAGGTACATGATCAAAAATTGAATGGCTCATTGTCTACTGTTAAACATTGGAAATTCAGAGGCGCCATTAAGACCAGGCAATTTGGTTGTATTATAAAAATTACTTGTTACTTTTAGGAATATTCAACTATTCTTATTTTAAAATTTAGATAAAATTTAATTCTTGTTCCCTATGGTTTTCAATTTGTTCGCCTATTGTTTTTTTTCATTTGTTTGGATTACCAAAATTAGCTGTTGTTTTTAGGAATATTGCAACTGTAACTATTTTATAAATTTTTAATGCTTTTTGCCTATGGTTTTCATTCATTTTGACTGATTGTAATGTACTGTATTTGTTTAACATTAAATGGGTATAACTCAACACATACATCTCTTTTCCAGATTATGAAATCTGAAGTGATGCGAATCTCACATGAACTCCAAGCACAGAAAGAAAAGATAAAGGAAAATACTGAGAAAATAAAAGTCAACAAAACCCTGCCATATCTTGTATCAAATGTCATTGAGGTAAGAAAGAATTAATGAATAATCTATTTTACAATTTACTTTATAGTTCCATTCTCATATATTGCAAAAGTACCAATGCTGAGCTGACTACATATGTGTGGCTCAGCATATTTTAAAAAATGGCAGAAAGTCATAACATTGACACTGTTACTACCAAAAAGTGGTAACATTGTTATAATCATAATTTTTGTGATCTTTGTCGCAATATCTGTAACCGGTGGTTACACTTTTGTAGTTACAACAAAGTGGTGACATTAGATGAGTTTGGGTATATAGAAAGCTCTAAGAGATAATCCTAATCATAACATAGCAAGAATAGTGAATCCACATATTGCATATTACTGAATTTCAGCTGTTAGATGTTGACCCAGAAGATGCTGCGGAAGAAGAAGGTGCAAATGTTGACCTTGACTCCCAACGTAAAGGCAAATGTGCCGTCATCAAAACATCCACTCGACAGACTTACTTCCTGCCTGTTATTGGGCTGGTAGACCCTGAGAATCTGCACCCTGGGGACTTGGTTGGTGTCAATAAAGACTCGTATCTCATCTTAGAAAATCTTCCTGCTGAGTGAGTGAATTTACATAAAAATCCATATGGAAGCTTTATAGTCAATGAAGATGCGTGATAGATGCATGTCTATATAATCTTTTTTACCAGATACTCGACTTGACATATCCTCCATTCAATAGAAATATCATGGAAATGAGTTAACTGAGTGATTATAGTAACTTTTCACAATAAATCTGGGGATGGGATTGCAAGAGGGACCTAACTTAACAGTGAACATGTGTTGATTTGAATAAAAATCAAGGCAATTTTATTGTATCACATTGCTTACTTGCTCTGTGATATGAGTCTTGTGCAATTAAGTTTAAATGTAATACAAGTAATGTTATCTACTTTAAGGTTTGACTCGCGTGTGAAGGCAATGGAGGTAGATGAAAGACCAACAGAACAATACAGTGATATAGGGGGTCTAGATAAACAGATACAGGAGGTAAGTACATAGAATTGTGATTTAAATTAATCTGAATTGTCTTTTAATCCCAAGAAAAGGTGTTATATGTATTTGCATTTAAGTTCTAATAAATAATGAAATTCAGTGTAATTTGCCCCAGTTATTCATTCATTCATTACGACTCAGATAAGGATGTTGTCCAATTATCATCAGTTGTGGAAAAATTAAGTTGATTTACTGTAGTTATGGTTTGCATCACCCTCATATAATAAAATGTTAAAATGATCATTACCATTTTAGATGCCAAACACCAACCACTGAACACCAACCGCCATCCACAAAAAAGTTGGAGACTATAAAAATATGTCAACAAAAATTAGATTGAATTCATTCTTCCACACTTAACTGTTGATAATTTCACAACATCCCTTACTGTATGGTACTTTTATGATAATTTACTGCATTTCTGATTTCAGCTTATAGAAGCTGTGGTCTTACCTATGACACATAAAGAAAGATTTGAAGCATTAGGAATACAGCCACCTAAAGGTTTGTTCAGTATTTATCATCAATTCTCATATTATTTATCTTTAAATTAGTGTGTCTTGGTACAATAGGGTTACGAGGGTAAACAGAACCGAAAATTATGAAACCATCAGAGATTTAATGTACACCGCCAGGCTTAACATTCACACTTATTATCATCTTGTAAACAAGAATTAGAAACTCATCGATTTTGTAAGCTCACTTTTGCTCTTTTCTGGGACGTCTTTAACATTTTCAGTACCCCCAGGTTTTTCCCATATGGGTGCACAATTCAAATTTCTAAGTTCTCTCCACATTTGGTCATTATTGTCATTTCTCATTAACCACCACAATGTACATAGTCAATGATCCCCAGTTTGGCTTTTAAAATACTTAATACAAGATGATCATTTTTCTTGCAGGTGTTTTATTGTATGGTCCACCAGGTACAGGTAAAACCCTAATGGCACGTGCATGTGCTGCTCAGACCAAATCCACATTCTTGAAGCTAGCTGGCCCACAGCTGGTGCAGATGTTCATTGGAGATGGAGCCAAGCTGGTCAGGGATGCATTCGCTTTAGCCAAAGAAAAGACTCCTGCTATTATCTTTATTGATGAATTAGATGCTATAGGTGAGTTGATATTTTGTTCTCATCTTAGATGTACTCTCTGATGCTGAATATGTAACCAAAATAAAAGTGTCTCTCCCTCTTGTTTTATTTGTTTAAAAACTAAGGCAAGGATATTCAGGCGAATATAGAATGAATCTTTTGTTATTCCTAAAGTCAATTTGTATTTACAACATACATTTTAAAAAAGATTAATTTTGTTTAAACTGAACATAACTGATTCTTTAAGAAGGTTGAAAGGATTGTATCAATTTGACTATGGAGTATGGAAGTTCAATAACTGAAGGGTGAGACATAAGTTCTTGCACAGAGATTTTTCGTACAGTGTTTATGTATCTTGAGGACACTGAAGACATATGTATTTATTTGTTGTGTTTATTCACATGCTTTGTTTATTTGTTTGTCTTGCTTAATATTCATTTATCTTGTTCATTCATGTGTTTGGTCCTGTATTCCAGGTACAAAAAGATTTGACAGTGAGAAAGCTGGAGACAGAGAAGTACAGAGAACTATGTTAGAGTTACTCAATCAGCTTGATGGTTTTTCATCACATGAGGGTATTAAAGTAAGTAAATGTTTATATTGATATTCACATTAACAGCGAGGCTCCCTATATATGGTATATCCTACGTACATGATCAACATGCACTTATTAATACTGTTAAGTACAGCTGCTATTTGTAGTTGTATTTTGAAATGACAATTTGCAATAAAAAAATGAATAAAATAAATCGACATGCACTTGAGCTTCTTTTTATTCTAGACCATGACCATGCTAAAGTCAGAAGGGTTACATAAGGGGATCGCTACACCAAATGGTGAATCCAGATTTAGAAGTATGCACCAATAATAAGCACTTTATGCCTGTATACTTATGGAAAAAACATTTTCTTCTCCAGGTCATTGCAGCCACCAACAGAGTAGACATTTTAGACCCTGCCCTGCTGAGGTCAGGGAGGTTAGATAGAAAGATTGAATTCCCCGCACCAAATGAGGAAGCCAGAGCTAGAATTATGCAGATACACTCCAGAAAAATGAATGTCAGGTAATTGGCCAAATAACCCATAGAAAATATAGTATTAATGTGTATATTTGATGGGTCCAATCCATTACTGTCATAAATTGAGTATCAATACCAGTTGACTTCCAAAGTATGTGAATGTGAATTCATAATAAAGTCTCAATAAAATTCCTATTCCAATTTAACTGCTGTAGCATGTTATCATGGCATATACATGTTTGTTTCAGTTCTGATGTTAACTTTGAAGAGCTGGCTCGATGCACAGATGACTTCAATGGTGCTCAGTGCAAGGCTGTGTGTGTAGAAGCTGTGAGTTTCTCTATTTATATTGATTTTCCATTGAATCTTTCCCTCATTTGCTGATCTCAGAAAGCAATATAATCATTGCAAAAAGTTTCCATACGGCAATATAATCATGATTTTGCAAGAAATTTCCATACGGCAATATAATCTTGATATTGCAAGAAGTTTCCATACATCAATTTAATCATGATATTGCATGAAGTTTCCATACAGCAGTATAATCATGATATTGTAAGAAGTTTCCATACATCAATTTAATCATGATATTGCATGAAGTTTCCATACAGCAGTATAATCATGATATTGTAAGAAGTTTCCATACATCAATTTAATCATGATATTGCATGAAGTTTCCATACAACAATTAAATCATGACATTGCAAGAAGTTTACATTGAGCAATTAAATAATGACATTGCAAGAAGTTTTCATACAGCGATATAATCATGATATTGTAAGAAGTTTCCATACAGAAATGTAAGATGAGATGTGACAAGGTTTGTCACAATGTTCTATTTAAACTTTACTGTTTTTTGTCTGCAGAATTTGAAATTATTTGCTAAATATGTGTGTAATAAATGTATATGTATGAGTCTGTATAATATTTTTGAGCTGAGTCATTGACTCTGGTCTCTATCTCTATTTTAATAATACATGCCTTATAAAGTGTTAATCTGATCTTCATGAGCTTAATTCTCTGAACCAAAATGTGTTGAGTCTGTCTGTATAACTCATATCCCTATGTGTCTGACAGTGTATGTACTTTGTACTTACAGGGCATGATAGCTTTGAGACGAGAGGCTGTTGAGCTTATACACGAGGACTATATGGATGCTATTCTAGAAGTACAGGCTAAGAAAAAGACAAATCTCAACTATTATGCATAGAGGTCATCTGGATTAGGAGCAGTGGATGCATATTGAATAGTGAAAAGTTTCACTTTGGAATTTTGAGATACTCAATGTTTGAAATATGACGTTACAATGAGGAGGAAATTCACAATGGCCATCATTTGAATGATTATAGAACAGAGAAAGCATCAGCAAGTCAGTTCAATTTTTGAATAATGTGCCTATAGGACAGTGTGATGACACGTGAATGGCATACTACGACTTCACTTTCCACCAGCAAATAAGAGTAATAAAAAGTGTAAATAATTCAAATAATAAAAAATAAATGTATAAAAACTAAAAGTAGAGTTGTTTGTTAAAAATTGAAAATGGAGAAAAATACCAGATGTTTGTCAAAGAATGATTTTTATGTCACCACGAAAAAGTGGTGACATATTGTTATGGGCTCCGTTTTATAAGGTGGTCTGCGGATGGCAGTTGTTGATCTTCTGAATCAAAATCTACAAGTTCTCAAAAGTTCAAATCTTACTTTAGGTTTGAGATTTGACCATCAATGGCCTTCTCAATGTCAAAAAATGTCTTCAAATTGACCAAACTTTTATTTAAAAATCATCTACAAGTTCTTAGAAGCTCAAATCTGACTGACCTTCATTGATCTTCTCCAGGTAAAAAAGGGTCAAAAGGTATTTTTTCAACACGCTTCAAATTGATCAATTTTTTTCAAAGCATCTCAGAAGTTCAAATCTGAATTTAGATTCCAGATTTAAGCAACTAGGTGGTGAAATTTTGTCATGTTATGCCTTCATTTTTAAGTCGCCAAGAAATGAATCATTAGGCTCACTTTTTATTTAATCCAATTGTTAAAAACCAAAGCCTTTGAGCATTTGAGAATGAAGCCCATTTGTTTAATTGGGCCATTGAGAATGATTTAATGCATTCCTTTATGTTCTAAGGCTGTAAATTGATGTCAACTTTGTTTTCTAATCCAAATGCTGTACAGTGTATATGTATACGGCTATGGCAGTGTCTTATTTAATATAAATCCCTTGCAGCTTTACACATGCTTATCTCATCAAAGGATTTTTGTTTATATAGATATGGAGAAATTATCAGTCAATCAATCCATCGACCATACTCTAGCTCTTAAATACTATGCAGGTTAAATGGAAAAGAATGTGTATTGAAACAGTCTCAAGAGAATGCCAGTCTAATTCAAATTTGGAAAGAGTGGTGTATCACAAAGATTGAAACAATTATTTTCAATAAACATGTCAAGGTGTCCCTAATCCCTATGATAGTTATACCCGAAGTCAGATTTAAGCTGCAAAAATCTCAGAATTCAATGGGATTGAAAAAAGAACGTCTTCATCTCAGAATTGTCAAATTAGCATTCACCAGTTCACACGCATTGATTAGTTTTTATCATTTCCTCTCTCCAAATACATAAAGGGAATTCAAATATTGCAGAGGTTTTATCCCTATTCAAGAGTTTTGAAGAAAGCATAGACAAGCTTGTTTCCTTCAAAATTGGGTTGAAATACTAGTATGTTCTGTTGATCTTTTTCACTTGGCTAATAGGAGTTTAACCTGCAAAGCTCTAGGTTGACTTAACTATGTACATGTATTCAGAACTTTATTTACCATTTCCTCACAACACAGTAAGGGCAGTGAGCTGTAACAAAAGATCTAATATTTACATTTTTTAGAAAATAAAAGGTTTTATTTTGCCAATAAATTATTTTACAAAGCATAAGCTTTACAACATTATGTACAGTAAATACAATGACATTAAAAGGCTTTTTGTGATTGACCTAGAAATAATGCTGTGATTTCTTCCCATTATGAACATTTTGTGGGGTAAAAAAGAGTGATTTAAATGCATATGTTATAATAACTGTATCATACATAATAAAGTACATACATGCATACAATAGTGGTTGTAACATTTCTAATATTCATACGAGAAGACCTGGGCTCATGTACAATAATCTATTTTTATATCAATATCGGCTGAGAATTTCTCTGTAACTGTCCTATTCCCTTATGGCATCATGATTTCAAATGTTACAATAAGGGAGCAATGGATTTCAAAATCTTCTTAATATAAGAATGTTCTGTTTATTGAAAACTGGTTACATTTTGATACAAAGTAGGTGATATTTCCTTTTATTATGTATTATGGAGAAATCAGATTGAAAAGGACAAGTCTCGGTTTGGAGAACAGTCTCCTGGACTAATAATTTTTTTAATGAAAAATATAGAAATATCACCCAAATTAAATTATGAATATTCAAAAGAGGACATTCAAATCTACAAGATGTAAAAATATCACAATTGTCCGAAGGAAGGGTAACGGTGCAGTAGACTGATTCAATAAAATACAAGTCTCAATTTGGAAAAAGAAGATATCAGTGTACTGCGCTAATAATTTTCTTATGAAAAATCTAGAAATATCACCCAAATTAAATTACGACTATTCAAAAGAAAACATTGAAATCTATATTATGTAAAATTTGTCTGAAGCAGGAGTAACTTCCTTCTCCAAACCGAGGATTGCCCTTTGTAATCATGAGAATGGATTTAAACTGGAAATGCTATATAAAACTGAAATCAAAAAGCAATCTGATAAAGTAGAAAACTGGAAATTTCTTGCTAGTAATTGCTTATCATTGCCAAAAACACATGTTGTATCTTCTAACAATCATATCATGAAAGGTACCAAATTATGAACAATAAATACAAATAAAGCTATTTTCCCAAATATGTATGTGACTATCTGCCATTGCTATCGTTCCTAGTTTTTGTGTTCAGTTGCTGGGTCAACTTCATTATCTTTTGCCCCAGGTGAGCATTGTGTTGCTTCAGGTACCTTATCATATCTGCCTGTTTTTCTAGCACTTGATCCAAATATTCTTCATCCCTGAAAAATAATTGACATAAATATACAGAGTGGCCAAAAAGTAGGTTCACAGTTATTCAAGATCAGAATTTTTTCACACTGTATCCCAGAGGCAGTGTTCTGGAAAGGTTACGATGTTGAAGGAGGACTTTTTGAGCATCTTCAAGATTAAACATTGTGCATAAACAATATATGATATTAATTATTGACCCCTCCCTTATGTGGAGAACTTATAGTTTTGACAGTCAACTGGATGCCTTAGAGATGTAAGTGAAGTACATTTTACACTTGTATGGAAACTGTCAAATTAGACATACAATATCAACTCTACACCGATACACAGTAGTAGTTGAACTTTTGGCCATTATTCAATCAAAAGTTATGTTTTTACATTTATCATTTACAAGTACAAAGGCAAAGAAGGCATTAACACAACAAAATGTCACCATCTGGTAAATCATTGCAAATGGTTACGAAAGTGTAACAATTTGTTACTGATGCAGATCACAGATGCTGAACACAAAACATCTAAATACCAAATAATGTGTATGTAGTATGTACCTAAATCCAATATCAGATGTATTGTTCTGTGACTGTAAGAAACTTGTCATCATTTCATCTTGGTGAACATCTGGGGCATGCGCGTGAGAATTAAAACGAACTGTTTGCACTGGAAACAAAATAGTGACAATAGAGAAATATAACAAAGGAATATTATCAATTTCTTTAATGTGGCACCTACATTTATTAGACAATATACCATTCTGCACAGAACTGTCAAATTACATGTATAAGTTTCTGTCAATTCAATTACTATTATGGTTTACAATGCTATTCTATGCTATTTCAATGAATTGATCCATCCATCGTAAAATATTGAGAAATGATAATATTACATGTTAGGTGATGCCACAATGCTAGGTAAATTATTTAAAGTGATGACACTATTGTGAAGAGAAAGTCATGAGAATGCCTCAGCCATGTGGAAATAATGTTGCACATTTTGTAGAGCGCAAGTGTGCTTGGGTTTGAGATTTAAGTATTTACTTAAAAATACCACCAACCTATATCCTGTGTATGTATCTCGTATAAATTGTGTACATGTACATGAAACTTATTTTAGCGGAATTCTTTCAACTCAAGAAATTCAAAACTCAAAAAACTACAGACCACTTACCTAGATAAATAATTAAACACACTGTAGATATGATCACTTCTATACTGACAAGTACTTGTATGTAATTGCTGCGAGAAAGAGGCAATCCCGGGCAGCTTTGGCGAGGGTCAATGTGTTTCATAGGACAATAGTCTTCAAGTACTTTTAATACAACCACTAACATTGCATTTCCTAAAAAAATAAAATGAAAATAATTTAAACATTCATTAAAGAATTAAACCAAATTTTAGAATCTATTAGAATTTATCTCAACACAGAACTGATAGCTCTTAGTTTCAGAACAAGTTCAAGACTTCTGGAATAACCCTTGTTTAATGGTGCTGACATGAAAAGTCAATTCATTCCAGGGGGACTTGAACGTACGAACATTTAGAAATTACAGTACATCATATCCAGAATGGTGCAGGTGATTCTGCTTTATCTGTTTTAAAGTGAAAATCTAAAATAGCAGCAAGCAGTATGTACATACCCCCAGATAACACCATGAAAGGCACTCTCCGTATGCGTCTAGTTTTTCTATAAAATTCTAAGTATCCATTTGTTCTTGAATAGTAGTGTTGTAATCTACAAATAATTCAACATCTCTTATAGAAGTAATGTTGTTTGAGTTGCACTTGCAGTCTGTTTTTAATACAGTAACAAATATTAATGACACAGGCCCATCCGAAGGATTTCCCAAGACTTTTATGTTTGGATGGATGGGTTGTACCACTGACACCATATAATATAAAACAATAGCATACAGATAAGAATTTGAATCATTTACATACATGTAGCCTTACGTGTACATCAAATCCTTGTGTTCCCCCTCCCACTAAATGTGCATCTTTTACACAAAGGTAGGGCATGTAGTATTGGGGAGGACCTGGGCTCTCTTGAAAGCCCATTGGGAGGAGGAGCAGAGGCAGAGATTTGATTCCAGACGACTACTAGTACATCAATAACAATTAAATATTAAATGAACACAATTTCTCTGAAAAACATGAACCCCAACATTGTGTTTAAATTCAAACTGGAACATTTGTAAGTACCAGGAAAGGATTTTCAAAATAATTCTCCAAATCTTATGGGGCAAAGAATAAAGTTATAAACTAGGTTCATCCTTTGGTTTATATAGATGATTACCACACCCAACACATTCTATTACACAACCCTCATGTACCATATTGCATGTATACAGTATATGACTCACCTTAAGTATCTATCAAGGAGCACAATAATGAACCACATAACTGCATGTGCATATATAACATAGGAGTATGGAGACATGCCACACAACCTTTCTGTACAGACTTCTGGTAGAACACCCGCTGCCACTCCAAGACAGATCTGAAAGAACAAGGTGCATTTTAACCTCTTGAATCCCAGGATCTAAAATCGGTTGAAACCAGAGAATTTTTCATTTTTGCCATCTTTTCAGATTTTACTACATACCTACCTTTACAACTTTAGATCTTAGTACAATTAGACGGCAGATATCATTTCTACACATTTTAAAACAATTTTCGTGTAAATTGGTTGAAAATTGTTCAGATAAGAGCAATTTAAGTGAACATTTTTGTGACAGATTTTCTCGTCACTCTGGGTTTCAAGATCATTTCTAGAAATGACGAGAAATCTCGTCACTCCAGGTAGTCAAGAGGTTAAAGAAAATGTATAATTACATTGGCATTGTGTTTGAGCCGAGCAGACGTGAAATATGGCAGCTCCGCCTGACACGGATCTAATCGAGCGAATTCTGTCCAGATTATCAGAGGAGGACAGGGATACCATTATCAATGAATTTATGGAAGTAACGACCCCCGAGGATTATGAACCACTGCGAGTATTATACTTTGGAAATGCGAAAGAGAGACTTTTCAACATTTACTTGGACAAATTCGGCCCCATTGCTGGACGCAAGCAAGGCGAGATCCCAATCCTTACACTGAAAGTACGGAAGGGTGCGAATAAAGATGTTTCTTCATTAAACGATATTTGCGATCTATTTATGTACGGATCTAACATTTCGGACACTTTTCCGAGACAGACAATCTCTGCGACAAGTTTTCTCCCAGAAATATCATCTGATAGACCATTGGGTACTGATCAGTCTGAAACGACTCGAGCAATAGAGATCGATACAAGAATCGTCTGTCTAAGCCAAAGGGTCAACGAATTGGAACGCATTGGAGAACAGAAGGATGTTCAGATAACTAAGATGCAAAAGGATATCACAGAGTTACAGCAACAGGTACAAAAGTTGCTACAAGAAGGTCAGTGTAACCTTTCTTCACCTCTACGTATAGAGCAAGCTAATATCCCAAAGCAACCTTTAGCTGCCTCGTCAAAATGTAACAAGGCTAATAATGAGCCCAATTACGATCAAAACATTCCCACACCTGAAACTAATTCCCTTAATACTGAACCAAGGGCGCAAGTAAATAGGTTGACGAACGATACGAACTCTGTACGCATGAACGCTAATACGAGTATCCCCCCACAACAAGAAATTATTAAACTTGCTAATCAACAGAGGTCTTTAGCACAGCCCGCTGATACTCCCTGTTCCGACGCTATACCGCCATCTTGTATTTCTAATACACCGTCGTACTCATCTGTCACGGCAGTTAATAATGACAAGTGGGCTACAGCTGGCCCTAAAGGACGCCATTCACCTGTCCCTGATCGCACCACAACGGCTCCACGACGTCAACGTACAACTAATATAGGGGCATCCCGCATTAAATTGACGGGTGTCAAAGAAGTGAATTTTAAACTTGTATATGTAAGTAATATCCGCAAAGACCCAGACGTTACAGACGATGAAATCCGTTCTGCGATTGTTAGTCATGCCGAGGATAAGGGAATACGAATAATGAAAGCTGAAATCGTACACAATCGTGTTTGCGACGATAAAGTCGGGTGCAAACTAAATATCCCTGAATGTCAAACAGAGGCCATTCTTTCAACCAATTTTTGGCCGGACTCTGAAATCGGGTGCCGATTATGGCAGCGTCGATCGAATCAACGCTCCAATTTCAACAGCCAGCGGGATAATACTTTCAAAGAGAGACCCATAATTGATTACAAACACGGGCGTTCTTATGATAAATACGAATCAGGCCGCCGTTATGTAGACTACTATAATCGTAGTAACTGGGGCGAAACTATTGACGATGATGAGCGTCATTTTGCTGTTTAAAATGGATCTCGTGAAACTAACTTATCTGTGTTTTCTGCTGTGCATTTTTCTTGCCCATATCAATTTTGCCCCACCAAATATGAATGCTCAATCATCCTTAACTCAGCATTTAAATAGCGACTTAAGATTCACACAGTGGAATTGTAGAGGATTTAATGCATCTTCTATATACATCAGACATTTACTGTCAAATTGTGATATATTGGCTCTCTCAGAGCATAAGCTGTATCCTTGTAATAGGTTTAAGCTCGATTCAGCCCATCCTGATTTTAGTTGCTATAGTACTAGCAGTGATTCCTTAAATGATTACAACTGTGGTAAGGTTTGGGGAAACGGTGGTGTTGCTATATTCTGGCGAAATGAGTTAAGTAACTATGTCATCCCTGTTAAAAAGATGACAACAGACAGGATTGTTTGTTTAAAGATATCAGTAGTAGTAAACTCACCCATTTATGTATTTTCAGTCTACTTACCTCAGCAAAATTGTGAAATTGATGTGTTTGACGATGTTCTTTTCTTGCTAGAACGTTTTGTCCAAGAAGCCTTAGTGGATGGTAGTGTGGTTATTCTTGGTGATGTAAATAGTAATCTAGGTCAACTTACGGGATGCAGAGGTCATGGCACCCCCTCTAGTAATGGATATAAGATATATGAGTTTATGCAAAGAAATATCTTAACCGCTGTCGACATGACAGACCTGACAACTGGTCCAAAACACACTTTTGAAATGGCTAGAAACAACGTCCTCCATGTTAGTTATATTGACCATGTAATTATATCATACTCTCTGCGCAACACTGTCGTATCATGTTCTATCTCTGAGGATGAACCAGATAACACATCGGATCATCTTCCCATTCATACAGCATTAAATTTAAATACTCAGATCGAACGATGTCCTGATATTCAAGCTCCAAGAGGTTTTTCATGGGATAAACTTACAATTGATGAAATCAATGAGTCTTACACAAACTCTGTCTCAATAAAATGTAATGAGATTTTAATTGAATTGAATGCTATTCTTTCTAATCGGTCTTTAAATGAAGCAGAAATCGACCTCTTTATTAATAAACTAATTGACAGTTTATTGTTGTCGTCAAACAATCATATACCAAAGAAGAAATTCCTAAAATATGTGAAGCCTTTCTGGAACCCCACGTTAACGTCTTTGGCTAAAGACAAAAAGACAAAATGGCACACATGGGTATCTCAGGGAAGACCCCGCGATGTTACAGATCCGGTGCGAATCGAATATAAAGAATCCAAGAAAATATTTTCTAAAGCTTATCAAGCTGCACAATTAGAATACGAAAAGGATGAACTTGAAAAATTGTATAAATCTGAACATTCTGATCAACGTTTTTATTGGTATCTGGTTAACAAACACCGTAGATCATCAAAGAAATCTGTAAATCCAATACTCGCCGATGATGGTCATCTGATTACTGACGCAAATGAGATCAGAGAACAGTGGAAATATCATTTCGAAAAACTTGCAACCCCATTAGATAAACCTACGTTTAATAAGGATTTTAAAGTCGAAGTTGAAAATAAAGTTCAGAAGATTTTCAATAGTATATCAGTTGACAGTACAGCTTTCACAATCACTACTGATATGGTCCTTAATGCAATAAAAGCTCTGAATTCTAAGCGTGCATGTGGTTATGATCAAATCAGCGCGGAACATTTGAAATTCGGAGGGGTTGACATGGTCCAAACAATTGCGATTATCTACAATATAATACTCCAGTCAGCATATATTCCAAATAACTTCTGTATTGGTACAATGATTCCTCTCGTAAAAAATGGTAAAGATCCACTCGTTAAGGACAACTCTAGGGGTATCACGCTGATGACAATGCTACGGAAATTGTTTGACAATATTATTTTAGTCCAAATAAAGGCACCTGTTCTAAAAGCTATTCCAAAATTACAAGGGGCAGCAGTCGAAAAATGCTCGTCCATTCATACATCACTTCTTGTACAAGAAACTATTTCTGAAAATGTAGAACAGGGTAAAATGGTTGTGGTAACAGTAACAGATATCCGAAAAGCCTTTGATTCCGTATGGATAGATGGTCTTCTCGTCAAACTCTATAACTGTGGAATTCAGGGTATAATATGGAAAATTTTATACATGTTGTACAAACGCTATTGTTGTTCAGTTTTGGTGGGTGGGAAATGTTCTGACTTGTTTCCAGTTTTACAAGGTGTACATCAAGGCGGTGTCTTGTCCATGCTCTTCTACCAACTCTACATGGCTGATATAATCGATTCCATGATTAAAGGTAACAAGGGAGCCAATGTAGGCTCCTTGAGCTGTGTAAGTCCATCATATGCTGATGATATGTGCATCTTATCCAACTCCTTCGAAAATATGCAATCACTACTAGATCAACTCTATGCGCACAGTAATCAGTGGCGATATGAAGTCCATCCAGATAAATGTTTATTTCTTGTCTTTAATAGCAAAATTGAATTAGGTGCCACTCAGAAACTTAAGATCGGAGGCAAATCAATCGTAAAATCTGACTATGTAAAACATGTTGGAATTCCAATTTCAACAAATAACAATATCTCTGATTATGTACAAGATAAATGCAAGAAGGGCAAATTACAATACAATGCGCTTCTCGGTATTGGAAGTGGTTGTGGAGGCCTAGTCCCAACATCCGCATGTCAAATATACAAAACGTACTCCATTCCTACAATGACATACGGTGCTCAAATTATTAACTACCAACAGAAAGACATAGATGTTTTAGAGAAAACACAGAGAGAAATAGGGCGTAGAATCCAGTCTCTACCTCACTCAGCTAGTATCCCCGTTTCGACTTTACCCATCGGCCTCATGGATGTTGAATATTATATTGCCTTCCTAAGGATGATGTTTCTTTGGAGTTTATTGCAACTCCCTAGCGCAAACATATATAAATGTCTGTTCATCACAAGATTTGTAAAAATGTTGCATATTAATAGGGGAAGTTGTACTTTTTCGCCAATCGAGCGCATGCTACAAACATCACGAAAATACAACTTGAATAACAATATTTTAAATATGCTATACTGTAACACTATTATTCCCAAAAGTAGGTGGAAGAACATTGTGTTCACTCAAATAACAAAGGTTCAAATGCAAGCGACATTCTTTAAATCGATCATGTACAAGGGACTAGGCTATTTTAGAATGGGTAATTTCGAGGTACTGAGGCCAGTTATATGGTGGAATGTTGCAAGACGTTTTCCTGTTGCTTTTAATGGGTGCAAAATAATGGTGAAACTACTTATGGATGAACATTCGCTTAACTCCAAATATAGGGGTAGCGAGAATAAATCACTGTCATGTTTATTGTGCGACACCTACGAAAAAGAAGATGTGGAGCATTTTTTACTTAAATGCCCTTCAAATGAATATGTCATATTCAGAGAACAACTTAATACTCATTGTTATGAATGGGATATCCAAATGAATGTTAAAAACCTCCTTGGCATTGGTACGGAAGAATGGCATTTTACAAACGAACAAACACTTGAGTGTCTAAAAGATATTGCATGTATAGTCATGCAACAATATACGTGCCGTCAGCGATATCTAACAAACGTATACACTTAATGTAACTTCATTCAGTGGAGGAGGGTGGCCCTCAAGGGAGGTACATGGGACGACTAGGGGACTATCCTCTCTCTCTGAAATATAATCAATATCTAACTATTATGGATGAACAGTACCAAGCTTGGGGAAGGTACAATAATAAGCAATTCTTTCTTGCTCTTTTTGTTGATTGGTAGTTGCAACGTCAACGCGGCAGCCTGACGTTTTTGCAACAAACGATTGTGTCTCTTAAGCAGCCTGTACATTTTTGGTTTTACTCGCATATTTGTATTTATATTTATGTACATTTACTATACATACTAATTTAGAATTGCACCATATAGCAACACCACCAACCTTTAATTAACATAAATTGTATATTTATTTTACTAGCCTACAACATATTGAAAGGATCTCATACTTTCATACAGTACTACAGTACCGACCTTGGGGAAGGTACGATGATATGCTATGTCTTCTTTTTAATTTTATAGAAAATGCAGCTCCATAATGTCATTTTTTGATTAATCTCAAGAGTGTTAGGTACAGGTCTATTTAGGCCTACGGCGTTCGTCTACGCGGTAGCTAGGCGTCGTTGTCGGTTCAAAAAACCAAAACAAATAACAAAGCAATGAGCGTTTGAAAATATAGTTACTTTATAATTGCGTTACAATTAGGTGCTAGGCCAATCTTGGTCGGCGGCGTGCGTCTACGCGGTAGCTAGGCGTCGTCGTCAGTTAAAAAGCAACGACATTGTTTGTTTGTAAATAGTGATTATTTTCAATTTAACATAAATTGTATACATGTATCTCCTTTATATAAAGGGCAATAAATATATACATACATACACATAAGTACCTACAGTGAAACCTGTGTCCACTACAGAGAGAGGTGTTCACTAAGACAGGTTTTACTGTAGATACTGTTTCAATGTACTCAACTTCAACCACTGCATCGTAAATTTAACTGGGTGCTAAATCCTCATTTATCTGTTTTTGGTCAAAATATATCAATATTACATTCTTTTGGCATAATGGTGCAGAGATTTTCAACTGGGGGTGTGAAATTTTCAGATTTTCTACTGGGTATAGCACCCAGTTGCTCTAGGCTAATGCTGGGGAGATCACTGGTAATGTTTAAGTTAAAATATGAAAGTACATTTTACCATTAAGATAAGTTGCATCACAATCGCCCATGTTGTGTTTATTTTGCGGAATGGTGGGTCGAGATCAGCACTCAGAACAGTCTGGTCTTGAAGGAGCTCCTCGTGATCAGGTGCAGTAATGGATGACTCAAGATCAAAAAAATATGCCTAAAACAGATTTTTTTGAAAGAATATATATCCTCATACAGGTATTACTGGTATGTTGCCAGTGAGTACTTTATCATGTGACCTTACAGCCCATAATTAGCCTTAACTTCTCATAATTAACGCATTATTAATTTAATTCTAAAAATTCTGATCTTTTGTATGTCCCCTGTTGTGTTTATACCAGAATAACCAGACGCTGTCAACATCTTGGACTGAGAGGAGGATTTGCTCCCAGGATTCCAACTCAGTATTTTTTATCTCTAAGCTGTGCTGATTTCTCCGGCAAAGTTTGCACAAATGAAGGGTACTGCAAGGAGAATACCCAATATACTAACGACCTTGACCGATACCAACATTGTAAATGTCATTATTGTCTGACATTATAACTGGCTATATAATCAGCGATCCAAAAGACTTGAACTAAATATCTCGTTCACTTCTTGCTTATTTTTGAATTTTTTGTTCAGAAGTTAGACCTAAACTAGCAATTCAAATCCTGAAGTGAAAAAATTGCGGCTGTTTGATTTCAATTTTGTAATCATGATATGACTCCATATATGGCCGAATATCGAGATTGAACCCTAGATCCCAATCCTCTGACCTGAGACTTTATTTTTTTCTGTGCACACATTCTTACCCCATTTCCTCTTCTTCCATTTTCATTTCCAAGGCTAACCATTTTGTGAGGTTGAAAAATTCTCTCACTCTTCTTGTCTCTTAAATGTTGTGATTTACCATACTTTACAAAAGAAAATACATAAAGAACAAGAATAATTTTTTGAATTTTTGACCAGCGGAAGCTGCAAGCTGACACTCGTTCGAAAATTATTGATACACTAAATTTAAAATATCCATCCAATGCAGTTATAAAAGCTGCTCAAATCCCATTAACTTTTTAATTTTATTATGAGTTATTTATCTGATTCAGTAAAGCTAGCAAAATTAGTGTTTTATAAGACAAACAAGGAAAAACATTTTGGATGATAACTGAGTCACATGATCTCCTTGTGACCAAAATGGCGGACGGAGGAAAAGTAAATCTTGCAAAGAAAATGTCAAGTTTTTATCGAATAACATCATTCCTGGTCATCATATTATCTATATCTAATGCAAGAAAGGTGAGTTATATTATTTGCATGCTATTATCAAAGTTAAAGTCTACACTTTTCTTTTGAACTTATATAAATAGCCTAAATGAATTCTTTTTCATTGATCAATATGAGGATGAATCTGTCACATGATATGAGTCATGTTTTATTCTCAGTGTCTATATCTTCAACCTAATGCCATTGCATTTTGAGTTTGAACTCACTGGATGAATGAGAGTTTCCTACAATTTCCCACGGACTTGAGTCGACCGTTTCTTTCGAAACTTACTGCCATACAGTACATGTATATACCAGGATTGGAAACAGGAATTCAAAAAATAAAGTTACTTAACAAGAGTCTATGGTATCATATCACTCGAAATTATAACTGTAATTGAATCTTAGCCTCATTTGACTGTTTCTTGTTTCAGGTAAGATCCAGTCAGAGATTTGCCAATGTATGATGTTTTCAAAATCATGTACATCAGTCTATATGATGACCAATCAAATAGCACGATATGATCATGTGATAAATCACAAGCACACATTTTCCAAGAGTTAACGAATGATACCTGTTTATGAAGAGGTGATCATGTGACTTTTCTCTCAAAGCCCTGGCTGCTTGTTTCCAATCCTGGTAACATTGTATGGCTGTGAGTTTGAAAGAAACCTTGACCCAAGTCTGTGCAAAGATGTGATGTAACCACGTATCTACTTACCAGTATGTTCTATGCTATCTTTGTAAATTGTGAAACTCGGTTAAACACGACACTGAAGACAGTCTTCTTAGATTATAAAATATAGATCGAAATAATTTTCCATGTGTAGCACCTTGGAGATTTCCGGAATTGAATAAAGTTGCGAACATTGCGATCTTTCAACTTTAGTTCGTTGTTTTTCACCACTTTATGTGTAGCGTTTTAATTAACTTATTTCTAAGATCAATATCGATATGTTGTTGTCTTCATTGTCATGTTTGGTTGAGTTCCACAATGCAAACTAGTCAGATAGATGACATAGAACATACATATGTACTGATAAGTAGATACGTGGTTACATCACACCATTTTGTTATTTTAACCATGTGAACTACTTCCCAGAATAAGAAATAAGAACTTTAGTCTGTTATCTTTCTGCTTTCAGTTATCTGATATCCAATTTAATCCAGGCTGTAAGTTGCCAGAATGCTCAAAAGACGTTAGAAATACATCCCACATAAATGTAGCTTACATACAAGCCAAAGGGCCTAAAGACACTCTACATTATGTCATGAGCTCAGTCGGTAGCACAAGTGTATTAGTTGCCATGACAACAGACATTAAAGCAACATTAAATATAAGATGGGCCGATTTCTTATCAGGCAATATGACAAGAATAAAAAATTCTATTAACTTTACAAGTGCAGTTGAATATGCTTATGCAGTTAGTCTGAACAGGGTGAGTATACTGTCTAGTTATTGTCTGTTATTATAAAAAAAATCTAATTTGTTTTTTCTATTTAATATCAGTTGAGCAAATGAAACAGTAAGTAGTAAAATAAACTTATAGGCTGCTGTTATATGATATATATTTCTGAGCTTTAAACTCTGTTATAATCTTTCTTTTTGAAGTATCTGTTATAATCAACACTCCTATATGTTATCAGTTTGGATTGATGATTTAAAATATTTCGTAATGATGGCTGAATTGTCTTTAATATGCTGAGAAAGAAACTCATACTAGCTGACTCACATACATTTATATTCCCATTTTCAGGTTTTAGAATACAATGATTTTAAAGATGTCGCCAGAATGACAGAATACTCAGCTATGAATGAATCATACTGGCGGAAATTCCCTACGAGCGCGTTTAATTGGAATGATTCTGCATTGACCTCTGACAGTGATCACAACACTGTTGTATTTCAAACTCGCATGCAGGATCACTCTAATTCAACCAAGATGAACTCTTCCTCGCCAGTCTTCATGGGCAATGGATCATTGGCTTTAAAGGTATGGATGATATTGAATTATTTAAAAAGATCATAAGTGCTGTATAGTTCAGCAGTGGAGTAGGTACCCTTATGGCACAGTGCCCACAGGATTGATCCCTAGTTCAGACAAGAATAAATGCTAGTTGGGTAAATTCAATGTAATAGGGTGTTTGACTGAAGGCCGTGAGAGGGCTGTTACTCAATTACTGAAAAGGCTCTTGTATGCACTTGCATGTCTTTGTATCAGTGCACTTAAGAAAGACAGTGGTAAGCAAGAGATTCAATATAATATACTGTGTAAATACATTTTGAATCATTAGAACTTCTCACACTGCTACCAGATTTTTTTGTTAGCCATTTAAATTCTGCTAAGTTTTTCCTATACAATAAAACATGTGCAAGTGGAACACTGTTTGTACCATAAAAATGTGTTCCACTTTCGTAGTGTTGCACCTATGGAAGTTCATTTAATATCAAGTCAATGGGTCATATTTTGAAAAGTGTTCCACAGAACTGTTCTACTTGACCTTTTACTCAATTTTAAATGAATGTCTGATTGAAGTTATTATTTTGTTGTTACAGTTCCAAGTGTTTAATGATAGCAGTCGTAACCCAATGTTGCCACATTTGGCCCACACAAACAACTCTTGCCAGCTGGACCTGGTCCTTTTCAACATATCATCAGCCTTTAAGAGTGCAAGGTGAGTGAGCCTTTAAGAGTTAAGGTAAACTGATTCTAGACTATATTCCTTTATACATATATGATCAGCCTTTAAGAGTTCAGGATGAGTAAGCCTTTAAGAGTTCACGGTGAGTGAGCCTTTAAGAATTCGAGGTGAGTAAGCCTTTAAAGGGTTCCGATAAGCATCCCGTATAAAAACAATATGGAGGCTCCAGGCGAATCGACTGGATCAGTCCATTTTTAAGAAATAAGGGGAGTTCTGTAAAATCCAGTTTATTGAAATTGTCTTTGAGATAAAGTAATCCGTTTATAATGATTTTGAAAACATTATCCATAGAGTGATTGCGTTCAAAGAATATGTACAACAGCCAATATAAATCCTTGTATTAGTACTGCTTTGTTTCATTTGTAGGATATTTCATATACCAAGCTGTGTGCTATTACGTTATGGGGAAATTTAGATGTCAATTTTTCCTTATTATACACAAATAGAAGATCCTGAAACTTCACCCATAAATGTGGAATTGATTTGTCAAAATAAAAATCACCGTTTTATAAATATGTGACGATCTGTAATATACTTATGCTATATAACAGTTAGAGGTGTTGACACAACGACCTCGAGCCTGTGAACCCTTGAGTATTATTCCGGGATCGGGCCTTTTATACTAAACGGTGAGCAACACCAGAAACGAGTGTTCGATTTGCTAAACGATATGCGTCACCCTTTAAGAGTTCAAGGTGAATAAATCTTTAAGAGTTCAAGAATAGTAAGCCTTTTAGAGTTCAAGATGAGTGAGCCTTTAAGAGTTCAAGGTAAATAATGATTCCAGACTATATTCCTTTAAACATATCATCAATCTTTAAGAGTTCAGGGTGAGTAAGCCTTTAAGAAACATAAATGGTTATTTTTACAATTACTTGCATCTTCAATTTTGAATTTGTCTTGTGAACCTTGCTTCAGCCCTCCCCTTGATGAGAGTGCCATACCTAACTCAAAATGTATGATCCCCCCTTTAAATGTAGCTTCACCTGTACTTGTAGGTATGCAGTAGAACTGTCTCTTGTCACCACTGATAAAGCATCCACTCCCATGTCATTGAAGGAAGACACATCTATAGATGATGAATACACACCTGGGGTGTTCAAGGTAATTCATATATGCACTGTGCAGACTAGTAGATGTGGCTAGAAATATCTTTCTTAGTAGATAGATAGATGGCAGCACAGGTCAAACAACTTTTTTCTGCATTAGTAAAAATTGATCCATGTTTTCTCTATTTTTGTTCACATATACAACAATAGACACTAATAGAACATTGGAACACCTTTCTTAACATATAGAGCAACTATTTGACTTGGATATTTTCAAGAAGCAGCGTTTATAGTGAAGTAACAGTTCAGTGAAATAGTGAAAAAAAATTTGAAAAGGAAAAATAAACATATTATCACCCACTATGGAACTCTGAGCACATTATTATGGCAGTAGCACCGGATAATGTACTTCAAAACCATGACTATTGGATATCCCTTGATGCCAGAGGCATGCCAAGGTCTTCTGAAAAAGAAATAGCAGTGGCTATATTTTCATCTGTTCAAACTGCATTGGGAAAAGATATTATCAAGCCAAGTGATATTGTGGGAGTACAACTTATGAACAACCCCAAGTCATGGATAATCTACACTTCTGGACCCAGTGTAAAGGACATGTTAGTTGCAGTTTCGGCAATTTCAGTGCTAGGTAAACGTTATGAAATGCGCCAATACAAGGATACCCGTATAGACGATTCGAAATTTCCACCTCGAACATCAACTCGAGTATCGATCCACGGGATCCCCTTCTGTGTTGGAAATAGTGAAATACACACATGGGTAGAATCATTTGCCGATGGAGTAGGAGAAGTGCTCAACCATTCCAAGAAAAGCGACCCCGATGATCCATTTAAACATTTGTTCACAGGTCACAGGTATTGTTATGTAGACAACATCAATACGCCCATTCCACGATTTACGACTTACGAGTTCGCAGATCCAATCCATCCAAAGGATCTCATAAAAGTGGATGTAACTATATACCATAACAAAAACCAAGTGATCAACTGTAGGAAATGTAAATCTTTAGACCACGCTATCAGTGATTGCCCTCTTAATCAACCCACATGTTTTTCCTGTGGGAAAAGTGGGCATATTAAATCTGAATGTCCTTCTAAGAGTAATACAATGTCATGTTGGAAGTGTGGCGGAGACCATAAGAAGCAAGATTGTCTTGAATATCAGAAAACAAAACAAGCTGCCTCTCTGGCAGAGGCTTTGATAGACCACGCCTTAAATCCTGGAGATACAGCACTTGGATCCCCTGAGATTTTGAAAAGAGCAGACTCATTTATCGCCAAAAGTGAAGTTGCCCCGACCCAGACCCTCATTTCTGCTCTTCAGGATATAGCCCCATGTGTCGCGAGTACCCCCAACAGTAACACCACCACGGAGTCGCGTAAACGAGATGCTAACAGTCCGCTGAGTAATGAGGATGACAAGAAATCAAAAATAGGTTCACCAATATTAGTGAGTCAAATTCAAGTGAATCTGGTTCAGGAAAGTGAAAAAATTGCTGAAGAGGAAGTAAAGGATCCCCCGTAACTATAAAAACCTTATTATTGATTGATTTATGGTGAACTTTATCTCAGCTAATGTCCAAGGCCTCCGTAACAAGATGACTCGATATACATTTTTTAACTACTTACGTAGTCTGGATGTTGACATTGCATTGCTTCAGGAAACATATATTACTGATGCATGCAGTGCCACATGGAAGAAAGACTGGAAAGGAGAATTAATATATAATCCCGGAACCAATCATAGTAAAGGGGAACTCATATTAATTGGAAACAGATACAAAAACTGTAAAATTGATGTAATTTTAAATGAACAAAGGCTAATTGCAATCAAAATAACTGATAATGATGAATCCTTCATTTGTGTGAATATATATGCTCCAAATGAAAGTAACAGCAAAATACAGTTTTATGCTCATGTATTGGATGTTATATCAACCTTTAACACTGAAATACCACTCATCATAGGTGGTGATTGGAACTGTATTATTGATCCTATGGACAACTTAGCAGGCAAACTTCATAGTGCAAATGAAATTGATGCCCTGCAAAACATCTTGATAAAAGCTGATTTAAATGATTTATGGAGATTATTTAATCCGGGAATAAAAGATTATACTTGGAAACACAAATCAAAAAATATACTAAGACGCATTGACTATATTTTTGGAAATGAAAAATGTTTTGATCTTGCTCAACAGGCAGATATTATAGACCTTCCTACATCTGATCACAGAGGCATATTAATATGTGTGGACTTTTCTGGTAGTGTTTCTGATAGAGGACCATCTTACTGGAAAATGAACAATACATTACTCCAAGACATTAACTATGTGAACATGATTAATAATTTGATCGCAGAGGAAAGCAATAGTACAACAATTGAAAGTCCACAAATACTATGGGATTTTATCAAGTCTAGAATAAAGAGACAATCTATACTGTACAGCAAGAAAAATGCCAAAATTAATCATTCAAAGTTAAAATCTGTGAGAGATAAACTTAAAATTGCATCCTCTGAACTTGCGAATGATTCTAACAATCCTAATTTAGTAGCGAAGGTGACCCAGTTACAAACAGAATTCAGCACTTTGTGTATTTCCATAGCCAGGGGGGCTCAAATTCGTTCGAAGGCCATTTGGGCTGAGCAGGGTGAGAGGAACACCAGTTATTTTCTGAACCTGGAAAAAGCTAAAGCACAGCAGAAAACAATGTCATCATGCAGAACAGCAGGTGGTGTTACTGTCACATCAAAGGAGAATATTATGAAGGAACAAGTGCAATTCTACACTACTCGATACAAGAGTATCCTTAATTATGACCCCATAAAGCTAGATCAATTTATCCAAGGCATTGATCTCCCCAAACTGTCTCAGCTGGAGCGCAATCATTGTGAAGGTCTTCTAACTATAGAAGAATGTAGCCAAGCCCTAAAAACAATGGACAATAACTCAAGTCCAGGATTGGATGGACTAACATCGGCATTTATGAAAGTATTTTGGAGTAAAATTAACACTCTAGTGGTGAATTCATTGAATGATGGCTATGTAAATGGTCAATTATCATGGTCTCAAAGACAAGCAGTTATAACATTAATTTATAAAGGAAAAAACCTTCCCCGAGAGGAACTGCCTAACTGGCGCCCCATATCAGTTCTAAACAGTGATTATAAGATAGCAGCCAAATCTCTTGCAAATAGGTTGAAATCAGTGATTAAATCGATTGTTAATGAAGATCAGTGTGGATATATCAATGGTAGATATGCTGGTATGACTCTTCGATTAATTGATGATATTATTGAATATTCATTAGATAAAGAAATAGATGGCATAATTGTAGGAGTGGATTTTTCGGCTGCGTATGATAGTATATCTAAAGACTTTATTTTAGATTCATTTAGAAGATTTGGCTTTGGTGATTCATTTTTGACCTGGATAAATGTTTTAAATAATGAAACAGTGAGTTGTATAAATAACAATGGTTGGATTTCTGAACCCTTTAGACTTGAAAGGGGCATTCGGCAGGGCTGTAATTTCGCCCCATTGGCATTTATTGTAGCGTGTGAAATATTAGCTTGTAAAATTCGTCAGTGTGATCAAATTGAAGGTATATTGATATCCAATAAACAAGTTAAGATATCACAGTATGCTGATGATACCACAAATTTTGTTAAAGATGAAGCATCACTTAGACAACTATTTACTGTTTATAGCTCATTTAAAGAAATATCAGGTTTAGGTGTAAATAAACGTAAAACAGAAGCCATGTGGCTTGGCAGACAAAGATATAGCCAGGAACAATTTTTAGATATTAAATGGAAGCTATTCCCAAACAATGTTATGAAAATGTTAGGTGTATCTTTTTCCACAACAAAACAAATATTTGATTTAGATGACAATGTGCAGTCTAAATTCGAAAAATGTGAGAAAATAATGAAAAGCTGGCAAAGTAGACATTTAACATTACTGGGTAGAATTACACTAATCAAGTCATTATTGACATCTCAGTTTAGTTATTTAATGCAAACTTTTGTTATGCCTGACAACTTGCTTAATCGAATCAATGTTCTCATGTTTAAGTTCCTCTGGTCAAAAAGCAAATTTAAAGAGGAAGACCTGAAACGGGTGCCAGAAAAAGTAAAAAGAGATATCATAATACAGGATTATAACAAAGGTGGTTTAAAAATGATTAATGTACATGATATCCAGAAAGCTTATTTATTAAAGTGGGTTAAAAACCTGTCAACACCAGGCAATGGTGCATTTAGAATATTACCCTCATTGTATTTTAATAAACTAGGCAAAAACATGAGTGTGTTTAAGTCTTCTGTATCAGAGGCTAAATTCATAGGTATTGACAACATTAAGTCAAACTTTTATAAAAAATTGTTAATAACATGGTTAGATTGCAATAAGAACCATGGAATTGAAAATGATAATTTGTTTAATAACAGAATTGTATTATTTAGACAAAACCCTATATTTTTTACAAATTGGATCAGATCAGGTTTAATTTATATTTCAGATGTACTTGTAAATAACACAATGATATCTTATGAACGACTGTGTGAAACTCTCGTAAGAAATGGTGAAACTTGGTTTCAGTATACAACAGTCAATTCTATTATTTCAAGACTGTTAATAAACAGAACTATTCCACAGCACAGTGAGTCTTTATCGTTCAGAAACATTAGTGTAAAAGATTTAACATGTAAAAATGTAAGAATTGAATTAACTAAAGATAGATTGCTCATTGGTCCAGATAGATTTAGTGAAAAACAATGGACCCTTACAAAAGAATTATTTATAGAAACAAAAATGATAGAATTACAGTGGAAAATTATGCATAGAATATTTCCTACCAGAAAATTAATGTATAAATATCAAATTGATGAAGTACAAAATGAACTGTGTCAAGATTGTTTAGTTCAGGACAACCTGGTGCATTATTTTTATGAATGCAGAAAAGTTAAATATTTATGGGATAAGCATTTCCCAGGTATTACATGTAATGAAATATTATTTGGTAACCCTGAATTATCCAAGACTACATCTATGAAGATTATCCAATTTAAAAGTTGTATAGCCAGTGGTAAACAGAACAAGAACAGCATATATTTTTTAGCTGACAGTATTTTTAATTCTGATTGATTTTTGAACATGTCGAAAAATAGTTAAGTGCTCATCTAATTGATTATGTATTGTACACTGTAAATATTATGTACATATTTTGTCGTTCATTTTAAATAAAAAAAAAAAAAAAAAAAAAAAACTGTTTCAAACTTCCAAACAAAATAATTAACAAATTAATATCTTTCCCAAAGAACAGCATCTAGCATGATAAATATTATACACAGTAAAGTAGAAACAGTGGAACACCTCTGTAAGTGGAACAGATTTTTCACAGTCATGTGGCCAAATTGACTCAATTTAATGAACCTCTGTGTGGAACACCTCCCTTTTTGTGGTCCCAAGGGCATTTCACTAACACAGATTCTACAGTACATGTATATCATAATATTTGTAAACATTTAAAGTGAATATTTTTGGTTGCCTATATTGGTGACTGATAAACATTACACACAGAATATGGATATCACAATATTGTTAACATTTAATTAACCTCTTGACTACCCAGAATGACGAGATTTCTCGTCACCTCAGAAATGACCTTGAAACCCAGAGGGACGAGAAAATCCGTCACAAAATTTTCACAAAAATTGCTCTAATTTGAACAATTTTCATCCAATTTACACAAAAATTGTTTTAAAACGTGTAGTAATGATCTCTGCCGTCCAATTTTACTAAGTTGAGCATCTAAAGTTGTATAGGTATGTAGTAAAATGTCAAAAGGTGGCAAAAATTGAAAAATTCTCTGGTTTCATGCCAATTTTAGAGCCTGGGATTCAAGAGTTTAAAGTGAATATTTTTGATTCCTTAGATTGATGACTGGGTAGTTGGCAATGGTGAACATCAGACTTACATCCAGTGGAAGCCAGTCAGCTATCTATCAGACCCAGCATCAATGAAGGCTTCGACATTGGCACGTAACTATGGTCTTCAGAATATGGCCAAGACTCCACAGGCAGATATCCTCTATGCTTATTTTGGTGACAAGTAAGTATTGTCTTCATTCATTAAATAGTTAAACAGAAAAGATTAAATAACCCATTCCATTTTCAAAATGGAAAATATAAAGTTGGTTGTTAACAGTGTAATGAGTATTCAAAGAGTTAATATGTAATATGATCTAAATAATATGATATTATGCATTGCAATGATTCCTTATTTCAGGTTGGTAAATGGGCAGCTAGCTGCAAGGTCGGCAAATGTGTCATTTGGTTTGTCTATGGATAAGTTCTATGTCAAACAGAACTACACTTCATGGTAAGAGACCTGTTTTTATTTAACATGCTGTTGAATATTGATTCATTAATACTCAGTTCATTACAGAAAAAATCAGGAAACTAGTTACTTTATGGTGAACATTGCTTTCATTTGGCAATAATTGAAATGTAACTTTTGAAATAGGAGTAATCAATAAGTTGATTTATTCAGTCATGAACTAGAGGTTTAAGGGATTGTCTCAAATTGTCAACGGTTGTGGAAGAATAAAGCTTAATTCTGTCATGAGGGGGCATAGAATGAAGATCTTGTAAAAAAAATTACCTTTCAAGTGAATGGCAACATTTCAAATTTCCTTTTAAGGGCGGTTAAGAAGGAGTTAAATCAACATTTCATAGTTTGCTAAGCCTGCAAGACAACAATTTGAAAATATCATGAATGTACAGACTGTAGATGTATTTTTCACATATTACTCCATTTTTCTCCCAGGAGTGCTACCATTGGTTACGGGCCCCCTCCAGCAGATACTTTATCCCTATTGGTCATCATTATCATTGCTGTTGGGATAGGAGTACCTGTCTTGCTGATTATGGGTGGCTGTATCTTCCTGTGTGTGCGTAAACGTAAAGACCAGAATGACTATAAACCTTTGAATGCGGACTATAACACAGGTATCAACTCTGATCCAGTTATTAGTTAAGGATGTTCTACTAACACTTATGTTAATGTCTGAGGAGAACAATGTACCACCAACGGAAAGATCTCAGCTGAGGTGCCGTTATTCAAATGAATTAAGATCCATGATTTGTTGAATAGTTTAAGGCTTGGGTAAATCAATACAATGTTTAGCAAATCCACTCACATCAATTATGAACTTTGTAAAAGTATGAGGTTCATGCAACATATAATTGCAAATGATTCATTATTCTACACCCACTACATTATTTGATAACCTTGACTCCTCAGCATGTTTAAGCTTGTCGATGTTCGAGTCTTAATTTTTTTGCTGTAGATATAAAAGGACAAAGATTTATGACTGATGAATTTGTTTCCCACATTTTTCCCTAGATACAAAAGTCCAAAACTAACAGACGTAAACACTTGCTTCAGTCGAAGAGTTGGGGTTGTCAAACATTTTTGAGGGAGTGTAGCATATTGTTGTTATTTTTGACCGATATATGCCTGTGTCACATAAATCATCAATATTTCTGGATTGATCAAACTAAACAAAGAATTTAGTTACTGTAGCCACCAATATCACAAAGAATTACTATAAGCATGGAACAATGATTCAATTGATTAATGGCCCTCAAAGTGAATAAAACTGATAAAATTGAGATTGTTAAACCTCTATTCTCTTGCCTCTCAGACAATTATAACTCGATTCCCATAGTGACTATGTTTGGATATTTAAAAACTTCTTACAGATCAGGCAAATTTTGCATTCCATACTGAAGATTGTGCAAAATATTGTTTTTTAGAATGTACTGTATCGTACTGTAGTTGCGTAGCTGGCTAAGGCTAGGGTAAGTTAATTGTCTGATTCTGATTCCTGCCTACCTCCCCTTTTATAAACAGTGCCAATGTTACTTTTCACTTTTGTCCATAAAAGACACTGTATTCTCAATAACCCCAAACCACAATTTCCTCTGATTCCCTTGCTTGTGTAAATATCAAGACATGCCTTGGGGAATCTCCTGCATATTTTGTGGTAGACTAATATCATTAATGAAAAATTGTTTTAAAAAAACATAGTCAAAACTTTTTGAAATCAAGTTTTGAAAGTTCTGGAAGTGAGATCACTTGAGAACTTAATGAAAGTATAATTCCTCCAATGTCTCCCCAGCTTTGAACTAAAGGAGGAAAGAGCACCTTTGACCTTTCACCAATTTGAAAAATACAAGAATCAGAATTAGACAATTAACTCCAGCTGAGTGTTAAGATTTTGATCAAACAATATAGAATGATAAATACCAAAAAGCTTGCATAGCACGACAGTCATACATGACCAAGTCAACAACCAGTGATTCCACAGAGTGTCCATAACATCAAATTTGTATTGAAAAGATACTTTATGGACACCCTGTATATTCGTATGTGTGGTTCACTATGCTTGTGATGTGTTGATTTGAAATATTTTGTCAGATATCTGGAAAACAGTATCTATTTTCACATGTATTTGATTATTAAAATTCAGTATAATTTGGTACAATGTACAATGTATACACAATGACACATGTGTGTTATCATTTTCATATGCTCCCTAAATAGTGCCATGACACAATGCAATATTTCCAATGAGACAAATGCTTCTTGTTTTAAAAATCCCTTGTCCAATGCAATAAGCAGCATTCCAAATACAATTTATAATAAACCAAAACACGTTTTATTAACTTAATACACAAGCAATTTTCTGTTCTGTAGTATTTACAGAACAGAAGGTCTGCATCAAAGTCTGACGATGGTGCATGTTATAGGTTATATGTATTGTTTTTCTTTAAATTTTGTTCTATTAAGGATCAGTGTTTAGCACTGAGCTCTTTTAAAATACTAGTATCACATTGGAATGAGACTTAACTCCAATACTTCCAATTCAGTTTATCTTAAAACAATAAGTTACCACTTAATTGTATGTAACTGTAAATGTTTATTTCTGTTTGCATACTACAGACAGTTGTCATTTAGTATATGTGTCCAGCTTTTTAATTGCATGCTTATTCAAGTTTATTGTTCTGACAATTGTATATAGTATAAGATAATTTTGTATGAAATAATTTTGTATGAAATAATTTTGTATATGCTGTTTCCAGCCATTTAATTGGTTATCTATGTAACTGTATAAAATGTAAAAAATATTACTGTAATTTACTGTACAAATACAATTGGTTATTTTAAAATTATACAATTTATTTTTAATAATGTTAGGAGATGTAAGCTACACATTTTAACAGTTATAACAGTTATCATGACTTTGACATTGAACTGAATGTAAAATATCAGTTCGGTCTTAAAACATAAACGCATTTATAAAGTGGCTCAACCTGTACTATGTCAGTTATTGAAAATTATTGCTCACCTTGTGAGCAAAGAAATCATAGGCGACATTTTTGTACCTCTCAAGTTGATAACAAGTAGGTTCAGCAATCACATTCAGGGTTGATATATACATGTTGTACATGTACTCTGTAAAAATTTTAATTTTTATTTTAGTCCATTGGTAGTAAAAGTTACATGTTGCTATAATTTTCTCTACCTGAGTTACATGTAGGTTGAGTCACTCTAATATAAAAGAACATTATTTTACAAAAATATAATTCACCTCTCCATACACATTTAACGTTATAATCGTTATAATCGGGAACATTAACCTTACCATGAAAAGAGGGACTCCTAAAGTAGTCTACATAATATCTTAAACTCATCAGTGACACAATATCATGAACAGTCCATGTTTTGCAGAAAATATTGGCGGAATAACGTATTCCACTAGAAGCTGTACTCCATGAAGGTTTTCCTTTCATATCCAAAACTAAATTCACTTACACGGTATCCTCAATCCTAGTGAGGAGTTCCCAACTATACTAAAACCACATGCATATTAATATGAACTATTCTGTCAAGACAATGTTCAGGCAAGTTGCATAAATGCTATACAATCACATTGTTTTATACCCTAACCCCGAGTCGTTTCGGTCCAGTAACTGTTTTTATGAGTTTTTCTGTGGGATCTTGATGGTCACCTGCAAGAAAATTAGCATTGTTAACCTTATGTTTATGTTTCTTTATTTGGACCATAAATTGATCATACAAATACATACTGGTATATACCCTTAGGAAAAATGTTATGGGTAACCCTTAGGTTTCACATAATTACCCATATTGTTACCCATAGCCCCCAAGTACCCATAACGTAAGGGTAATTGATGCCGTATCCAACCTAAGTGTTATATCATTGTTTTGTTTGTATTCATTGATTGATAATTGTTTATTGGGGTTTGTTTTGTTTGTGTTTTAAGATGTTACTGGATGAGCTTTCTGGCCAGATCTTGATTCAGTTTCAAAGGGTAAAATTATTTTAAAATAAGTGTACAAATACAACAATTATATTAGTAAACCAGAGGTTTTTAAGTGAATGTTATTAAATACTTGGAAATATATGTTAGGCTTATACATATGTCTATATACGTAAATCTTTCCCTCGGTATATTTTTTAACTTTGTATCCAACACATCCAAGTGGATACATTAATTGATTTACCATTTACTAATGGAAATATGTATTTCATTGTAAAAACATCAAAGGACTGTTTTAAGTTGAAGACTTACTGTTTTGACTTCAGTGTAAGCATCCAGTCCATATTCTCCCAATTCTCTTCCAGTTCCTGACATCTTGTAGCCTCCAAATGGTGCAGCGGCATCAAACACATCATAACAGTTCACCCTATAAGTACATTAATATGAAAGTTTGCCAAATAAAAACAGCTTAGGTATCACCCCTATAATACATTATAGAAAGCCATAAATAGGAGGGTTGTCCCAGAAATAATGCACTATATGCTCGTTTATATTATAACAGTTCTGTAATACATTAGAAGTTTGCCATAGAAATATAAATACAATATGGAAGTTTGCTAAAATACATGTGCATCATAAAAATTCACCTTATTAGAGTAGTTAATCTTACATATCGCAATTCAGCATACAAATACATGTACATGTAGATTTTGTAACCATTTCACTCTTATCAACAACATGCAACAGTTACCTTACAAACTCAAAAAGTATATTATTATTAAAAGTGTATTAAATCTTTTTTTATCAACTAAGACCCAACTTTAAGACCCACATGTTGATATTTTGTTACTCATTCTAAAAATAAAATTCCGACATGAGGGCACTTTACCAGACTGTTCCGGCCCTAAGTGAGTTGGACAGAAAGATGGCTCTATCAAGATCCTTAGTGAATACACTGGCTGCTAAACCATATTCTGTATCATGGGCTCTTTCAATTACTTCTTCAATGCTCTTGAACTTAAGGATCTGCATTACTGGTCCGAAGATCTGCAATATAATGTTGTGTTCCATAATTTAAACAGTCATTGTTTTCTGTTTGAGGTAGAATCATTATTTTCATAATTATAGTTTTAATGATGTAGTTTTTTTATGTCACCACCAGAAGTATTGACAAATTGCCATAGTCTCCAACTTATTTGTGGACAGTGTTCAGTGATCAAAACAGTGTTCAGCGGTTAAAACTTCTATAAGATAACAGTTTGGCATTCTGATACTCAGACCATCTCTGCTATGCACAAGAATGGAAACTGAGAGAAGGCTGTGATATCTCACGATGACAGTTTGGTATCTCTGTACATACCTCCTCCTTTGCAATCCTCATATTATCCTGTACATCACTGAATACTGTAGGCTCAACAAAGTAACCTTTATCCCCAACTCTGCCTCCTCCTGTGGTTAATTTTGCGCCATCTTTCTTTCCTGATTCTATCAGAGAAAGGATTTTGCCGAATTGGTCACTGTCAACCTGAAGTTGGAATAAATATTATTTCTTCAGAAAACATTATTTGTCAGGACTGTAAGACAAAATTTTGCCAAACTGGTCATTTTCAAACTAATGGCAAAATAAACATTATGCCTTTGAATTAGTGAAACATGCATTAGCATATAAGACGTCAGAATAGCATAGCTTGTAATCTATTGTAACGAGGTATACCATGTGTATGGACTTACAGTTATGTTACTATTCACTATACTAGTCATATTTAAGGCTATTACATTCAGCCAATTTACAATGAGGCCCAGCTATTCTGATGTGTTATATGCTAATGCATGATTCACTAATTCAATTTTGCCATTAGTTTGACAGTGGTACATGTAGATTTCAGTCAACAGAGCAAGCAGTGATAGTGATCATATTTGAAGATAAAATATCAATTTGATCCCTGTATATACCTGGGGGCCTTGGTCCACTGCTGAGAAAGGATCTCCCACTTTCCTGAGTTTAGCTTTCTCTGTACTCCTCTCTACAAACTCATCATAGACCTTCTCTTCTACAAAGATCCTGCTTCCTGCACAACAGCATTGGCCCTGGTTGAAAAACAGACCAAACTGGGCCTGGTCAACGGCATAGTCCACTGTGAACAAGACATATAACAACTGTGTCATTCTCTTTAGCCAAACACAACTATATAAGCCAATTTCATATTTGGTTCCATATAAGGTATGTATGTATGCTTGTGTGCCAAGAGACAAGATTAACAGTGTTACAAAAATGAACAAAGAAATAAAATACAAACATCTCAGAGTACAGCTACCATATATGGAAAGTGAACCCTAAATATTTAAAACTATGATCTTATGAGTGAAGAAGCTCTAAAAACCAATTTCCTACCTTTCAGTTATTACTTGTTCTGGAATATAACTTCTTCAAATCTTTTTCAATTGTCTTTTTAAAGAATATTCTAAAATTTCAATATTTATTTTTCTCGAAAGAAAACTCAAAATTGATGTTTCCTCATTTCTTAAAACTCCCGAGAAAATTGATATCCAAGGGCCTTAATGTTGAGTACTCACAGTCTGCATCTGCCAATACAATATTTGGACTTTTGCCACCAAGCTCAAGTGTCATTCTCTTCAAGTTGCTCCTAGCAACGGAACCAGCAATTATTTTACCAACCTGCAAGCAATAGTACAATGTAATGACATCATTTACACAATAAAACAACTTAATTTTGGTTACTGATAGTATTTTTGCTCTTGCTTATTCATGAATTAAACATGTCATATGATTGATATACGTATAAATATAATTGAATTAATTCTGGTATTGCGAATTCATCATGACATAACTTTTTATCAAACCATCAGTGGGATACAGTCATCATGATAACGGCGTGATCATTATTGTCCTGCTTTTGTGTCATCGTGATTTCAAGAAAACTGCTCATCGGATTTTCTCCAAATTTGCATACATGATAGAGGATATCTAGTTCTGGTGCTGATCAACTTTTGGGCACCCATCTTTTTTTCTGGTGTCCATTTTGAGGTTTCTTTGATGGTGTGATCTCATTCACATCATGTGCCTTGTTCTGATTGGCATATACAGGGTGTCCCGAAAGTATGGGGCCCCCCCTAGGCAGACATATACCAGTGTCATCATAGTATGTGTCATATATCATTTTAAGGCTCATCCAAAGTTACATTGATTCGCCAAGTATCATGGTTCAACTCTCAAATGTGAAAAAGTTACAGGCATTTCAATATTTAGTGTTTGGTCAAAATTAAGTTCAATTTTACACCAAATCACTAGTCAATTTGTCCTCCCGGGCCATCTTAACAGCAGCAATTCTTTTTGGGTCAGATAGATATTGAGTTGGAAAAATAGAACGGTGAGGGTAGAAACTCCAAGGAACCTCTTCTAAAGTGCCTTAACAGGTTTTAAGAGGGTTATAAAATTCCACACCCCTATTTGAAGGGCTTTTAAGGTCATATTTGAAAATAATTGCGGCTGTTAACATGTCCAAGGGGGGACTCATTGACTCGTAATGTGGTGTAAAATTGAACTTTATTTTGATAAAACACTAACTTTTAAAATGACTGTAACTTTTTCCCATTTGGGAGTTAAACCATGATACTTGGCGAATCAATGTAACTTTGGATAAGCTTTAAAATGATATATGACACATACTATGAGGACTCTGGAATATGTCTGCCTAGGGGGGGCCCCATACTTTCGGGACACCCTGTAGTATCATAACATGATTACATAGAGTTTTTGCTAGTAAATGTGAATTCATGAAATTATAGGCTAGTACATCAATGAATGAAACATGTTTTACAGTTTTAAATTATTTGGAGTCTCTTGTCCCCTTACTTCAGTTGATCCAGTGAATGCAACTTTGTCAATCTCATTGTGGTTGGCTATGGCTCCTCCAGCTGTTGGTCCGTACCCAGGTATCACACTTACTACACCAGGGGGGAATCCAGCCTATCAACACATAAGAGGGTTATATATATGTAGTTATATGGCTACATTTGTATACACAGAAAATAACTGGATTACTAAAGTCAGCTATGGCGTAAAATTGGAAATTAAATGAAACTTTTGGAAAACAGGAGAAGGTTGATTCTAATTATTCCGACTAACAATACATCAATATTGAGGTATTGTAAGGAGGTAAAATTGATTAAACTACCATCAATGTAATGGCCAATTCAGAAAACTACTACAACCAGCATACTAAATCCATCCCAGTAAATAACATTACACCTTTCAGGATTGACAATACAAGGTAAACTTATATTTCTCACAATTGGTAGATAGACATTACATTTATACCCCTCTGTTATCTCCTTGAAATCTTATTGTACTAAGTACATAAAGTATGGGATAATATTAATATACAACTATTGACCTCTCCAGAGGTTTACTGTCAAAATTATATCCCGAGACTGTAAACCGAGACCGTAGGTCGAGGTTTACAGTCGAGGTTTACAGTCGAGGGATATAATTTTGACAGTAAACCGAATGGAGAGGTCTATAATTGTTTTGTTAGTCCGAAGAATATCTTAGATTTTTCTGACCCTTGAAGTTGACTTGAAGTTGGATCCAGACCCTCGAGACGTTCATGTTGTATTTCAGTATATCGGCAGTAAGTTCACTCAATGGAGTCAAATTACTCTCCTGGGCGAAGTCCACTAAAAGCTTTGTACAAAGTTTTAGATTTTTCTTCGTATTTTGACTGTCTTTACTCTCTAAGAGACTAATTATATCCTCATCTTCAACATTTTTGAAACGGCTAGTGCTAGCGGCGGCCATTTTATCGTCTGATAATGACGTCATTTTAGTGGAATGCTGGGAATATTATTCACCAGCAATGCATTGCGCGGTGTACAGTTAAAATTATTCACCGGTCGTTGACCAATCAAAATCGAGTATTTCAACTGAGGTACTAACAATATATATAATGACATGAACTTTGTCGTGATAAATTAATAAGAGGAGATTGGACAATTGCTACATTTAAGTTTGTAGTTCAATCTGTTTAAAGCTATGATTTATTAATCTGTGTTGTCTTTGTTTTCACTATTCCTTTCTAAGACTCAAAATTCAAAATACTCTCTTAAATGATCATTAGAGTCTGTGAATGAGCCATAGCTTGCAGAACCAAAAGGCATGTTGAAAAGTGTACAAAATTGTCTTTACCTCTGCTATTAAAGATGCCATGTGCAATCCAGAGAGTGGCGTCTGTTCTGCTAGTTTCAAGATGCTAACATTGCCCATAGCAAGAGCTGGGCCCCATTTCCATGCTTGCATTAAAAGGGGGAAATTCCACTGAAAAACAATCAATTTTAAACATAGCATGTTGACAAATTGTGATATATCATAGCCTAGTCCCTGGTAAAGAATAAAGACATCGTCAGTGTTCAGAATAAGGATAAATTCCCTTGCAAAGTCACAGACCAAGTTTGAGATGACAATTAATCACTACCATTCAGTTTTCAATTTCATATTTTTCTGTAAAATTTTGTTGAGGCAGTTGCCTAGCACATCTACCTTATGCCTAGCTAAATCCCCAGTGACCTAAAAATTATAACTAATATTTTTTCATAGATAGAACAATTCAACCAGGGCCAGCATAAGAGTGACCATGATTTCTTCTATACTACTGATGGTCCTTTAATTGACTTACTGGTATGATCTGCCCGCATATTCCCACTGGTTCATGGCGTGTGTAGGCAAAATGATCCCCACCTGAAAAAAATTCTTGGTGTAAATGTGCATGCAGTAATGTATTGGACAATGTTTTTAAATGCAGTAATGATTAAGCAATGTTTTTAAATGCAGTAATGATTAAACAATGTTTTTAAATGTAGTAATGATTAAGCAATGTTTTTAAATGCAGTAATGGATTAAGCAATGTTTTTAAATGCAGTAATGGATTTAGCAATGTTCTCAAATGCAGTAATGATTAAAGCAATGTTTTTAAATTCAGTAATGATTAAGCAATGTTTTTAAATGCAGTAATTGATTAAGCAATGTTTTTAAATGCAGTAATTGATTAAGCAATGTTTTTAAATGCAGTAATGGATTTAGCAATGTTCTCAAATGCAGTAATGATTAAAGCAATGTTTTTAAATGCAGTAATGGATTGAGCAATGCTTTTAAATGCAGTAATGTTCAAGCAATATTTTTAAATGCAGTAATGGATTAAGCAATGTTGTGAAATGCATTAATGGATTAAGCAATGTTTTAAAATATAGTGATTGATTTATCAGTGTTGTTTAATGCAGTAAAATGTTTAGAAAGGCTTAACACTGAATGTGTTATAATAAACATACAACACCATATTGTCAGGGCTATATGCAAATACAACTAGGAGTCAAACTACAGCAAAAACAGAATATAGATCGAGGTATAGAGGTTAAAGGCTTGAAAACCGTTTCACACGTTTTGTTCAAATACTTCATTGTATAAAACCTTAACATCAATTACTTTGTCTGTCTGTTTTTGTTTGTTTTATCCTGATCGTATAACTCTTTCATTTTGTTAGTTTAAAATCTGAAAGGAACTAAACAAACAAGACTGTTGACAATAATAAATTTAGAATGACTGCTTAAAGGGTTTAAATTGAATATAATAATAAGTCTTAGCATATAATGTCAAGCGTGTAGACATAGTCTCAAGTTTAAGATTATGCTGAATAACACCATCTCTTACTACTTGAAGTGAATTAAATGAACACTCAGTGAGATTTGTCCACTTGTTGAGTGTCAATGAATTAAAGTTCTAAGGTAATGGGAATTGCAGCAAAGGTCCATTTATGATGATTTTTGGCACATAGTACATGTACAGTAGTAAGCCTGTGCGATCGTCCATCTGTATACTCAAATTAAAATGAAACTTTGGTGATTACTTCATCTATGACTAGTACCTACCTATGGGTATTGTCTTTCCATGGTTTTTATCTGCCCATCCAGCGTAGTACCTGTAGCATTTCTCAGTAAGGTGAAGGTCAGCATTGAATGAATCACCAAATGGTTTACCATTATCAAGTGTCTCCAGGGACTGCAAAGATGTATTTTAACTTTTAGAACAATTCAAGTTTGATATTACAGAGCAAATTATTCTTGGGGAGTGGTGGATTAAATGATTTCCCACCTTGACCTTTACTTGTCTAAACTCTCTGAGAATACAAGAAAACATTCAAGTCCAATAGTTGAAATGGTGCTTTTAATTATATGTAAATTGCTCTTTCTTTCAAATGAAAAGAGTTTTCAAAGCTTTATGCTATACCTTTCCAGATTCTGAAAAGGTGAATAAAATTCAATCATTACTATTTAAATAAGGTTCACAATAAACGTGGTCAGTGGCATAGCCAGGATTTAAAAACAAGCAAGGCAATTCAGAAGCCCCTCCAAAGGGGAGGGCATTGAGTGTTTTTAGAGATTTCAAATGTGGCTCTCAGATATGATCCGAATCCACTAGAAAGCATCTAAAGTTTACATTTTTTCAGGGGGGAGCATTACCCCCAGACTTTGCATGAAACACGTCCCTGATGTGTTGGCGACACAACCCATTCATACCCAAAAGTCACCCTCTTGGGAAATCCTTCAGATGGGCCTGAATAAATACTGTTGTTAGACTATGCCCATTGTCATGTTTTGAGGTATAACTTACAGCCAATATATTTCTATCCCTAGCTACAAGATCAGCCAGCCTGTTGAGGAGCACCCCTCTATCACATGCATCCATAGTTCTCCATGGTGATCCAAGCCTAAATGCATCTTTAGCTGCTTTAACTGCCTTCTCCACATCAGCCTACAATATAGGGCGATATGTCGCAGATTTTTATGTGTATGTAAAAGGCTAATACAAGTGGTGTTTGCTATTTTGTACATGCTTTGTTTCGAGAGAATGTTTTACTATTGATTAAAATAATGATGGACTTACTGACATATCGACTTTCTGATTTTATTCTATGGACCTTTCAATTCAAATTATCTTTAAACACCATTTTATGTATATTGTACTATACTATCTATAATGTTTATCAACCATTAGGTAGTCATTGTTGAACCTACTCTCCCTCTCCTATCTCAAATATCATCTTCTCAGTAACTGGGTTGATGCTGGGGATAGTCTTCCTTGAACCCCTCTGTAACCTCACATATCACCTCCTCAGTGACTGGCTTGATGTTGGGGATTGTCTTACCTAGTCTCTCTATGTTACCTCACAGAAGACCTCCTCAGTAGCTGGGTTGATGGGGATTATCTGACCTGGTCTCCCTCTGCTACCTCACATATGACAACCTCAGTAGCTGGGTTGATGGTTGGGATTGTTCTACCTGGTCTCCATATGCCACCTTCAAAGATGGCCTCCTTAGTAGCTGGGTTAATGGAGGGGATTGTCCTACATGGTCTGCTTCTGCTACCACACAGATCACCTCTTCAGTTACCAGGTTGATGGGGATTTCCTTACCTGGTCTCCCTCTGCTGCCTCACAGATGACCACCTCAGTAGCAGGGTTGATAGTGGGATTGTCTTACCTAGTCTCCCTCTGTTACCTCAAAGATGGATGACCTCCTCAGTGACTGGGTTGATGGTGGGATTGTCTTACCTAGTCTCCCTCTGTTACCTCAAAGAAGACCTCCTCAGTGACCGGGTTGATGGTGGGGATTGTCTTACCTAGTCTCCCTCTGCTACTCCACAGATGACCTCCTCAGTAGCTGGGTTGATGGGGATTGTCTGACCTGGTCTCCCTCTGCTACTTCACAGATCACCTCCCCAGTAACTTGGTTGATGGGGATTGTCTTGCCTGCTTCTCAATACCTGGGTTGATAGTGGGGATCGTCTTACATGGTGTCCCTTTGGTACCTCCCACATCACCACCTCGGTGACTAGGTTGATGTTGTGGATTGTCTTACCTGGTCTCACTATGCTACCACACAGATGCCCTCCTTAGAAGTTGGGTTGATGGTGGGGAATGTCTTACCTCGTCTACCTCTGCTACCTCATTGATGACCATTTCCATGGTGTCCCTTTGATACCTCCCAGATCACCGCCTCGGTGGTGATTGTTCTACCTGGTTTCCTTCTGTTACCTCACATATTACCTCCTTAGTAACTGGACTGATGGGAATGGTCTTACCTGATCTCCCTCTGCTACCTCACAGATGACCTCCTCAGTAGCTGGGTTGATGGTTGGGATTGTTCTACCTAGTTTCCCTCTGTTACCTCACATATGACCTCCTTAGTGGCTGGGTTGATGGGGATTGTCTTACCTGATCTCCCTCTGCTACTTCACAGATGACCTCCTCAGTAGCTGGGTTGATGGTGGGGAATGTTTTTCCACTCACAGAATCATGCCACTCATTGTTGATGAAAATCTAGAATGTGCAATGCAATATCTTTATCTTTATTACACATTTATATAATGGAAATGCAGTATAAACATCCAATTTCTCAGAACTTTAATTTCTTGCAAAATGTAAATGATTGGTCAATGTAAATTGCTTTATAGACTAAAGCATGAAAATTCGGGAGATGATAATTATAGTGCAACCATTCATTGTTGCATGCAGAACAAAAGCGGGTGTTTAGGCTACCATATATTTTCTGCATGTAATCATGAGCTCTATTTTTGGAGTGAACAGTGCACTTGGTAACCTAAAACCCTTTGATAAATATTATGTAAAAAATGAAATATTATGAAAAGGCTATACAGCGGCGATGTTTAATTCCCTGGAAAAATCTGGGATTTATCCAGCGAGAGGCAATGTACATAACACAACTCATTATAAAACACTTATAAGGGAGATCTACCTTCTACCTGACCTCCATGTCCTATGTACAGAAGACAAAGCTCTCTTCATATATTATGTTGGCTAATTAACCAATACTAGTGGGAATATGATCATATCAACCCCGGCAGTTACGCCGACAATACCAAAGGCAAAGGCATGTAAGTGAAAAGTAGCACTATGGTCTTGTCATAACAAATATCATTGAAAATAATTTTAGTCTTGAGGCCCTACATCATTGTTCTGTTTTTTTAACAAGAAAGGAACTAATAAAAGGCCATCATGGCTACATGGTCTGATGGAGAAACGTTACATTACCTTGTTGTATTGAATATCAGGACTTCTGATGGCACTTGGTTGTACTTGTGTGGACAGCGCAGCTGCTCCCTGAGGTCGGGGCAGTCTTGAGATATTCCTCACAAAGCGAGATAGTGACATCATCCTATTCTTCTAATCCTCGGTGTTCGTTTTCACTGCAAACAACGAAGTGGAGCTACATGTAAACAGACCTTCACCTTGACCGTTTATCAATCGATGTAGCTTAGGCTAGATGTACGTGGAATATTCTTAGTGCAGTAAGAGTATTAACAGCTATAGGAATCATATAGTGAATCCAATTACCAATTATCATGATCAATGGTTTAGTTTAGTAACTTACATGCTGCCTGAAAAACGCGACAAGGATATTCCTTCCCATAGGCTAAGGGAAAAGTGATAGTAAGCTCTTCTATATACAGCTTACTATTACTTTTCCCTTAGCCTATGTTCCTTCCCTTAGCCAGCCAACAATATTGTAATAATTAATGTCAAGAACAGTGTTAATATAAGTACATCGGGCTGCATCATTAGATCATCAAAAGGGTTAGCCTAAAATCCATTAATTTTCTGATTTTTTTCACTGAATTTTCTTTTTTTTTATAGATTTGAAAACATTCTTCTTTACATTCTTTTCTAGGTACATTAGTGCACTCATTGTGCAAAAGAGAGATGTAGGGAGATGTAGACATTGTGGGGAAGCAGGGGCCGGATCTGGGAACCAACAAGGGGGGGGGGGGGGCCTCTAAAACTCAAAAGTGGGCCCAAATTTTGAAATTTTGGGGCCCATTTTCTTCAAAATTTGGCCTGAAATTAAAAAATAAGGGCCCACCCCCCCCCCAGATCCGCCAGTGGGAAGGAGTGATTCAAATTTGAAAAATAACATGTGACCCTATTGAGAGTTGCAGCATAATTCCGAACATTCACCCTGACCTTAATGGGAAAATAATTAGTAAACAATTGTAAAATATCATATTTTGTGTTTACTATTAATAGTTTTCCTTCAGCCTTTAGGTAAACGGTAAATAAGTAGCCCGACGATATGATGGTTAGGTTCAACATGACATGTTGAGATTTTTATTGAGAGTAAACAAACTCGTAAGCATATTTATAGCCGGGGACCAAGTGCCAATATTTGCCATGCGATAGTCCATCGGTTGAATAGAGTGGGAAATAGTACAAATGGGGTACAAGCACTGTTTTCATTCTAGAAACACCTACATTGATCACCCGTGTCATAACTTTCATTCCTATACACGGGTGTATCAAATAAATTTTTCTTTTGAATTCAGATTACTGCACGGGTGACTATGTCAAAATGAAAAATTACTGAATATTGGAAGGACAAAATAAAAAATAAAATATTACATGTATTAACACTACAGTCCTATCACATCCCTTTCGAAAAACTCGGTGTGCTATTGATGGTTATAAAAGCGTTTACTCCTATTCAAATGCATGTTTTGAAAGGTTTGTTTGCATTTTTTGTACGCTTTAATTGAAGACATTTGTAACAAGTATTGGATTTTTGTGTTCACTATTCAGAGAGTTCGTAATTGTATCGATGAATGAGTAGATGGGGGCTCAACATAATATATGAAGGGGTGAAGTAAAATGGTTGTTTTGAACATACATGTAGGCGTTTGCGAACCAGATCTTCAGATTGAGATGGTCACCGACGTACTATTTGATGTTATTGATCTTTTGTTATTTTAAACCAAGGATGAACAAAAAATCATCTGCATTATTATGTTTGTGTACCATGGCGTAAAATATAGAAGATCCCTGTTTCAATTCAGCTTTTCGAACCGCTCCAGAGCCCCTCGAATTATTCTAGCATTTTGTTGAATGACTTTTATAGCCCCGAGATTATTCTGACCCTAATAATATGTGTATACCCCGTGATTTTTCGTAACGGATGTTCACGCGAAGTAATCCACATAATAAATGCACATGTTCTCTAAAAACGTATATCTTTACCTCTCTAACGAGGCTCTGTGATTTTGATCACAGGGCACCAAAACACTGAGGTCCGGGTATACTGTCATTGATAAAAAAATCAGTCTTATACAGTAGCAGACATTTTTAACGTATTCCTGGGCTTCAGCCAAAACAGGTTGAGTGACATCCATCGCGATGGCCGCGCCCCTTTGTCTCTATCCTTCCTCTCGTAAACGGCAGATAAGAGGGGCTGTGGCATACCAGGATGAGTGACATCCACCCCCTTCAATTGTAACCCTGAGAACTGCTAATAGTAAGACTACGCGAACACACTGACTAGATTAGCGTGCATTTATTTAAACATTTACATTATAAATGAGAAATTCTAACATACCCTTGCCAGGCTAGCTATCCGTCAGTCAATGTTAGTTGAATAAGTGCCTTTATTCAATAGTTATACAAAAAGGTTATCAACTCATGCAACTGCTGGTGTTTTGTGTCAAGTAAACCTTGTGACCGTTGTTGAAACTACAATCTCAAGTCAAGATACACATTTCAAACATGCACATTGCACAATGATAGTTGCAATTCAGTCCACCCGTATTAGCTCAGCGGAAGCACAGGTACTTCTTACGCAAAATACATGTAGGTCCCGGATTCGATCCCCGGTTCAGGCAAGACTTAATTTGCTTGTTTGTGTAAAGTACTTGAGTGTGTTTGACTGAGTGGTCCACAACTCGTACAAAAGGCGTGTATGTATGGGGAGTGGGTCTATCTTCCAGGCTAATTACGTTAATTAGGACCGTATAGATACGGGATATACCCAAGAGGTATTGCTCACCTTCATTGGTGGTAAATAAAATACAATACAATTGACAATTACAATTACATTTTTTCTAATCGGACTATACATGTAGAGCACTCAATCGTCTTAGTAGACCCGCGAGTGCAATGTGCAATTAAACACACAGTGTTTTGTCCCATTTGCTCTACGGCGGACGCACGGCGGCCATAGGTTCACAAAACCGATATAGAAAATGTACTTAGCTTATCCCTATATTTTAGGCTGCATATTTCTCTCTCTTTTGGGAAGCTACGGCCGCGGTACGGTTGCCATAGGTTAACAATGAGGTTTTGTTGTTGGATGTTTTTAGTTTTAATTCGAGTTATGTTAATTTGAATCCTTGAGATTCAAAACAGTTCGATTCGTATCTTTAAAATTGGACTTTATCGACATAGCTGCATAGTTAATAACATACAATTGCAAGATTAGTATGTTTGGCAGTAACTAAATCCCCCCAAAATTCATGTAAAAAGTTTTGACTGCCAAATTTACATTTACCCTATGGTAATGTTCTTCGGGGCAAAACGTACATCTGGACTTGATTGTTCCTAAATGAATCCTATGGTTATAGTACATTGTATAGAATGTACAAACTATAGATATAGAATAGACTTTGACCAACAGATAATTGAATTGCTGTTATTGATTAACAAATGATTGTGCATGTCACGATGACGTAAATTTTTGAAAAAATGTTGTATTATAAGGGGTACGTTAAAATAAACGCACTCATGTTAAAGTTGGGGTGTTTCAAAGAACCATGTGAGGTATTGCAAGTGATTTTAGTCGGTCATATCTTTCACCTTGAGTACTTTCTGGGCATAAATACAGTGGTTTTTATTAAAACAATATGTTTTCTTTCAATTGAAGTCCTCATGATCACTGCGGATTTAGAAGGGGCCATTGGGGCGCACGCCCCCCTAAAAAGTCAGAATTTTAACTGGAAAGCAAAAAGGGTGGTTATGGATTGTCAATAATGCATTGCATACGCTGAAATCAGACCGGGAATCTGACCTACACTCTGAAATCGGTCAGAATGCACCAAATGATGAATGATTTTCGAAATTTCCTGGGGGAACACCCCCTCCCGATCCCCTTATTATGAACTGTGATAAAACATTGTGCGCAATTCAAACATATTTTAACACTTATATGTGACATTTTAAATGATAAGATACTGAAATCGCCGTGTCGACGATGACCGCTCACTTTTGCATTTTGGGGTGGTATGTCCTATATCGTCTCCCAGATTAAAGCCTCAGTTGGTTGGTTGGTTATTGGTATAATAATCCCAAAGGGCTAAGATTCTTTAAGAATAATGCTATCCACCGCAAATGCCCAGGTTCCAGGAAATCCTATACGGTATTGGTTTATGTGTGGAAACCCCGGCTGAGTTAGATAATATAAAATCATGAAGCTTAGCTCCAAAGAAATACTTATTATGTTACATCTGAATGATTTCTAAAAAGCTACATGTACAGAACGGGCAGAAAAGTTCATGAGAGAAAAAACTATAATTATCCGTTTCAAAAAGAATAAGAACTTTGAGCATAACTTATATGTCACTCTCAAAAAGTACTTTCCTTGAGATAGATGTTTTTTGTCTCTTGGAAACAAAGCTTTTGAATGCGCTGCTCCGCGTAGGGCTTCTCTTCATGCAATATTGGCTTTTTGGAGTCTTCACCAGTATGAAGTATTTTGTCTTGTAATACAGAAGTAGAGGTGTTTTAATCTTACGCCTCTTTCTCATTCTCCCTGATTTTTTCGGCGGGTCCGAAATTTTTTATGGACCATCATCTTAAAAAGAGAGTAAATGTCAGGTTATGGATCACAAAGATAAATGGCAATATTGAAAAAATCATATCAAAATCATGTTTTGGATTAACGGACGAAATATAATTATACTAAACATGTTTATATGTCTATAATCATTTTAGTTATATCATCAAATTTTTGGGTTTCTTTTAAATGTGCCAACGTACAATCGAGCTGACAACGTACAAAAACTATTTTTTGTCGTAACATCTAAAATAAAAAGCAGTTTGCATTATCACTATATTGATATTTGTATATTTATATTAAGTTGTGTAAGTCGAAGTTTGACTATTACTTGAAAAGGAAAGTGAGTGAGACTTGGTAATTTTAGAGAACTAACTCATCCCCCTCCACTCACTGTGATATTTTCATTATTTTTTCACAACGGTTTATAACTCATTAAAAAAACAGCAATGCCATTCATTTTGTGATGATAACGTAACCGGTGCTTGATTTATTGCAAAGAGATTGACTTTTGCATATCTTGCAGATTTGTTGAATTATCTAGCAGAAATCGGCTGCTCCTCTCCCTCCACTCGTTTTGTCCGATTTACGCCCGTGTATGTAAAATTTCAGATAATATATGAGTGCCATTTGAAAAAGGTTAGAATTTGACTTTTGAGTTCAAAGTACTTGACAACTTAAACGGTAATTGATGTAGCATTTGCTTGATGTTTACTTACTGACATTGAGCGCTTAGATCGTTAAAAGCCAAGAACTTCTTAAACTGATTCTTCAAAATGGGAGACAATGCGCCTATAGCGGATCCAGAGATCAAATACACTCAGGTAGGATTGTTCTCGTATACTTTAGGCTTGTATTATATAACAAACATACATTTTTAATTGCATTTCTACATTGGTGTTTTATATGTATTCTAATTTGCTTTCAAAGGCTATCAGGGTTTCAACAGCACCGTTTCTCAACGAATGCATGTTTGGTTGCAGATCTTTATTAACAATGAGTTCGTAAAGTCTGTCAGTGGTAAAACGTTCCCCACCAACAACCCCTGCACAGGGGAACCCATTGTGCAGATACAGGAGGGAGATAAAGTACAGTATCGTTTTCATATTATCTTTAGATGAATATATTCAAAATCCTACTCATTATGAGAAAAGTGCTGTTGACTTAATATATTTTTGATGATCTTTACATGTCCAGGTTATCCAGGACCGTGGCCAAGGAGGGGGGGGGGGGGGTCGATGGGTCCCCCATGGCCAAAAAATCTTTCAAAATCGTGCAGATTTTCACCATTCTGAGCACTTTTTAAGTGATTTTGGCCATTTTTGGACCAAAATTGTCACAAGTGACCCCCCCTGGAATTTTTCAAAAAGTGAACCCCCCTTGACAAATCCTGATTACGGGCCTGTTATCTGAGGCTAGTATAGATTAATTATACCAGTAAATTGTATTTTATCTTTGACCAAATATCTCAAGATCGTCTGAAAGTATTCAACAAATATGCACCGTTTATTTTCTCTCTGATTTCTAAGGCAGATGTAGATAAAGCAGTCAGCGCTGCCAAAGCTGCTTTTAAACTTGGGTCACCATGGCGAAGAATGGATGCTTCTCAGAGAGGACGCCTTCTGAATAAACTTGCTGACACCATTGAAAGAGATGGTCGCCAACTTGCGGTAATCTCCCTAATATTACTATGAATGCAACGCTTGTTAAAAAGTTACCCAGTCGTTGGTAGGTCGACTTGTCCTTCTTATATTATTGAAATGGCGGTAAGTTTACTATATATATAAACTTAGATATTACATACAGCAGCCTATGCCTGCTACAGTTATAATAGCATATACCAACCATTCGGATGAGAACTTTTCAGAGTATGTCTATGTGCAGCTTCTTGAAAGGTCAATCGGGGAAATATATATTTCTGTGTGTTCAAAGTCAGTCAATTCAACTGAAATTTGCCAATCGGGGCATTTTTCTTGCTTCAATTCTGTGTTTTTTACTTTGTCACTCGACGCATGTCTATAAAATCACATATACACCACGGCAATCTATATTTCTTCAAAGTGTGATTACTGTTCGCCTTCTGTTAAGCGATTCTCGGTCGAAACGCAGTCCAGACACTACAGCAACGTGGGTCCAGACTGCATACATATTTGACAAAACTGGAAACGTTCAAGACGTGCTCCCTATTCTTCTCTGTTTTGTTCAGTACAGGGACATATTGGACTTGCTTGATTTTTTCTTTCTTTTCTGAGAAAATGCGTTAGACAGTTAGATGCCTGATTAAATCAAAATTCTCGATAGGAAAGCATAAGGCATCAACTACTTTGTACTTTACAATACAGAGAAAGTTGGTGCCTGAGCCGCGTTGCCATACAATCTAATCTATGCTGTGGACGTGTTGCCATATTGCTGAAATTGACTGTGCCGCGTTTCCGGCGAGTTCAATTTTGTAAGCAGATTGCGAGAAAAACAAGCAAAAGTTTTAATGTTAATTTGTGTTGTACAGTCCATATGTGTCAAGCTATTGAATGCCAACGTTCGCCCATGAGTCGCAAAATACCTCCTTAATTGGTATTAGAAGATAGCTCAAGAAAAGTAGAGTCGGGAAATCATATTTGTGTTGACTATTTATCTTCTCTGGTCAATGCCTGAACACTGAGAAATTCTTATAGCTTTACATACCTTGAGGGGTTGTTCACCGAATGTGAAGCATGCGTTTTCAAAAACTTACCTATGTTTCGCAGAATTAGAGGACGAAGTGCCTCCGATTATTGGAGTTTGCCTCCATTGTGGTATGTAAAACGTTGCAGCCTCGTTTTTAAACAGCTACGCGTGGCTGTAACACGTTATCTATGTATGTCCACCTTGAATAAACTAAAATAGATGTACCAGTTGCTCTTACTTGCCCTGCATATATAAAATGTTTATGATATGAAGAGATGTACGTAACCCGGTACCCCTGACATTGTCGTTTCACTGAACGAAGTTCAGACAAGATATAGGCCGTCTGTTCATTCGTCTGTCCGATTATCTTTTTGTTCGTTCGCTCGCTAGCTTGTTCATTCGGTCAGTTGACTCTCGGCGATAACTCAGACACTGGTTACCAGTTCTTATTCACATTTTATGAATTGCTACTCCTTAGAGTTTCTGTACATGTTTGTCTAGTCAAGGTAGTTCCTTCACAGAGAAGAGTAGTCGACGATCGTACAACTATAGAGCACTGATTCTGGTGTTTCAATAATTTTATTTTGTTTTGCAGAGCTTAGAGACATTGGACAATGGAAAACCCTTTGGATATGCTTTTAACTTTGACCTAGTATTTGCCATCAAAGTTCTTCGATACTATGCAGGATGGGCAGATAAGATTGTTGGTCAGACTATTCCCTCGGGTGGGTTCATTTATAATGCTCGTTTAATTGTAACTGCAATGAATCATGTGTACTGTAGATTGGGTTAATTTGGCGCCCGCTTTAATTTGGTGAATTTGGCGAAATTGAAAAATTCGCCAATAAAAATCTTCGCCAAAATTTAGAATGAATCCCCGGGAATTATCTAGGGTATTTCGTCAAGTGTATTTAAGTCACTTCCGGTTTAGGTTTTTTCCAAAAATATGAAAAAATGTCTCTCATAAATTGGCTCAGAACTGGTCAGTCACTCATTAGGCTAATACTCAGTATAGTAGCAGCATCGATCGAGGTGCAAAATGTAAAGGATGATCACGCAAAAAGTACAAACGTGGTGAATATCCTCAGTGGTCCTCAAAAGAAAAAATAAAGAACCAAACATGCCTATTTACATGGTAATTTGCAAAAAGCGCGTAAGTTAATTAAAACTTTTTTTGCATATCCGCCAAATTTTGCCATTTTTGGCATATTGGCGGCTATTTATAATTTTATAAATAGCCGCCAATATGCCAAAAATGGCAAAATCGCCAAATTAAGTAGCGCCAAATTAACCCCAATCTACAGTAGATCTATTTGAACTGAAAAATACATCTCCATGCGAACACTGTCGATCACGTATTTATTATTCCTTTATTAAACCAATCATTATTTTAGATGGCGACTTCTTCACTTACACCAGACATGAACCCATTGGTGTATGTGGTCAGATCATTCCCGTAAGTTTGTTTATCTTATCATCATTACCAGTTGATATAAAACTAAAACTAAGAGTCGTTTTTATTTCGTGATGTGTACACTCCCCTCGGTACTTATCCAAAAGTTCGGCAATTGGAAGTTTTCATTGGATAGTACATTGAAGCATATCCTATCCTCGTTGCCATTATGGGGAAGAGTGTAGTTACGGATAAAATCTAGCTGTAGCCACAGACCCGAGCCAGGTCCTGTCCCCATTGATAGTAGGCTCAATGAAATAATGATTTTGTGTCCTGTCCTTCAGTATATTCATTGAGCCATGAGACTAATACTATAGAAGGACTCTGGCAGAGGTCCGTGGCTGTAACCTCATTAGGACATGTACGTTTGCCCTTACATCTCGAATGTCATTTATAGTGGAATTTTCCATTGTTGATGATGTCATGGAAGATAGCGCCTGCCTTGGCTTGTGGAAACACTTTGGTGCTGAAGCCCGCAGAACAGACGCCATTGACGGCGCTCTTTGTGTGCGCCCTAGTAAAAGAGGTATGACGGTTATACGCGTTGTGATGCGTTTATTATTCTTGTCTACGATAAGATCATATTCTCTGGACTTTCTAGGTAACTGCAATTCACAAAAATAAAACAACGTAGTTACAACGCACCTAGCTGTTTTATTACCCTTAGGTGTTGTCTTGTGCTAGTTTGTGGAATCCATGACTAAGAATTTCAAAATTATCTTGAAGTCAGTAATAAATGTTTAGCATAAAATAACACATACTACTGCTGTGGCATATTAATCTGATTACCTTCAGGTAGGGTTCCCCCCTGGAGTTGTTAACGTAGTTCCCGGCTATGGACCTACTGCGGGGGCAGCCATTTCTAACCACATGGACGTCGACAAGATTGCATTCACTGGATCAACTGAAGTGGGACGTTTGATACTAGAGGCAGCTGGCAAATCCAACCTAAAGGAAGTCTCACTAGAGCTCGGTGGGAAGAGTCCGAATATCATTTTCGCCGATGCGGATCGTAAGTTTAAAAGCAAGAGATGCACACATGATGTTTAATGTTACAAGATGTATTTATTTGACAGACAATTTTAGAGTTTTAGAATTTAAGAGTATTATAAATAAAACGGGACCGCGTATCAAAACAAAATTCTGGAAACTGACAGTTAAATTGTACTAAAACCATTTAAAGAAACTCTTATTATCTTGTTTTTAGCACAAATAGCATCCCCTTTGTTATGTTGACTACAAAGCTTGTGATAATTCCCCACACAATACGATTTATTAAGATGAGACTGTCAACCTCTGAAATGTTATTATTTTTATGCACTTTTTGAGGTCACCTGACCATGACGTACCGTGTGCCAAGTTATTCTGGCACTAAATCGAAAAGTCGTTGCAAACTACTACGAAGGCTGAACTAAAGTGGAAATAAACATTAGTTTCACATTTGCACGCATTCCAATAGCCAAATAAATATTTTTAATTGATTGAACTTCACAATAAGAAGTTCTTGAGGAAAGAGCACTGTAATATTATTCATTACATATTCAAGGAATTGATTGAAATGCATTTGTGAAACCGTATATCGATAACTGAAAATGTTAACCCAATTATTATATTTTCAACATTACTCGATTTTGAAAGCCAGGGTTTCATTTTTATCAACAAAATCATGTTTCGCGGCAAATTGTTTCAACCACATACGTCATGTCACGTGACGTAAAATTTCTGCTCTGAAAATGAAAACAGTTTTGCCGCGAAAACAGACACGTGCTGACTTTATATCCCCGATATCATGATAAAATGAATTTTGGGAATTGCTGATGGTTCACCATTGTAAAGTGTGACGTTCATACGGTAAGATAGCATTAATATCTCTAAATCGAGGAAACTGGTTTGAGTACAACTTAAAATTAATATTTTAGTGGCGGATGCAGTAGAATGGTCGCATAATGCTCTGTTCGCCAATAGTGGCCAGGCATGCTCTGCAGGGTCCAGGACATACGTGGAAGAGAGCATTTATGAAGAGTTTGTGAAACGCTCGGTCGAGAGAGCAAAGACAAGGAAGATTGGCAATCCTCTTGATGCAGACACAGAATCTGGACCACAGGTGTGAAAAATATACGTCCAACTTCTCTCAAAAATTAGCAATGGCCAAATTTCTGGACTTGATATTTCAAGTGTATATGCAAGAATTTTTTTATGAGAAACGTTTACCAAATTTTTAAAGACAAATATAAAGACGTGTCGCAAAAAGGTGGCGCATTTGTTTTTTAAGGGTATCGCGTGAATGTAACTTTGATTCCCCGGATTATAAGATAATATTCTAATTAAAGTTATATATCATTTTAAAGCTGTTTCGATGAAGATTTTAGATCAACTACACTCCGTTCCCATTTTTTGTGCGTTCGTTTTTAAAAAAGAGTTTTTTACCAAAACATCTGGCAAATATCCCATGTTGACACGTTACATTTTGAATTATTTTTCGTCTTTAAACGCTCATAACTCAAACAATATATGACTATTATACTTATTTTTCGTTTTGATAAAGGTAGATGGAAGTTTTATTTCAAAGGATGAATTTTAGTAAGCGTCCCATATTGTGACGTCATAGAGTCTGAAAAATAGAATCTGTTGACAGCGACCTTTTTTGCTCATTTTTTGGTACCTTCAACTTTTCAGGTGTACATTCAACAAAAAATACGAGATCAATTTTTAATAAATCATACATGATTATTTTGCTCCTAAACTCTAGTTTATTAATAAATAGTTGATTTTGTTCACAAAAGTATGTGTTTTCTGTTGTATGTGGAAAAGTGGAGGACGAAAGGTTTTCAAAATTCATTAAAATAGGGCTAATTTACTCCATTCGCCTATTTTCAAGCACAGCAACACGTATATTTATTTCACCTAAAATATCAATTGATTCGTGTTTTATGATGCTAGTAGCCCATTAACATTATATATATATGATGTCAGAGTTATTCGTTTAAAATGTTTTGAGATATAAAGGTAAATGTGGAGGACGAAAGGATTTTCATGTGTGCACATTTTTCTCAAAAACGTCACATTCTATCATGTTAAAAGCGAGGATCCTCTGGATTACGTCACAAAATGTGTAACAATGCGTGCGCGAGCTTTTTGCGACACGTCTAACAAGTAATAAGTTGAACCACCCAATTAACAACCAACGCGCAAAGATATCAATGTTCGCATGATTAGATTTAAGAAGCACCAGTCTTTAGAAGGTACATGTTCAAATATACTACAGATTGAGGAAACACTACATGGGCGGATGGATGTGCTTAGAGCCTTAGACCACCATCAACATTGCTGTAAATGTATTACTTAAATTTTTTTACATGCACTATTAACTTCCAGATTGATGAGGAGCAGTTCAACAAGATTCTGGAACTGATCAAGAGCGGGGAAGAAGAGGGCGCAAAGATGCACTGTGGAGGAAAACGATTCGGAGACAAGGGATATTTCATTGAGTCTACTGTATTTTCTGACGTAACCGATGATATGAGAATCGCCAGAGAAGAGGTAGGGGATAACAGATAAATGCTGACTGTTCAAGACTCTCAAAAGCTAAACTTAATCGCTGGATTGGTACATTAGTACTGTATTATACACTGTATATTACTAGTATATAATATCTATCTTCTAGGTCTTGATGTACATAATAAACCAACCTTCGATCGTGTCTCATTTGCTTAATATTAGCTATAATCGGCCATAATGATTTACTCGTCTTTTTAGATTTTTGGACCCGTTATGCAAATCATCAAATTTAAAGATATAGATGAAGTTATCCCGCGTGCAAATGATACATCATATGGCCTAGCGGCTGCAGTCTTCACCAAGGACATCAATAAAGCAATAACTATTGCCAACAGTGTGCAGGCTGGTTCTGTATTGTGAGCATGACACCATTTTTATCACTGTTCAATACGAATTCTTTGTTTTTTATAACTTTTCTTTTGTGGTGCAGTTGTGATTCATTTGAGTTACAATTGTGAGTAAATATTCGAACGTAAAATAAATATCCATAAGGGTTTGTCTTTTTGACAGAACTTCGGGTTTAAGCTACAAATCTATAATATATTTGCCTCAATTTTTCTGCATGGCATAGCGTTAGCGTCGTCTTGTTAGTCACATGTGACTCCAATGTTTTGTTCCCTCGTTGCAGTGTGAATTGCTACAACAGCCTTAGTGCCAACACTCCATTTGGTGGCTTCAAGGAGTCAGGAATAGGACGTGAATTGTAAGTATTCGCAGTATTTCACTCTACTTTTTGAGGAATGAAATAATGAAAGGTTCTCGAAATTATGTTCGGTGTAAATGCGTTGGACATAGCAGTCGTTTTATATTAGTTTTAATGAGTGTTCGTGATACTGTTTTATCGTGCACCCTTTGTGCTACATTGTTGTCTTGTGGCCATGGTTGTGCATTCGTGCGTCTGTCTGTTTGAGCAGGCGCCACATAAACTGTGTCATCAAATTTAAAAAAACGGCTTACCTATTCAATTCGAAACTTTACAGATGCAAGAGCAGACTTGCTCCAATGCTAAATAGTATCTCATTAGGTTTTGGGCATGCTTGGTGAATTACTTGGTGGACATTTTGAATTTTTCGAGAAAAGTATGATATTTTTCACTGCGTGTCTTGTTTGCTTTTGTACTTCTTCGTGATTAGAAAACTAAAGGTATATTTTCTATTGGAAAAATCTTGATTTTAACCCTTGATCTGATTGGGCTATTCGAAAGTTTGTTAATAGCCAAGTTTCACCAAGGGTATGGAAAGAAGTGAAATACCCTCGGACCAAGATTGAGATAAGCCCCATCGTGATATTTTTAATGACATAGTACCTACAGAGCCATATTCCTATTTCATCCACAAATCAGCAATTGTACAGAAAAAATCAAAGCATGTGTGAACATATTCCTGTAGTGTTGACACAGACATATAAATGTTTTATATGTCTCTGGTTGACATCACATTGCTCACAGTTATTGATTAGTTCATCGGTTGCCATTGTTTTGGGGGTTTGCATTGTATATGTGTTTTGTTTGTTCCGATTGAATCTTCTTTTTCTTATATTTGACCTGTTTCCCATGTTATATCCATACCATACGTACGAATAGGACTTTATGATATATGTCTTTGTATTTTATTATGTTTTCAGGGGAAGTTATGGAATAGAACACTATTCTGAAGTGAAGACCGTTACAATCAAGATACCACAGAAAAATTCATAATCACCGAGGAGCTGACTTTCACACTGATAAAATACATGTACTGTAATGATGGATAATCACTTTGACAATCACTTTGAATTTCTGGGGGTTTGAGTAGTTGGGAAATGGGGAATTTGAGATGGTGAATTAGAAATGTGCCTGTTAAAGGTTTTTAAAGGTTAATATTTTGGCTATAGAAATCTGAAATATCAAAAAATTCCAGCTTGTAACCCTTCTTATTTTGAAGACATTCAAGTCACGGTTACATAATAGGAAGATTGACTTTATTGTTCTTGAACTCCTCTGCAGGGGGTCTTTTGAAGATTGATAAATAAACATTGAACTCAATGGAAACATGCAAAATGTTCGAGCCCTGTTATTATCAACCGGGGGTACTTTTTAACACCACTTCGGTAGATATCAAAAATATTTGTATTAATGATAATTTGGTCAAAAAATGGTGACGTATATATAGCAAGTGCAATTAAAGTGCTAACTGACTGCGCAATCTATTTTTCTTTATTTCGTTCATCTGAATAAGTCGATCGCTATTCATTTATAACATTTTATATTGCCTCAAGATTTATCCTAGCTCAAGCGTACTCGATTGAACGTAACGTAAATGGTATTATTTTCGGCCATCTCTAAACGTTTTTTCTCTTCATTCGAGCTCCCGACTTCAGACTTTCTCTCCTATCAAAAATTAATCCCAACATACATAGCCCATTTTTCATGTATCTGTGTATTGCATACCTCGATCATACATCCATTGTTTTTACAATATCTATATATATACGCATAATGTAGTAGACGTTTAATGTACTTATAAAACATGTGTCTATCATATTTAAAACGGTCATCCAAGGAGTGACCTATGTACCTTCATACATACTAGTATGGTCATGAATATTCAGTAAAATTCCTTTGATCAAATGAACATGTATCGGAAATACATGAAATACATGCATCATATATTCATTCTATACTACCCGGTTGTTTCTATCATGTTATCTTCAAAATGATGAGTGATTTGATAAAATAAAATAAATACATCTTCGTTGGTATCCGCTACTCATTGGGGTTATTTTTTAGTATTCATCTTGGATAAGAATAGTTCACGACTTTTATACATCATGAAGCAGAGATTTACCGTAGCGCAAGTCTGTTTTTAAAGTGTATTCATTTTATTCATATTTTCATTGATGATGTTTAGTCAATTTTGTTCTTTCTGATGTTTCTAAAGAAGCCGATGGTCTTTTTTATCAATACAGTTACACTTATCCCAACAATAATGCAGACAACACATACAAGTGCTACGATATCTAGTAAGAAGTACTGAAAAAAATTCAGTTCATTAGCGGCTTGGGAGCGCAAATGAGGTGCACCCTTGTGGCGTATTACGTATTCAGCCCAGTAGACGACTTTATCTCGTGGTGGTATTGGTTGATCATGGTATATCGCTGCAGCTTTGTTAGCATTCTCCTTGTATGTTTCGTCTTTAATAACTTCCTCCATGGCTCGCTGGAGTTCCTCACTGGTGATCTTCTTCAAGGAGATTGTCTTGCCTGACTTTATTCGATCGGAAAGTAAACGGCAGTTGTAAAATTGATCCCAGAAGAATGGGATTCCAATGGTTGGTAGAGCGTTATTCAAAGCCTGGAAGGATGATGCAGCTCCACATTGGGTAACAAAAAGCTTAGTCGCAGGGTGGCTCATTAAGTCTTGTTGAGGTATCCATTTATTAACAATAGTGTTATTACCAAGACCTTCTGGCCTAGGGCCTTCGTAACTCCATATCACCGTTTGGGGCATAGCTGCGAATGCTTTGGCAAATATAGAACGAAGTTCAGGCCAGAGTCTACGAAACATTGATCCAAAGCTCACAACAATAATTCCATTATCTCCAGCTTGTTTTATGATATCTGCATAGTGTTGGCTCAAAGGTTTTGGCTTGTCCATGAAAAATCCCTCGAGGGATATGACGTGTGGCATGAAGGGGGCCGGGTAATGCAGGGCATCATTTCTGTTGATGAACACCAATGAGACAGTCTTAGGTGAATCTCGTATGTTATCACAGGCATCGCCATGGCCAGATTCTTTACAAATCGCTATCATTTTTTCGAACAAATCCGACATTGTTACTCGAAGGTGAACATATTCCCATATGTTTGAAACTCTTTCTGTGAAGGACATAGTATCTGTAAGTGCATTGAGGAAGGCGGGTACATAAGCAAGATTAAACCTTTGTACATATCCAATGTCAGCAGTCATTGGTCCCCAGTTTGAATATATAATCAATGGAATATCGAGGCTGGCAGAAATCAAACGTGCAGAATGCATCCCTTCGTCTGCTATAATTAGGTCGAAATTTTCATTGGCTATCTGGTCCCAGACCTTCAGTGATTGAGAGAAGGTAAAACAAAATATGTCCATGAATTGTTTAAGATTTTCAACGCCACTGCCAGCTTCAATCATGCTGTTAATCCAATCCTGATTAAGAGAATTTTCATCATTTGTTTGATCAACCGGAGGCATGGGATAGCGTATTACTTCAAATGACGTTCTTATACTGTCCCTTTCCACCATCTTGTACAATGCATCTTCCTCAATATTGTCCGACACCAGCACAGTGATTTGATGACCTGCACCAAGTAACTCATTTCCTATCTTTAGCATGTTCATCAATCTGCTGTTGTATCCAAAATCCATAGGCATAATCAAAATTTTGCTACACCTTATTGTTGTAAAGCATAAAACCAGTAATATGGAAAATTGTATGAAATTCATTGTCGATTTCTTTTTGCATTAGAGTGCTTTAATATTCGATAAAGTGCCGCCTGTATTGAAATCACATGTGATATCTACATGTATATGTACGAGGGTCGGTCAGGTAATACTGGTACAAATGGTCCCAGTTTCTTATTTGTGAAGGAAAAGATGAAATTTTCGTAGATTAAAGGCAATACGTGTGTCTTCATATTCAACCAAATATTTTATTCTTAGTGCTTTTAAAGTTAGATCAAATGTAACATATATGGATGAGGTTACCCGGAGTATTTTTTATTTTTTCATTATTTAGTAAGCAACCCTCGTACATTTACAATGAATAGTGATGCTTTCGAGGCAAGCATTCCATTCGTAACTCAAGATAACACAAGTGGGGTATGAATCAAAGTATATAGGCAAGAAGCTGTCTTCATAAAAAATACAAAAAACATAAAAAGTTTGAATGGTTTGAAGATATAGGACAAAAAAGAAGTATATAGGTTGTTTAAACAAATTGCATAGAAAATGCAATTCAGAAATACATGTACAATGAAAGAAGACACTGCAGTGTAAAATGCTGACTTCAATATCTACAAAATGTGTTTTAATATAGATGTCCATTTCCTGATTTAAACCATCCCACATATTTTTTACACATCTAGTGATAAATTTTATTAATATAGTGAAATGACCAATAATGTTTAGATAGTACAATAAAACTCTACAGAATAAGAGATGTCTTTCAACTGACCTATTTTGACACAATACAGGTACATTGTACTTTATGATCTCAATCACACACTAAATATTTTGTTGAAGTTCAGCTTTTGATTTATAGGATAGTTGACTATATAGTTGATAGTTTAACATATGCATACAAACTGATGTGTTTGAATCAGGTTAATGACATTTTGGGTTGTTTAAAAGTACATGTAATGATTGGCTAAACTCTCAAATATACATGTAGCTAGGTTTGATATATAAGATTCCAACCAATCAAACCCAGCATTTCAAATGATATGCATTCTTGAAATTATGACAAAGAACTACTGGCTATTTTTTAGCTTCAATAAAATTGATTACCCCTGTCAATTACATCCTTTCAGTTGGCAGTTCAGAACATATAAATAGTATCTTAAGGAATAACAAGACAGATGCTTATGCAGATCAAATGTCAAAGTTTATGGTCTTTTAGGAGATACTGTAAAAAATATTTTACAATGTGTGAAAAGAATTTAAGCTTATGACTTAATGGATGTTGGATATTTAATCCACTCATGTCTACAAAGTGTACGTCTTGTCGCTGTCGCACAAATGCATAGTCTGGAAACAATACAAAAGTTGTTCAATCATCTTAGAATTCATTGAATTCTGGGCTTAAATTATTTGATCACACATTCCAGCCTATCGGAACATAATGTCTCAAATAACCCGCATTGTTAAAATGACAACCAAGCACCGTGATTATTTTTAGATTCAGTTGTGAAATCGATTACCCTTCATCAATTTTATAATATTAAGTTGCCAGTTGAGTGAAAACCTATAGATTATATCAAAGGGAGTAGCAAAGTGAAATGGTTAGTGTTGACGTATTTTTGATCATTTAACCCTTGTTAAAAATTTATTTGCAAAGAAATAATTTTATAAGGTGATCATTCTCACATGATATGAAAAAGATGAACCTAATTATTTATTGGCAAGACCTCAATGAAAAGTTGAGAAGTTCTAATGACCTTTTACGCCACGTGACCAGTCAATAAAGTAGCACTTTTTATCTTCCCTTCTCGGAGCGATTATAGGGTTTTAATTTGCCTCCTCCTTTAAATGCCAATAAGAAGCTGTCAATATAAATGTTGAAATTTAAAAACTTCTTTTGTTTTTTTACAAAGTACATATTTATAGGATATCCTATGATTTTGAGGAATATCATTTTTATCTACGAGGTGATATTGATATCTGCACGAGAGAGCGAAGCGAACGAGTGCATATATCAATATCACCGAGTAGATTAAAATGATATTCTGAAAAAATCATAGGATGTTCTTATTATCCTACACTTACAAGGAGTGTACTAAATGTATAATATCATTGCAAAATGAATTCCATGTCAAATAGAGTCAATTTGGCGGGCGGGAAATCAACAAGCGGAGTATATCGTCACAATATCCTCCGCATATTGGGTTTTCCGGAGTATATTGTCACGATATCCTCCGCCCGGAGTATATCGTCACGATATCCTCCGGATATTCATTTTGCCAATAAATATCAAATTTATTTTTTAATGTTATTATACATTTAGTACACTAAGTGTAGGATAATATATTCTATACATACAGGTATATAGGGTATATTGTAGAATAAATATCGACTGTCATATTTTCGGACAAAATGCAAAAAATTCCCCCGGGAATATCCTTTTCTTACAGCCTGGGGAACATGTCAATGGACAAGATTTTCCCCGGGGGAAATATTTTGCACTATTTTCCTCCATTGCAGGCACAACAGTATTTGTACAACAGTCTATCTAATGTCGTGAAAGTAACACTTATTCAATTGGCCCAGTGGCCCCAATATTTGTTGTCTCAACATCAATTAATTCTGTTGTGATATCATTATTTTTGTTATATGTTGGGGTTGTTGATTCGTTCGTTCTTGTTGGAACAACGGTGCTGTTGGTGCGAGTTGGAGGGAAGTCTGCATTAGACGTCTCCATCAATGTACTACAAGGTGTAGTCGTTGTACCAGATGTACTTGTTTTATTCACCGTTTCAGCTTCAGCAGTAGTAGCATCAGCCGCTGTCATTGTATCTTCTGCTGTAGTTATGTCATATAATGTTGCAGTGGACTCGGTAGTGGAATTCGTCGCTGTACTAGCAGGGGTCGTACTTTCAGGAGATGATGTTCCATTTTCTGGTTTGTCTGGTTTACAGAATTTTACAGTGCTATCACAGGGACATGGGTTCTCTGAATCAAGAAAGTGAAAACATATTTACAATGCATTAACAATGGTAATATTTATGGAAATGTCACCACCTGATTACCAACGACGATACAAACGTCGAATAAAAAAATACGAGGGCCATCCTTAATCCTTATCGATCAATATTAAAAGTCTGCACTATAATCTTGAAAAATATTAAGTCTGTTGTGTACAAGAAAGAAGCCTATTGGACTTTCAAATCAACAATATAATTGTATATTTATCTAATGTACAATATCCCACCTTTGATGAACTTCTTAATGAAATGGTCAAGAATAGCAGGGTGCGCAGTGCTTGCGTAGAGACTGAACTTTGTAACTGGCTTTGCTAAGGTATCTGCACTTTTTGTGCTGACGCCAATCTGACATTTCTTGTCATCTTTGTTCTTGACAACGATTGGTCCACCGGAGTCTCCCAAGGCGGTGACCCTTGAAGTGCATATTTGACACCTCAAGATGCTAGTAGATTTCTTGTTACATTCATCTGTTGACAGTTTAGTGGTCACTTCTTGAAGGATCTTAGCAGAACTGTCCCGCTTTCGAGGGTTTGTTAAACCCCACCCATACACCGTGACGTCACAGTCATCTTCTACCTCTTCATCTGCCAGACATATCGGTGCAACAGTTTTTGTAACGGTGACACACTTTTTAAGTCTCATTATCGCAACGTCTCCTTGATCTCTATGCAAAGTAGATCCCTTGTCCCAATCCCCAAGCTGCTGTACTGGACCATCTTTTGGATCTTTAGTATTGTACTGGCCAGCTGTCATCCTGCATGTATAATATCTATAGATTAACATTATATGATGTTATGACACATGTATGACACATGTACATAAGAGTGACGTACAGGGAGATTTTGGAGAGGAAAATATCTGTATCCACAGATCTAGTGACACATAATTCCCGAGTGTCTAAAACCGATCGTGCACTACAGATGTATCCCTTACCTACTGAGGTTCTAGATACATTCTACCTTCAAGGTTCCAAATTTTTTAATTGATCTTTATTGTATCATGATTATATCATGCGTATCGGAATCATTGATCCAGGAAGTTTTGTCTAAATATATGTCCTTTATTTTACAGCCGGAGTTATCGGGAGTTCCCAATGGGTAATATATATATTTAAACTGAATAAAAACGGACAAAAGTAGGACAGCTAAGACTTGGCTTTTTGGCTATATGATACAGAGAAATTCTGCGAGCTACTTAGGCAAGTCAAAGGCAATGTTCTGGACACAGAACACTGCAGTGAGGCAGCATGAACTCACCTAATACCGCCAGGTTTACGAGGTGAAAGACAATGTGTCGCTGTTAGAACATGGCAACGTGAGATAAGAGACCCGGTGCAGCTCTTCGTACTTCTTCTAGATTTGATCTTTAACGCCACAACAAACGAATGATCTGTGGCTGGCTTACCTGAAATCAAAACTAATTGTACAGTCATCAAAATTCACATCAATAACTCAATATCGAACTGTAGAATTTCGAGACCAACAAATTTCCTATTATTAGGCTACTGAGATTTTGGATTTCGACACATCAAGATATCTACAAAATTTAAGTGAAAATGTAACGGTCTGGGCATCATGATAAACCATGCCATCTCAAATCTTCTCAGCCCCTCAGGTGAAACAGAAAGATGCTATGAGTATCAGAATGCGGTCTGGGTCCATTTATGAACTGAATGAATTGATGATGTAATATGACAAGATATAAATGTTAGTCAAGGAACCCAAACCATTACATCGCTAGGAATGTAAAGTTGTTACTGCACATTATATGGTTGTGCGCAGTAGCTTAATGACCGTTTGGGCCAATACAGGAATAATATTTTCATCGGTTTTCAATTGCAAGTAAAACACTACGAAATACATGTATATATTTTGAGTTATGCTTAGAGTTCATAGATTAGAAAACGCATACCGCCAATCACTCTTCTGACTCTGGTATGACTTATGGAACTGATACCGTTGTTCAATTCCTGGAAAACAAAGAAAGAACAAGGGGAGAATACAAAAGAGAATGCAGTAATAGGTCCCTCTGCTTCCTACAGTTCTTTGTTTTGTCACATTTTACAGTGGCGGATCCAGCAATTAACAAGGGGGGGGGGGGGATTTTGAGTCTGGAAAAAATTTGGGCCCCTAAAAAACAAAAATTGGGCCCATATTTTGAAAAATTAAGGCCCATTTTTTGATAAGTTGGCCCAAAAGGCCAAATTATGCCCAAAAAGGCCCTTGATAATTTTGGGGCCCAAAATTTTTCTGTGGCCACTAAAGGATCCGCAACTGTTTTAATAAGGTCGTAGAATAGGATATGAAGATATTGCAAAGGTCAAATTATAAATTGCGGATAGTACGTGTGAAAAAGGATTTATCCACTGCACTGAAATATGTGTCCGATGAGGTATAAAATGTGCATGCGTCCATCCAGGTGTTGACGAACTACAAATACCAGATCCCATCGACTTTCGTCACAAGGTATGCCAGGACAGTGTTGTCAGAAGGTCGTGTGTTGATATTGAATTTACATGTAACCAGATAAGTTTCTTTTTATTGACACAGTTTCTTTATTGCACATGACTCTTAACAATACTTTATATATGCTAAATTGTACTATGAATATGTTGAAAGTGTTAACGGTCATTTTTGAATTTGAATTCGGATATTTCATGAACTTAGGCATGTTGGGTACTCAATTATAGTCATCCATTTGTAGAGACTACCTCATTAATGGGTAATTTTGTCTATAGTTGTATTCTGCATTCTTTAACGATGCACTAAGCATTCAGCCTTGCTCCATAGAAAAGAATTTGAATCTGTTGCTTTATTACGATATACTAGTATGTCACGATTTAAGGTGCGGTGGTAGTTAACAGGAAGTGACAAAACAAAACAAAAAACCATGCTGGATTTTGAAATTGTTTTGATCCTAGAAAACAGAGTTCTGTTTTGACCTCCAGTCAGTTTAACTAGTTCCACATATCAGCCCTCTGAAAATGTGACTGAAAAATAGCGCTTAGGCGCTTAGGAAAGGTCACTGAACAGAATCTTTTGAATTTTCAGAAAATGTGCCCAATAAATTGCTCTAAATGATACAATCTTTGAGATTTTAGAAAATTGTCTGAAACAAAATGGTGGTCATAAAAAGGAAAATAGATCGCTTTTCAATTAAGTTTTTTTTCTATGAATGACATCAAATTTTCAAAATTGTATCATTTAGAGCAGTATATTGGGCACATTTTCTGAAAAATTCAAAAGATTCTGTTCAGTGACCTTTCCTAATACTTTTAGCTATTTTTCAGTCACATTTTCAGAGGGCTGAAAAAGTTATTTCATCATGTTTAGGGTCATTTTGACCATGTACATTGTGATCCTGGTCATGTAAATGACATGTGGAACTAATTAAACTGACTGGAGGTCAAAACAGAACTCTGTTATCTTGGTTCAAAATTTTTCAAAATCCAGCATGGTTTTGTCAGTTTTTGTTTTGCCACTTCCTGTTAACTACCACCGCACCTTAAGGGTACACTGTTGCCCTATATATCAAAAATATCCAGTAACACTGCCCTTAAAGCTTTCTGTGGACTATTTACTCTATTGTGGGTGCACTCAACGATAAATGTCAACAATATACCAATAACCTCATTTACACACCGGAATAGCCTGACACAAATGGCGGACTCAACCGTCGCTTCAACTGTTTAATCACTTGGTCCTCATTTCATAGGATTTTATCGTCGCTAATTCTGTGCATGCATTAAACTCTTGTGATTATGTATCATATGAAATCCCATTTTCGATCAAATTGGGTCGTGAATCACCAAAATATAGCGTCTTCGATATCGTCAATGACAATGGAATCTGAATTTGAGTAATTTAGAAAGACAACGGCATATGGTAATTACAGTGTCCGTTGTCCCGTATCTCATTTTGATCGGTTAAATTAGTGACTTTATTTCGATGGTAGAACATTATTAACTGTAAAATGAGTATTAAGACACTTTGATTGATTGTTCTTCGAAAGGAATTTAGTCTAGGTGCTCTATTAAACATACAGTTCATGAAAATCTAATTGAAGCGACAGTTATATCCGCCATTTGTGACAGCGGTATCTGACGTTACCGTTGTCAGGCTATTCCGGGGTGATTTAAAAGCTAAAGGGTAATATAATGAAATATTGTGCTAAGGGCCGAAAGCCCAAGGTCCACAACAACATATTTCACTATGTTGCCCTTTAGCTTTGAAATGAGGTTATTAGCATTATTTCTACCATTTATAATTATGCCCAGGGTTGAAATACACTAAGAACTGACTCCCACTGAACGAAAATTATATGGCGGGCTGTAGTAATGGCGGGTCATAATGAATATTCTAAAAATATGTGAGTTCATGTTCTAATCGTTATATAGACCTCCATATCCACAAATACATACCTTAGGGCTAGACACAACAGTTTTCGAAAACGTTTGTGACTAGCCCTGTGGTATGTATTCGTCGATATAACACCTGCTCTTCGGTCTATATTCCTTAAGTACATCGAGGTACCAGTGTTTCATCCCGGTTATATAGCCTCGGCGAATTATTACAAAATCGTTCTAAGCGAAAAACGCGAATATCGAGAGAGCGTTCACCCCCTTATAGTAAAAAATGAAATAGTCTAATCCTGTTAGTGAAAACTCGGTGCTATACGTAGCCAAAAAGGAAATTCACAGTTGATGTTTTTGTATTATTCCATATTTAGCCTAATCATTTATTTTATATATCTATTTTCTTACTTATTGAATTTATTACGTGATTGATCTAGCAATATACAAATTAATACGACTTATCTTTAGAATAGGAATTACTGTTAGTTTTTATTAATAATTTACTTACTTCAATTCATATATATATTTAGTTATGCATTATGTTAGGTCTTGTTATACATAGTAAACGTTGCAATGCTTCAATACTTACCAACGAATTTTGATCGGCGGTATATCGTGGAATGTGAAACGCCTCAAGAGAACTAAGCGCCACAATCAACAATGTCCAGTAAAGCATTTTTACTCGAATATCGATGTTTAGTGATGACGACTCTGATAAAATATAATTAATATAACAGATTCACCTAGTTGTTGCGAAAAACAATTACATTTTCAGTTTTAATTTCGACTATCGACTTGAACTAAAGCTACAGTATTTAGTTCACCGATGAATAATTTTAACGTTTTTTCAAGAAGTAGCATCTTTATATAATATTAGTTTGAAAACCCGCCAAATCATAATGCCTGGAGAATTTAATTATTCTGTTTACCAACACGATTCCTTTGACTATTTAAATATTTTTCCTTATTTAAATAACTTCCCCCTGGTTCCAAGTATTTTGCACTTTCGAAATCGTTTCACGCACTTGCAATTGGATAAGAGATATTATCCAATGCGAAATGTGTTAGAGTGTGAACTTAGCTTTACGAATAACATCTTGAATAAGTATTTGCTATATAGAATATGTTAGCTAAGTTCACACCAACGGCGCTTTGATGGCGCTTTAAAGCGGCGTGCAAAGTCGCTTTGCCGCCGTTGGTGTGAACATAGCTTAACTAAAGTTCTAAAGCGCTGGGGCACTCCTCCTCTTGTCATAGTCAGTCTATATGTGTCAACCAAAAACGCCATCTTTTCATATAAAAGTAATTTAAAAACAACTTAGGGAACATAACCAAATGCTACAACATGCGTTTTCCCATACAAATGATCTGTCTTTTAGAGAAAATTAAGATTTGTGGCTATGTTTTGCTATCATGCCATCATACCCAAGTATGTCATCTGTCAGTTAAAAAAGTTCCAACCAAAACTCCCCACGAAAATCAAAATGTCTCACCAGTTGAATACGCCATCTATAGAAAATGTCAAGAATTGTCATTCTGACAGATGGAGGGAGGTCAAAAAGGTCAAAAATCTTCAGAGAAAATGCACCTTAATCATATCAAATCATGTCTTGTGTTAGAGTTGATCCATACATACACGTTTTCATTCATGAACTTACCAAAATCAAACCACTTGTGATGCTGGTGCATTCTGATACTCTTAGCATCTCTCTCGCAGATCTCTCCAAAAAGATAGAGATGGTGATGGCGTGGCTTACCACGATGATGCTGGTGTAAGTACAATAACTGGACTATATTCTTGCTTTTAAAATGCCATCTATTCGTATTTCCACTCCAGCGGAAGGATCAATTGGTTGTGTGTCCCCTTAATGAAAACAGTGCATTAATTAAATTAAAACAGTCTATTGGGCTGTTATGTACAGTCGTAGGTCATACTTACCTGGTTTTACAATACCTGTGTTCATTTGTTAGAAAGCTGTTATACACATCCCCTGACGTAATACCATCCGTGATACTGTCATCTCTGGTGTTGTAATCTTTAGTGTTATCATCTTTGGTGCTGTCATCTTTGGTGTTGTCATCTTTGGTGTTGCCATCTTTGGTGCTGCCTTCTTTGGTGCTGCCATCTTTAGTTCTGCCATCTTTGGTGCTGTCATCTTTGGTGTTGTCATCTTAAGTGCTGACATCTTTGGTGTTGTCATCTTTGGTGCTGTCATATTTGGTGCTGTTATCTTTGGTGCTGTCATCTTTGGTGTTGTCATCTTTGGTGCTGCCTTCTTTGGTGCTGCCATCTTTAGTTCTGCCATCTTTGGTGCTGTCATCTTTGGTGTTATCATCTTTGGTGCTGTCATCTTTGGTGTTGTCATCTTTGGTGTTGTCATCTTTGGTGCTGTCATCTTTGGTGCTGCCTTCTTTGGTGCTGCCATCTTTAGTTCTGCCATCTTTGGTGCTGTCATCTTTGGTGTTGTCATCTTAAGTGCTGACATCTTTGGTGTTGTCATCTTTGGTGCTGTCATATTTGGTGCTGTTATCTTTGGTGCTGTCATCTTTGGTGTTGTCATCTTTGGTGCTGCCTTCTTTGGTGCTGCCATCTTTAGTTCTGCCATCTTTGGTGCTGTCATCTTTGGTGTTGTCATCTTAAGTGCTGACATCTTTGGTGTTGTCATCTTTGGTGCTGTCATATTTGGTGCTGTTATCTTTGGTGCTGTCATCTTTGGTGTTGTCATCTTTGGTGCTGCCTTCTTTGGTGCTGCCATCTTTAGTTCTGCCATCTTTGGTGCTGTCATCTTTGGTGTTGTCATCTTAAGTGCTGACATCTTTGGTGTTGTCATCTTTGGTGCTGTCATATTTGGTGCTGTTATCTTTGGTGCTGTCATCTTTGGTGCTGCCATCTTTGGTGTCGTGGTCTCTGCTGATGTCACCATTTAGGATATCACAACCATCCAATAACGGAATACCGGTCTCAATACTTCGCTGAAATTAAAATGATACTTTTAAAATAACATTAGTACAGTGACTATCCAGAACCCTTTAAATCGCGAGCAATGAAAGGAAATAGGGGTTATCTTTTTCTTTTGTTCACTTAAATCATATGTTGTACAAAGACTTTTCATTTAATTTTCCTCAATGATTACATGTTACTAAGACTACAAAAAAAGCAACTGTAAAGTAAACAAATATATCTTTCATTACAAATGTCATTAACATATTTGATCCGACATTATTATTATAAGAATCGAAGTAAATACATTTTATTTGCAAACTAACTTGATTCTTACAGTAATACATATCTTTTAAACAGAATAAATGTAATTTAAAGGTAACTTTCTGCATTTTATCCGAATGAAAGAAAATGTTTATTTTCTGTGTTAAATGTCCATTTAAGTGCAGTGTAAATTAAACACTGCAAGTTATGTTATACGAAAGTTTCCCCATATAAAAACCAATATCTATTGGTCTCGTAAAAGTATCATCAGTACCAAATTTCAAAATGAACGACCAAAGGACTACTGACTCCTTAAAATGTATAATTAGTCTTAATTCACAGACGTTTCAATAATTTAAGCCCGTGCGTTCGATCTTAGGTCTAAGGTATTTTTGACAGCTCTTACTTAATTGATCTCCAAAATGAAAAAAATAACAAAATAAGAAAGGGATTATCTCATAATCCAATTGTTATAATCCATTATATCTCATAATCCATGTTATTTTTTCTTTTTGGAGATCAATTATGTAATACCCCCCAATCTTTTTGTACATTAACCATATCAAATATATATCGCAAGATATTCGCGTCAAATTTCCATTGTTTTCGGACTATCCTAATCCCAATGGGACTCATTTTTCATTTTCAGAGGTAAATGATGACTAAAAGTACATTTCAATTTAGTCTTAAAATTGGAATAAAATGCTGCGTTTTGGTGAAAATTGGCTCATAATTGCGGACATAATTTGGTGATGATGGGTGGATTAATGACAGCTTAAGAGATAATCAGATTGACTTTACTTTCATTCTATTGCCCCTTTTTGAAGATAACATATTGGCCAAACAAACATATTTGTTTTTGTGGTCAAATAATTATTAGAACTTAAGCAAGAGTCGTCTAAAAAAGCTTGCAATAACGTACCTGCCCCTTTGCAAATTTGTAAACATGAAATGTAAACTTGATCTAAAAAACATTACACTATAAAAGATTTTATTGACAATAAGATTGCAGCTAATATAATCACAAAAGATATTTCTTCTTTTCATGGATTATCTATGGATAAACACCTAGATATTTTTATTTTTCAAACTTCAGAGGGCTGGGAATCATTGATTACGAACGTTTTTGAATACTATACACATGCTGTTTTAAAAAGGTTTCATGTTTGCGAAAAATTTCTCAAATTGTGTTAACTGTACACATTCTTTAATCCCTAGAATTCCCACATAAATCTAATGGTATAGTTCCAAGCAGATTTTGAGATAACAGGAAAGTTAATCTTTACCTTATTAGGTTGTGATATAGATGAAAAACACAAGCAAAATGCATGAAAAAACTCACCCCGTTTCATTCTACAAACAACTCGCGGTCCTTTCTACGGCCGTGTAGTGGTGAGTACTATCTAGGTTCACGTCATGTAGTGGTGAGTACCATGTCAGTTCACGTCACGTAGTGGTGAGTATCATGTCAGTTCACGTCATGTAGTGGTGAGTACCATGTCAGTTCACGTCACGTAGTGGTGAGTATCATGTCAGTTCACGTCATCGAAATGATTTTGATGAGTGGATAGTGGTGATAATCCTTAGAACATGAGTGGGTGCACAGGTTCCCTAGCTTCACAGTGATATATGGGGTCATAATAATTATATATAACGAAGAATAAACAATTTACCACAAATAACTTTATTAATTCGTATCTTGAATTGGACATTCAGAATTTTCATGTATCTAGGGGTGACTTTGAAATGCCAGTACACTCTGCACAATATCAATTCTTCAAACATGTGTGTTTGCACAAGTCTCCCAGCTTCACAGTGATATATGGGGTCATAATAATTATATATCAACGGAGAATGGACATTCAGATTTTTTATGAATCTAGGGGTGACATTGACATGTCAGTACTCTACATAATCAAAATATGGTACTATTTAGAACATGTGTATTAGCACAAGATTCACAGCTTCACAGTGATATATGGGGTAATAATAATTATCCATCAACAAAGAATATTAATAAACAATATACCACAAAATGATTTTATTACTTCGGATCATGAATTGGAGTTTCAAAGTTTTCATGTATCTAGGGGTGACTTTGACATGTCAGTACACACTACACAATAGAAATATGGCAATTCTTAGAACATGTGTGTCTGCACAAGTTTCAGCTTAACATATATGGGGTCATAATAATTACCATTTAACAAAGAATAAACATTAAACAACGCACCGAATGACATAAATTAGACTTCTTTGGGTCGTAAATTAGAATTTTCATTAGTGTGTCCACTTTACAGATCAAAATATTGTCATCCTCGTAACATGAGTGTATGCAGTGATAGTTGCACAGGTTTTACAGTGATATATGGGGGTCACAATACATCTTTATTAAGAAGAATTGTAGTCCTATGTAAATAACATTGTTTGGAAAGAATTGGGGTACAATTTATTTGCCCATGAATAAACTAATTATGTCAGAATATAAATGCAACATAACATATTTGTTTGCTAGCATTGAGGATGATAATTTAACTAAGTAGATATATATATTTTATAAGCTTTGGACCGCCTGGAAAGCAAATTAAATGCAGTGAAATTCAAGAGCAAAAATAATTTTGGAAATTTATTTCAATGTTCGATTTCCGCATACTTCAGTATTTCTCCTGCGACAAAACACAATAAATCATACACCGTTTAAGTTAAATCACATCGAAGATCGTTAATTTATGGTCTTATACCTACTTGCTTACGCTGTTAAAATGAGAAATACGCAGACAATTTTGTTTGTTTTGTCTGCAGGAAGGTGAGTGTTTAGGAAAAAGACCGCGACCACATCGACCGCCGACCGGTCAGTGTTTTCCACAGATAGCCTAAAAAAGGGTTGGAAAATATGTAACAGACAGACCATATTTGTAGCCTTTAATTATTTATATGACTCAGTTTTGAATACATGCCAATCCACCGTAGGCAACGTTTTTTCAAATGCAACGAAGTTGAAATGGTTACAACGAAAGGCAAGCTTGACATTTAGGTTCCTGTCCTGCTAGCGTTTCGTTTCTACGGGAATCCTATCCTAGTTTCTTTTTACCGAAATTCAACGTATATTTAATGAAAATTACATTTTCTAAATGATTTGTTATTGTCATACTGATAACTGATTACGATGTACGGTTACGTACGTTCTCTTGTCAGTATCAGAAGTGACTAACCATTTAAGCACATCATTGGAAAGCTACTTTTGTCATATTAGATGTAGCTTTTACCTGTTTGACGGTCAACAACTAAGAAATCAAACATTATGTATTAATCTTTAAAAAACGATGACGTGAAGACGACGACGTGAAGACGGACAATGTTAAATGTGTTCTTGTTTTTTCTTTCTTAACATAATGTGATGTTACGTGCGTTTTCTCACCATATTCCAAAGTGACAAACCAGACTGAAAATTGTCTTCTAATAAATGTAACTGAGACATCACTTAAAAATATGACCATGACGATGTTACATTTTACATGTGCGTTATCATCATAATTTTAAACTGGTTTAAGCACACGACCTTGTAAAGGGACTGTATGTCATTGGATTCCTAATTTTCAGTTTTATTTTCCTCTGCAAATTTTGCATCTACTTTTCATCTTTTTGTTAAAGGCCGACAGCCGACCGCCTACCACGTGCACCCAACTGTGGAGAGTGACTGGTCGGTGGTCAGGTGGTCAGCGATCGGTCTTTTTCGTAAACAAGGAATTGGACGCTGGATGCACGGCCGTGCCTCTCAGACAAGAGGCATATTTGTATCAGCATAAAAATTTGTACTAAATCCATTTCCGACAAATGGCGGCCATTTTAAAATTCAGCTGCAATCTTGAAAATTTCTGCTTGGGCAGAGCTACTTTGTAGCAGCATATGAAATTGGAACCAAATAATACATTTTAAACGACAAATGGTGGACATTTTGATAAAAAGTAGCCATCTTGAAAATTTCTTCTTGAGGAGAGCTCCCTTATCTCTAAGCATCAGCATATGAAACGTGAATCAACTTCATCCTCTGGTATTTGATTTATCGAAAATAACGTTTTTAACGAAAAATGGCGGCCATTTTGAAATTCAGTAGCCATCTTGAAAATTCCTTTTGAGCAGAGCTTGTTTGTCCCTAGGCATCAGCATATAACATTTGAGCCATATCCGTCCATTGGTATTTGAGGTATCATAGATAGATTTTGTACGAAAAATGGCGGCCATTTTGAAATTGCCATCTTGAAAATGTCTTCTTTAGCAGTTCTTTTGTCCCATGGTATCAACATATAATATTTGAATCAAATCCGTCAATTGGTATTTGAACTATCAAATATTACGTTCCTTTACGAAAAATGGCGGCAATTTTGAAATTCAGACGCCATCTTAAAAATTTCATCTTGAGCAAAGACCCTTTGTTTCTAGGCATCAGCATATGAAATTTGATTACGTGTTTTTACAAAAAATGGTGGTCATTGTGAAAAAATGGCGGCCATTTTGAGCGGCCATATTTCTTTCTCAAAAAGTCCTTATCGCCGAGCAGAGTTCCTACACCGATAGGGTATACGCCTATAACTTTTTAATCAAATCCGACAACCGATATTTGAGTTATCGTCCGGACAATCGGACGGGCGGACAGCTTCTCTATATCCCCCTCGAATTTCATTCGGTGTGATAATAACATTACCATCTTTTGTCAGAACTGCCTCAGACTCAATAAAAGTTTTGCAAATAAATATTGCAGCAAATTGTATTTAATTAAGAAGTAGATGAAATGAACAGCAAGAGTCAAAGCTGTGATAACAATATGGTGGATACCCAAGTAGAAGTCGATGAAATGAACAGCAAAGGTCAAAGCCGTGATGATATTGAGGTGGATACTCAAGAAGAAGTCGATGAAATGAGCAGCAAGAGTCAAAGCCGTGATGATATCACAACTGTTCAAGTTGTTCCTCATGTTGATGATAAGTCTGACACAGTCTTAGCTGAAAACCTAAAGTGGACGGCTACGATATTGATATTTTTTGCTGCTCTTGGTTTGGTAAATATAGTTAGTTTAATTTATTGTGACGTCAATTTTTTCAAATTGGCTTCGATCAATACTAGTGTTCCGTTCATTTGGGTACCTCGAGTTTTGCTTCCCATGCTATGAGCGATAATTTCATGAATGTTCAGCTTTATACCGTATAAACATCGTCATACCATACTTTTGAAAAATAAGTTTTTTCTTTTATCGTTCATTCCAAATATAAGCTGACATTTGTGTCGCCAAGAGTTTTTTTCAAACGTCAACGCATGTAAACATACATACACAGTTTTTACGGAACATGTACTCAGGACCAGTACTCGCTTGTTCAACCACCAAATGCCAAATTGTCATTGTCTGGTAAGTGAGAATTTTTTCTTACTTAATTTGATGCCAAATCCCCTGTTTTCGAACTTAAAGGCGTTCATATTGTTGGTTGCATCTTACTGTTCTTTTGGGAATAGCCGTATGGCACTCGTAAATGCGTTTCCGAATTCACAGTCGCATCGTAAAGGATACGACTGGAGGTCAGTTTTCAACAACTGCTCGTGAGGTGTCGTAAAGGCTATCATGAGTCGTATAGTGACGTCGGGGTTGGGATTTCTCCAGGGAAAGTAGCGTGTTTACCACACCGCCAACTTAAAATTGCTGTAAAATCAAATTTTTTAAATTGCATTTTATGCAGATTGAAAAAGCATTACTAGCATACCATTAGAAAGCTATTATTGTAATAATTAATGTAGTTTTTACCAGATCAATAACAAGCATGACGCTCTTTCAACGATGCCCTAACGGGTGCCAGTGGGGAACATCGTCAGACAGCCAAAGACTACCGGTGTGGTCCGACGTCGCAGCAGGGTTCATTGAAAACGTTTTGACCTATCTCAAAGCATTAGCAAATCTTCTGAAAATTGTGACACATTGTATTTTATTAAATATTTCAGGGTATGGTGTACAATATATACGGCCCGACGTTGTTGGACCTAAGACTCCACCTCCAAGTCGACATTACACAAATGTCCACTGCTTTCACCTTGTTAGCGGCTGGATCCTTGATTGGGTCAATAGTAAGCGGATGCCTGGCCGATCGCTACAATCAAGCGCTTCTACTTGGAACAGCGGCAATAACCAACATGGGTCTCCTTATCGCAATACCTTACTTTAAACATATTGCCCATTTCCTTGTGTGCTGGGGATTGATAGGTGTTGGGGCGTCGATCGGCTACACAGGTAATTGATATAATGTGTTAAAAAGTAATCATGTGGAGAGAAGCTACATGTAACAGAAGGCCAAGATTTCCCATGATGTGGAAAGAGTATAAGAGTGAGTCCTGATCATGAGAGATACAACAATTAATATTTCTAGTTGAAGGCAGAAAGATGTGATGAGTATCAGAATGCACTTTCTCGTTAATCTTGAATTCTGAAACTTAGCACATCACAGAATTACTATTAATATGAAGAAAATTATGTTAGAAATATAAAACAAAATTTTTTATCGATACTGTCTTATTAGACAATTTGAAATAGTCACGTACAATGTAATTTGATTTATTTGCAGTACTAATCGTGTTTTTGATAGCCATATGGGAGGAAAGAAGCAGCCCATTCGTGCAGTTTTTCCATTTTGCAGAGGGTGTTGGAAATTGCATAGTTCCACTTTTGGCTAACCCTTTCCTGGTGCCAACAGAATCTATAAACATAGGTAATAATGGAAAAGCCTCGAACATATCTAATACAACTTCTGGACTAGACAATAACTCATTGGTCACGTGCACGGGAACTAACTTTCTAATAAACGAAAACAACCATCATAATGATGCAACGGAGTCCAATGTCAAGTATGCGTATATAATTGTAGCTGTGTACTGTGGTATAGTGGGCCTGCTGTTCTTTTTTGTTGCTATCAAAATGAAAACAATTCGTGCTTTGAGACAAGGAACCAAAACCCTCAATAATAATCAGTCGACAGAGTCAACTAAGGCACCACTTAATAAATGCTATAGGATCAAAATGCTGTTTTTTGTGATTTTGATCAATTACGCACATGCTGGAGTTCAAATTGGCCTTAATGGAGTTATTACGACCTTCTCTGTTGAAGGACTTAAATGGACAAAAGATCATGGAACAGCTATAGCGTCGGTGTTTGGAGGTGCAATTACCCTTTCATGCATACTAGGAACTTTTGCAGCCAAGATATTGTCGCAAACAAAAATGATATCAATACAGCTGTTGACCATGCTCTTGTCAATGGCCACCATGGTAGTGTGTGTTCAGATGCACACTTATGTCCTATGGGTGGCAGTAATTTTGATTGGATTATCGGCTGGCAGTATGAATGCCTCGATATATTCCTGGTACCAAGAGAATGTGATGCCAGTAACGGGAATAGTAACGAGCTGCAGTATGATTGGAAAATCAGTGAGTATGATGACAGTGCCACTATCGGCAGTTGCTCTGATGGAGAACGTACATTTCATGTGGTTAACATATCTGCTATTGGGGATTGTGGTTTTGTTGGGAGCGATAGCCATATGCATCTATGCATCTTTTAAAGTTCATATGAATAACCAAATCGCAAAATCTACCGTTGTGTCATAGATCTTTACATCCCCTTCAGATTAGTTTCCACTATTGCATTTGCTTTTGGTGCACAACGTGTATATTCATATCAGTATATGATATTTTATTTTGAGTTTGATTATTCCATGAGTATGTATGTAATATAAGTTATAACCCATGTGTGTGAGCGATTGTTTCTTGATGAGTACATGGTGAGCCAAAAAAGGTAATCCAAACAAATCTTACTAACTCAGTCATAACTCAGGTATATGGGTTTAAAGTCATATTAAGCACAATTGAACCTTCTTCAATGATCTTTTGTTCAGCCAAGTTTAATTGGTCTATTTCAAATGGTCACGATTTTAAGCCCATTTTACAAAACCAAAATGCCGGTCTTGTGACATTCTAGATGACTGAGTTAATAAGATTTGTTTTGGTTACCTTTCATGGCTCACCCTGTACAATATTTTGATTATCATGACTTGATTATTGTTAGGGTTTTAAATATAAAAATGAATTTAAGATAAGGATCGAAAAGCTACATTCGTTATTCATATCTTGCATGCAAGTACTAATTATACAGGGTGACCCCAAAAACAGAACCCTCCATAAATATAATAATTTCTTTAATACGTATGTAATCATCTTCATTTTTATGTACAGAAACTACAATCTATAGATGACAATGTGAAACCAATTTCGTTAAATAACATTCAATATTCTTCTTGTTATGGTCAATTAGAAAATGTGCCCACTTTTGAAAGAACATTTTAAGATTTTTGTGTCAACCAGCGTTACACATCCTTTGTTTAAACCCATCACATTCATTTTGCTTCTTGTTAAGCTGCATTTTGTGAGTATAGAAGTTGAGATCATGGATGAGGAAGTGTGCCAGTAACCTTTTAGCCATCTTTCATGTCTTTAGGTATGGCTGCAGCTTATGAGTGATATTTTGGAACTAAGTTCAATGCAATCACACACAGTGCTTTCTGGTGTTTTCATACCCCCATCTAAGAAACCTTCCTAGATAGGCAAGCTGACCATTTCTTCAATTAAGGTGTGTAACTCATTGCTGGCCAAAGCTATTTTTGAGTTTTTCTGCTGGTAACTGGCCATTTTGAGAAAAAATTGATCAAAATGCCATGTTTTCATATCAGCATTTTAATGGACCGTATCAATACCCTCTTTGCTATGTTTAAAACCATTGTGAACAGCAATGACAATATATTTCAATTGCACCCAACGGTATTCCCCATGTGACCCCTACAATATTTCGAAAGATTATTGGTACAAATTGTGTAACAATTATTGTACAGCACCCCGATATATCTTTGGGTTAGTCATTAACAGTTCTCCTTTCTTCATCTTCCAATTCGACTTTGATATCACAGTGCTTGTGATTGATCATTCTGCTGTCTTAATGAATTCTTGAGAATTTATACAATGGAATTTCATACAGCATTTGAGGTTTTCTTGCTCAGGGGCCAGGCAGGAATTTTAGTCATCTGATTTTTGTTGTTAATGTTTTACAATTGCTATTCTTCATTTATCAATTGAAATGTTAATCGAGACTTTGATTTAATGTCTTCTTTGTAATTTCTTCTGAATTTCTTTTAATATCTCAAGATATGATTTAGTCTCAATGTTGATTTTTCGAAAATTTGGCACATTCTAAGAAAATCCATGATATCACAAATAATCAATTTTGTGTAATAAACTTAATATCATTTCGGGTTGATAGGATAAGGTATTTACAAATTATTACACGTTTAGAGGCCGAGAGTTCAATGTTTTGGGTCACCCTGTGTATATAATTGTATCTAAAAGGATAATGATTAGAAATGTGAAGAAAAATGCAATGTACATGGTTAGCATTGAAATTATCTAATTCAATCTAATTTGACATTATTTATTGTGTTCTGATCCTTTAGTAACATTATACAGACAAAATACATTATTTCATACAAAAAGTGTATTTATCATTACTTTTATTTACACAATGATTGACTATTTACATTAAACTGGCATCAATTATAGACTATTCAAAAATGATTAAACAATAAAATTCATCAATTAATATTTTACCAAGTAAAACATCACAGCAAAGCTGGTGGATTTAACTTTAAAAATCATTACAGTACAGTTATATCACCCTGTTAATAAATATAATCTATCATGTTATTTTGGTATCTTATCTAATCCCTGAATATTTTGAGTATTTTGTAGAATGTGCTTAATTGGACTCAACCGATTTACTCACTCAATTAGCTGTATATCACTAACAATGATAGTACAATGTACATACATACTCCACGCTTAACCCAATATTGTAAACAGCAGGGGGTAATATAACATACATCCCATCCATTCCCAAATGCAATATCCAATTCAACCCTATTTTATAATAAAATGGAAGTGCAACTTATACTTGTTAAGTTAAAAACAGATTTTTGACCCTTAAATATATCACGTGGAGAATGGAGATGGGTATGTTCAATGAGAAGAGTCTATTTCATTAATTCATATATCAAAAATATCAAATTATATTATATTATAGTACTAAGGTATCAAAAATATTAAATTAAAATGTCTACTAGATTTCACTGAATTTGATTTATTCCAAGCGGACATAAGTGACGTTTTACCCACTCTGCCTCTTATGGCCTAGTCACATAGCCCGGCCGATGTCCGGCATCGGTAGAGCTCGGTGGATTTTTTTGGTGCCACCGAGCTCTCCTCATCGGAAGCAGAGCTCGGTGACGTGAACGGACTCCGTCCAGACATCTTCAGGTACTATACTTTCCAAGGCTCTGTCCCACATCGGCCGGAGCTCGGTCGGAGCTCGGCCGGTGTCCGTTAAAAAAACCTCGTCCTCTGGTTGTCTCAGATGCACGGGACACCGACCGATACTCTGCCGTGCACCGGCCGACGTGTGTTCTGATGTGGTTACGATGGGGCTGCGATGAGGGAGCTCGGTGAGAGCCCGGTGAAATTTAACTCCGAAGTTAAAATTTCACCGAGCTGCCACCGATGCGGTTTTAAGCAACAAACGCCACGGATGTCCGGCCGGTGTTCGGCCGAGTTCGGTGAAAATTGCATCGCTGGCTCATCGGAACCTCATCGGCCGGGCTATGTGACTAGGCCATTATGGAATACATGTGTTTTTCTATATGTATTACTGGTATACATTTTCTTAATCTTTATGGCATGGCAATATATACACTAGCCTGCTATAATCTCAGATGGTGATCTAATGGCATATGGATCATGGAATGTATGAAGTTAACTGTTGTTGTTGTAGTTAGTAAATAGACATGTAGTTGTAATTATACATGTAAATATAAAGTAAATATTAAGTAAATGTATTTTTAAAATGTGGCATAGAAGACGCATTTACTTGTAGTCATTCATAAGTTAGCAATGGCTGGACATATTCGTTGAATTGTATTTTATTTTATGTATTTTAATAATAGATGTGTGTGACTTTAATAAACTATTTTAACTAACTTATTTTATCATTTCTTAATTTGTTTTACTTTATATTCAACATACGTGTACATATAGTTTATCAACATATGTCACAAATATACATTATACAAGTGATGTACATGTACATGCATATGAGCCCGTTTAGGTAAACTTTTATATGTTTCTAAAGTGTGACCCCAGTTGATGTACTGTAAGCTATTCTAACTCTGATCTTCAGCTATTGTATTATCATCATCAGTGTCCATATTTTCTGATTCAACAGTTGTGGTGGGTGTTTTTGGTGTACCAGGTGTTTTTGGTGTGCCAGGTGTTTTTGGTGTACTAGGTGTTTTTGGAGTCTTTGGAGTTCCTGGAGTCCCTGGGATTTCAAACCTTGCTGTTTTCTGTTTAGTTTTGTCAGTAGCTTTTTTCTTCACACGTGGCATCCTCCAAGAGTTCCATATCCTGATGGTCTTGTCCCATGAGGCTGAGACATACTGGAAAATCAAAAAACATGAACTATAATAGCTATGTTCATTTTAAGAATTGAAAATCTTGTTCTGAAAATATGATTCATGTTTTTTATTTGTTCTCTATGAACTTGATTAGAGCTATGCAAAAAAAATTACAAATAAGGAGACAGAATTTTGAAAGAAATGAGCATATGACCTGCTTCTTAAAATGTTATATATCAGAGTTGGAATGGAACATCAAGATTTTACTTTAAAAATGTGCTTTTCTCTAATAAGTGGTATCTAGGATAAAAGTTTCAATGATTAAGAAAGTACAGTACCTGACTTCTTTCTGGGATATGCAATATACTCCTAACTGCATCTTTGTGACCTACATTACTCTGGACCAGCCTGTAGTGTTCTGGGTCATACACCCTTTAAAGAAAAAAAATACATTACCATACAATGAAATGTAGGCCTATTAAAATTTTGTTGCTTATTGTGTGTTTGTGTGTTTTGCTTAAATTTCTGTGGCTTATTGTGTACTAGGAAAACTTCTTAGAATATATATTTTACCAACGTTTACCTAATGATATCTTGTACTCCTGCTACTATGGCACCATTCTCTTTGTCAATACACATAGCCGACACCTGGCCTTGAGCTGATAGAATCTGTTCACATTCATTCATACCTTCACCAGACTGCAATGTAAAGTAACACTAACATGAATAACTGAAGTATAAAAGGATGAGTATAATAGTAGTAACCAAGTAAATTATGGCGTATAAAACATAAGAGATTATAAACAATACTGTATAACCCTACCAACACCCATGATGCCATCTATTTTTCCATTTATATGGAAAAAGGTCAATTCTGTAAGACATTTTTTGCCAGGTGTGCAAATGAATCGAAACTAATTATGTACTACTTGCTATTTCAAATTGATTCAAATGTTAAAATATAGAAGAATTAAAACGAAGAGATCTGGAAAAATTTATGTTGGAGATTTTTGGCAGGTATGCAGTCCCTATATACACAAGTGAATCACAACCAATTGTGCTATTACAAATTGAATTCCAAGTTCTCACCCAGATTCGTATAGATCCATCCTCTGAGCCAGTGACCCATTTTCCCGTAACATTGTTCCACCTGATACATGTTATGTCCATCTCATGGCCTTGAAGTGTATTAGTAAGAGTCATTTCTGAACCATTGGGTGAGAACTTTCTAATGTAGACCATCCTGTCACTGGAGGCATAGGCTATTTCATTCCTACAAGATAGGTAAAACATTTAACATAGAACTCAATGATCTCCCCAAGATTTTTTCTCAGGTGGGTGCAAAATTTTCATTTTTACAATTTAGACCAAAATTGGTCAAAATATTGATTTTTCTCATTTTCAAGTGGGTGCAAATGGATTTTTAGGTGGGTGCAAGCCTGTTTTCAGAATATCAAGTGGGTGCTGCGCCCACTTGCTTTAATTCTTAGGAGATCACTGGAACTCATTTTAAAGATGACTGATATAAAGATGGTTTAAAGGCCCCATGTAAAGTTTAAACCACTTTGGCTTACTGTATATTGTAGTCAAACTCAATGACACTTCTGATAGCTCTGACAATTATGGAAATGAAACATTTGAAGTAAAAGAAAATATTATCTGTCCAACAAAAGAAAATATATTTCACTTTTTGTGGTTTTATAACATGGAGTCTATGGGGAATCTACCTGACCTAGTAGTCACATTTTTAAAGAAAATTCAATTGTCAAAGTTGATAAATAATTTTTTAAACCACATTTGTAGATGTAATTGTATGTGTTAAATGAAATATGATATCACTTTAACTAAATTTCGAATATTAAATGGCATAAATCAAGATTATCTTTACTTTCATCTAATCTGTTCTATTCAATAGGCCATACAGTATACTTCAAAGAAAATTCAATAACATGGGATCACCATGCATCTTCCCAACTTACCTCTTGGGGCAATAGGCCATAGCAATAATTATACCATCACATGCCAGTTCTAAAGCTTCAAACGGATTGTCTTTAACAGAATTCCTGAACGTGTCATGCAGCCTGAAAGAACACGTACAAATCAGCAATTAGAACCATATGGATAATGCAATATCTATCCAAAGAAGGCACATTAATCTAGTACGAGTTTGTTCAATAAACTTATACAAGTGCACCATTTTCTTGTCTGAGGAGAATTTTTAGGAATCGAAGGCGATATGGATTTCTTTTTTTGGGGGGTTGTCGAGTTGGCTGAACAGTCTAGAGCACTGAATAAGCTGAGCTAGGCCCTGTCTCATAAACCATAACACGAGCTTTCATGAGTGGGCTCAATTTTTTACAATTTTACTGGTAGTTTTGAGAACTCCTCATAACAAATTAAACAGCAGTACACATGTACTGTACTCAATTTTTAAAAAAATTATTAACTTACTTCCCTGTTTCAAGATTCCATATACACAACCTCCTGTCCCAGCCACCACTGACAACATATGTACTATCAAAACCCTGGTCTCGACCAATCACAACCATGCATGTGACGCAACTCATATGCTCAGATAGAATATATTTACATATAAACCCAGCCACCCTGTTGGTTACTGAGTCTTCCTCCTACAACAGAAAATATTACTTGTTTTTATCTAACATTATTTCAATCCTAAGAAAACTAATATGTTGATGTCATTTATTCAAACTATTCCATTCCATGAATATGTAAAAAGAGGAGACTTTGGTAGCATTATACTAAATTAGATTAAAGACATATGAGTCACTTTGAAAGTTCTTTGTAGACACAAAAACTAGAACGAGTAAAACTCAAAACTACATTTCTGCATTGATTACACTTCCCCCAGGTTAAAGTTAAATCAATTTTTTTTCTTTGATATATATGATTTAATTAAGTAAGACTTTTCAATGAATTAAAATTACATACGCTGGTAATTTTCATGTTGGTTTTACTTGGCAAAAGTGGCGAATCTTGATCCAATAAAATGGCATATTTTCTGATAAGAGCATCATTGTCAATTGGTTTCATGTTCTTCAAGACATCAACTGCTGCTTCATCAAAACCCCAGACATCTACAAATGCAAACATTAATAATCTGGGAATGGGTCAATTTTTGTGCATCTTGCTTTTTCTATTTTAGTATATTATTAATAGTCAAGATTCATGTGGTTATTTCATATTATTTAAAAAGTAGATTGTAGTTAAAATGTACTGTAAGTTCTTCCATTTGGAGAATTTTATGTCATCAATTTTAGGGAATCCATTAAAATTTTGATAAATAGCCAAGTAAATGAAAAAACAGTTAAACTTATTGGAAAATGAAAACATTTAGTGGAAGTAGATTCAGAATTCCTAAAAACAACAGTGATTTTCGTAAATTAGAAATCAGAGAATCATCTGCTAATTATAGAAACCCTATACTCAATGCACCCAACTGGGAAATAAATATTGTGGAATATTTACATATTTTACTGTCTTCTGAAGCTGCTAATATATAATCCAATTCCTCTACGAAGACTGTACAGAGTATGGTTGTATTTGGATGGGCATGGGTTGACACCTGGAATATTAAATTGACTAGCCAATCAGCTTTTAAATTAAGTACAGTAAAACATTTCAAAGTGGTGCCTCTTAATAAAGTGTTCCACTTGTGAGGTGTTCCACTTATAGAGGTTCATTTAACATTGAGTCAATTGGTCTTGGGACTCTGAAGTGTTCCACTTAGAGAGGTGTTCCACTTCTAGAAATGTTCCACTTAACAGGTTTCACTGCATACAGAAATCTCTCATTTTGGACAATGCGTATCTTCCCAGCATTGAGGCGACTGGTTTACACATTTGAATTATATGTAGATTTCAAATGGAAATCCATGTGCACCTACTATACATAATTATTCAGTTAGTGCATCATAATCTGACTTTTTTGTGAGATTCTGTCAAATTCGAATTTTGGTCCATGTTGAGAAAAAGTTTATATATAAATCAGTATCAAGAACTGTAACACTAAAACTTTACATAATATTTTGAGTAGATGACTATTACATGTTACAGTATTACTTCTTGTGCTTTGCATGCAATAATTGTGAATTAAAAAGCTGATAAAAGGCTAAAATCTAAGAATAAAATAAAAACTGACTATTAATCATATTAAGTAAAATAAAAAATAATTAGAAAATATATGATCCCTCTTCTATGTTATGTTGTACATGTACATGCATATTTGTAGTAACATCTAAAATGTATAAAGTATAACATCTATGTGCAAGTATTCACAGTATGTATATTTCCCAGTACATACCATGTATTTGTGCTTAATTTTCACTTAAAAAGTAAGTAATTTTTTCAGTGCACACATATACTAAGCTTGTAGGAGTATATTTTTCAGTACAAAGGTGTACTTAAAACGCTCTTTTCAGTACAAGTCAAATACCCTCCCCTTGTGTAACCAAATACATAACATTGGGGGAGAGAGGGGTGTCAGCTAAAATACAAGGGGCGATCCATATATTCTGATAAAAATGCTCTCATTTTGTGATTTTTTCACATATCCCTCTCATTTTTTCAGAAAATGTAGATTATGTAATAACACATACAATGCTAAAATATTATAGCTATATCTTAAATTATCAATGAGATAAGGCTGCCATGGTAACCTGTATTTAGGGTAGGCAGGTCAATTTAATTATAACATATAAATATCAAAATAACTTGTTATTTTAATTATTTTAAAGCATGCGGAAATCATGCATTTTTTCTAAAAAAGTTTGGTATTATTACTTGTTGTTTGTTGCTAAACAAATGTTTATATGTGCTCACTATAACATCACAACAAATCACAATAGCATTATAGGACAGAATGGGCCAACTGATATTACATGTTATGAGACACACCAAAAATCAAATTGTCAGATTAGGTTAATGTGGCTGATGCAGAGTGTCACATTAACGGATACATTAGGGAATACCATTAGATTTGATTTTCTTTCAAGAATAAGTAAGAGGACACTGTCAGAGACATACATGGACTCATAAAGTACATGGGCAAGGTGTTATATCTGCATAAAGAATATATAGGTAGTATTGTAAAGAGGAAAGCATGGTCACTGTTGAAGATCATCCGCAATCTGGTTGCAAGAAGAGCTTGCGGACAGAGAGTAACACTACGATAAATTGAGATGTTACTTATGAAAAGATAGCTATCCCACTGTATAAATTATCAAACAAGGGCAACAGGGTTATGGAACAGATCAATGAATAGTTGACAATGACTGGAAGATGCGTTTGATCTGCTTAAAATAGGTACCGAGGAATGATTAAATTAACATATTTATCTATTTTAGACGTTATAATTTAACTGACCTGCCTACCCTAAATACAGGTTACCATGGCAACCTTATTTCAAAATTAATTTAAGATACAGCTAAAATATTTTAGCATCATATGTTTAATTACATAATCTACATGTTCTGAAAAAATGAAAAGGATATGTGAAAAAATCACAAAATGAGAGCATTTTTATCAGAATATATGGATCGCCCCTTGTATAATCCAGCTATTTGCTAGTTTTCTTTGATTTTTTTTTACATATAATCATGCTGACTCAAAAGAAAACAATATCAAATTTTGTATTTTGTTTTTAGGGTGGGGCAAATGTTTTGATGTGATACATAATTCATATTGTACTTCCACAAATATTTATATCCTTGTGAATTGAATAGAATCTAAAATACATGATAGGAATGTGGAATGTTAAAGCCTTTTATTATTGAAATGATCAGTTATTGGAATAAAATTTGAAATAAAAAACACTCTTCTAGCTAGAAATAATTAAACAAAGAAATGTAAGAAATGATTAATGTTTGAGAAATTAATACCTACTTTTGTCCCTAGCTGTGAGTTTATGCAGTGCATTAAAGATATAAATGATTTAAGATTTATTACTCTAAAAATATTGCAAAATGTTATTTTAATCTCTCCAAATATCATCATAAAAAATTAAAAGAAACAAAGTTAATCAAATGAGAGAAAATTACACTGAGGTAAAAATGTAATGCTTATCATGCACAATATTAACTCAATGGATCAATGTGTTAATCCACAGATCCGGAGCCAGATCCAGCAGCCCCTGTTGGTAGTAGGCTCAAAGGATAAATGGGAAGATGAGATACGAGCCAAAAATGGCACATCAAAAAAATGACCACCCAAAAATATGACCCTCGTACTGACCTTTATTTTTTCCATCTGTCAGACATTGATTGATCAATATTTACCCTGTAATCTCTTCTTTATGTATTAGTTTGAATGGTTGCATGATATCCATTATTGACGCTGTAATTCGACTTCGGTAATTTCCGGCAGTGTCCGATGTTGTTCGTCTCTCAAATTACGTCACATCGCAACAAACAGCCAATGAAAGTAAAGAATCGCGTAGCCTAATAAACCGTCGTTATTGTTTCTACGGGAGTTTAAAGAAACGTCATGGGACTTCTCGGTAATCTCTGATGTGACGTCATCCGGAGTGGCGACACATTCTCAGAAAAGGCATTTGACTTCGGGAATAATCATTTGAACAACGGAGATAGCCGAAGTGCTCCATTAAATATACGCTCGCTTATTTTATGCTTTTATCAACAGACGCTTTCTTGGATGTTTGGCTTTAGTGATTGGAGTTGAAGGTAACAACAGTACGCATCGTTTGAGGTATGACATGTGATATTTATTGAAAAACTGACTCCAAAATCAAGGAAAAATAAATTTTCCGAAGATCTCGTGTCTTATCCTTGAGTATATTTATTGAGCCTAGACACAGAGGAGCTTTTCTGGCAGAGGTCCGTGTGTTAATCGACACTTTAATGCATTTTTTCAAGGAAGGTTGGCATATGAGATATCAATGTGTTAATTCCAATGCATTTACCACCCCTTTAATTATATTTGTGGAAAAATAAATCAATATTCTCAATTTTTAGAGTGTTTACATGCTTCATTTCATGAGGACATTAAACTTCAATAAAATGACAAAAAGTCACCACCTGTAAGTTAATGGTTACAAGCGTGTAACAAAATGTTATAGATACCAATCACTGATATCGACTGCTGAACGTTGAATTTCACAACACTGGTCACAAAAATGGAGGCAATAACCAAATTCACAAAATGTCACCATTTTCTTTGAGGTCGTCACATAAAAACTTAAGTATGCGTTAAATATGCCATGCGTATTTACATTATTAGTTCATTTATACTTACAGGGGGCACAATAGGTTTATTAAATGCGTAATGACTGTGTATTGACTTGGATTTCATCTGATTAAGTTGATTCTGATCAAGTTCACTGTTATCACTTTGAGGCTGTTTTTTCTTCTTTTTCGTATCACTTGGAAAATATGACTCTTTGCTAAAAATACAGAGGAAATGATTAAATCACATGCATTTTCAAACATTTTTTCTATTTTTGCAAGCCTTTCTGAAATCAGGGTGTCAGTAAAACTTCAAGTGATTAATCCACATGCACATCAGATTCTGTGCATCAATGTAGGAAGGTCTATAGAGGCTTCTAAATGAAGAGTCAGTGCACGTTAAAGAGAGTATCATATATAGCGAGCAGGCTGAACAAAACATTGTTTCAATTTTAGAATATTTTTGGCTCATGTCATTCCTTTCTAAAAATCACAAAAGTGCATACTTTATTCCAGGAAAACTAAAGATTTTTACAATAATGTATTATTTTTCTATAAGAATGGTTACCATTCTTATTATTTTGGAGAATTTAAACAGTTTTCACTCATTTTTGCACTTTGAATCATTAATAACTTCACCAATTATACATATTGTGAATCTTTTGGGGGATATTGTATTTGATATTATAAGGAATAGATTGGTAGGTCAATTGTAAATGTTGCTTGTAATTTTGTCACCCCCTATAGATCAGATTCTGCCTTTAAAATTAAGATATCAACATATACATCAACTGAAAATTCAGCCTGCATGTACATACTTAAGTGTTTTAATAATCAACATACACTGTACCTGTACATAAAATGATTAGATTGCATTCTCTCCCACTTAATGATTACACCCTGACTGTCACCACTGAATATAAGTAGAGGCACCTTCTTAGCTGAAATGAAGCAATTGTATTAATTACTACATGCATATGTGCACATGTGAGGATGAGACAAACATGACACACAGTGAACAATATTGTACAATGTTGTGAAAAATGAGTGAACAATATTGAACTATGTTGTGAAACATGAGTGAACAATATTGTACCATGTTGTGAAAAATGAGTGAACAATATTGTACCATGTTGTGAAAAATGAGTGAACAATATTGTACCATGTTGTGAAAAATGAGCGAACAATATTGTACCATGTTGTGAAAAATGAGTGAACAATATTGTACCATGTTGTGAAACATGAGTGAACAATATTGTACCATGTTGTGAAACATGAGTGAACAATATTGTACCATGTTGTGAAAAATGAGTGAACAATATAGTACCATGATGTGAAAAATGAGTGAACAATTTTGTAACATGTTGTGAAAAATGAGTGAACAATATAGTACCATGCTCTAAAATACTGTTCCTTGTTCCCAGTTGACAGGTCATCCTTACAGACTGTACCCCTTAACATATAAGTCCATAGAACAGGTGTACTGTACATGTGTCACAAAATGAGCCTTTTCAAATTGTAATCAACTTAGTTTTCTGAAGGATACGCCTTGACTGTAAAATTGCAAAGAGGGAACTTTTGCATATCTGACTCATGTCATATTAGACTGTAACTTCAACTTACTGTATGTGAGACTCTCAATGGCTGCCTTACATTTCAGGGCTGTTATACACCCACTGGAGTTGTACTTCCACACAATTAGATGTCTCCTACTTGTTGAGGCTGAAACCATTAATAAATGCTAAATAATGAAAAATGATTTGATGATGATCTTGAATGCATATTTTTTTTGTTTTAAGTGGTCAAATTTAGTTTACTTTGCTGAATTTTGACTTCCAAGCCTCTTTCATATACCCGCATTTTGCACTTTTCAAGTTCACAGTTAAGATCAGCAAAATCTTATTTGCAGTAAAACTGTGAAATCCGCTGTAGCAGTCAAAGGGCAGTGTGGCTAGCTGAAACAGACTCAGAATATCAGAGTTACTTACCAACAACCTGATTGAGTTCAGGGAAGAATTTGAGGCACTGTAATGTGTACTTCTCTTCTTCTTGGGTCTGGAATGTCCCTATAAAGTCAGATACCTGGAAAAACAATGGTAGAAATTATTATATGCCCATACGTGTACTTGGTCATATCTACAAAACAGCAACTCCCAATGCATGTTTTCCAATATCATTATGGGCAATTTTAACAGATTTGATATTCAATCATGTGTTAATTTGATTAAAACTCAGTTTTAAATAATGGGAAATCTTTCTATAATTAAACATGGCTAACCTACAGTGTAAAGAGGCGGTAGTGTAAGATTGAAGAAAAAGACCTTTTGAGATAAGAAATTAAAATTTTGTAAAAAGTATGGTTGACCTTGAAAGCTTGTGGGTGACCTTGCTTGATACTTCAACTAATGAGTGAACTTGGTGCTTTAATAAATGAGTGACCCTGGCCTTGGTGCATTAACGAACTAATGGGTGCTACCCTGGTGTTATAACTTATGGGTGCTTGCAGGTGCTTTAAATGTGTGATATTGTTGTCTTAATTAATAGGTGATTATAATACTGTGACGTGTATATGTATCATCTTTCAGAAGTCCAACGAGTGGCTGACATTGAGGCCTTAACTGATGTATGTGATATACATGTAGAACCTTTAACTCATAAGTGACTTTATGTAACATGCATATATAGTTGACTTACTACCACATCTTTAGCAGGTGGCTCTAAATACTTCAATAAAACACACACATAGTGAGTATACATGTAAGAATATGATACTGCTACTGTTAATACTGACTTGCTACAAACTATTAAAAAGGGGTTAAATGTACAACCATAGGGTACATTTGACAGCAAAATTACATAGGCGAAATAGATGAGCCAGGGGGACTAGGATATCTTCAAAGGAAGGAGTGAGAAAAACATTTAAATTAACACTATCTAGCAGTTATATGAATGATGTTATGCCCTAGATTTTCCACTATAACAGTAACAGGCTCAAAATCTAAAGGGCCCTTTAAGTGTCATTTGGGAATACTATTTCGCCTGCAAATTAGTGACCTTATATATACAGCATGACTACAACTGACTATTACACACTTACATTATCCCCTGACTTAGGGTCATATAGATGAGCATAGGACGATCCACCTGCAGCCCAGATTGTCTTGTTCCTTGGCACAAAGCAGATACCAGTTACAGTTGAGAGAAAACCTTCCCGTTTGTGCACCATTTTTCCATCCGTCGTCCATATTTTTATAGTTTTGTCAAATGACCCTGTAACAACCCTGTAACATAAAGAACAACATGGAATGATTAACTCTTTTTACATTTTCATTGTGAACTTATATACCAATTGTCTTTATAATGAGACATTCATTTCATACACGAGCAATGTAACATAAAGCAGAATACCTCATGAATGGGTGATCATCATATATTCAATTGAAATCTTCAACGAATGTGCAACTTACAAGGTCCTATTTATCAAGCAAAAGAATATTCTTATTTTATTAGAACTGGTTGCCATAGTAACTAGAAAACGGTACCTAAGACAAAAAAACTTGACAGAACGATCCCATTTACCATGTTTAATGTGGTTGGTTAGAATATTGAAAAATAAATAAATGAGAGATATGAGAACTTAATGATCAGCCCTTAAATTGTATGTATTGAATCAGATATTGGACAGATACATGTATTACTAAAATACCCACCAAGTATTGTTTTCATTATCTTTGGCTAGAATGAGACAAGAGATTCCTGCATCATGCGCAGTGGAATTGCTGAAATCAGACGAACACTAAATAACTATAACCCACAGTACAGCAAGGTGCAACACCTCTGTATACATGTAGTTAAAACAAAACAATTTTTCTAGAAGTTCATATTAGTCACAAACCTTACTAAACAGTCAATATGGTACAACGAAAATGGGACTTCTGCGCATGTTAAAATTTTTCGTCAAAACTCAACTTTTGTTCAAGTTGATACGATTGTCTTTCGAACTAGAGACTTACCTCATTCGAAAGATCATAAAAGACTTTATCTATACTGAAAATCTTAGATCCAAACATAGTAGAATACGCCGTCAGTCCGCATTTGATTTTTTGAAGTGAGTTTCGTAGATCGTCAGATTTCTCCGACTGATATCGGGTTATCTCAAACTGGTTCGTTTATAAATACCAATTTCTTTACCGTTGTAAGGCGCATGCGCAAAATTGATTTATAAACCTTATTGGTTGATGGTTTTTCTCCTGCGCATGCGTGAAGTCTGTTGAACAATTATGACGAAGACCGGAGCAAACATTACTAGCTCTTGAACGAAATTCCAAGATTCAGGTCATTTCGCCGTGTTTGCTAAGCGTGTATACGTAAATGACAAGCTGTTTTGAGTAGAACGGGTACCTGTTTTAGACACAACATTGATTTAGCTTGACATTGATGTGCACATTGGCACTTTTGAGCATGTTAATACAAGTTTTTACACGCTTAGCACGAGACGGGTTTTCGAAAAATCTGTTATCTGATTCACTTGATTATCGTATGGATATGCATTTCTGCTGACATTTCAACACCACATCACATAGAATTACGATGCAGAATGATAATAAAACACAAAACAACTACTAAATTCCACTTGTTATTTCACAGGAGGTAAAAATGCAAACTGCCTAGATTCTTTGTAAGGGTCGTCAGACATCGGATTGGCCGCCATATTTGAAATGAAAATATCACTAAATAGAGGTCTGCGCATGCCTCAACATTTCGACTGTAAAGATCATAGCCAAACTGTTTGCTCAAGATTAGATAACATCTCCATTATCTACCATATTATATTATTCATCTTATAAGAGGTAAGTAAAAGGAAATAAAGAGGTAAATATATATAAAACATAAATAAAATTGAAAAAATAAATATAAAATGTAGGAGAAAAAATGTAATAATCAAGTTAAAATTTGAAACTTACACATCATTGATTGGTTCCATGTCATCGTCATCTCCATTAAACGATGAGTTGTATATCAGCAGTCTCTGGTCATACCTTGAATATACATGTAAAAAACAGACATATGAATATTGTGTCTTTATGAAAATATTGTTAATTATAACTTCTGTAATTCAATTGTGCTTCGAAATATTATATTTTCATCAAAATATTGCCATGTCAGAACTACAGATATTTTTATCACACCATCGGTGGAATATAGTCATCAGGATGACAGTGTGATCATGTTTGTGATTGAGATCATTATCGTGGTCTTCCAGCTTTTTTCAAATAAACATTGGCAATGTGTCGCAACAAATTGAAACAAACTGGTGGATGGCATCATAGAAAATTAAGTGGAAGACAAATTACATACAAATTATCATACAAGTCCAATCTAAACTTCATGATCATAGTATCGACCCATAAAACACACCCTGCCAAAATACGTACCCTGCAGAGTAGATCCTGGATTCATGGCATACTATACATCTGACAATATCTGTGTGCTCTCTGGCAGTATAAGCAGGTTTCTTGTGCAGCAGATGACCACTTTCTTTATCTAAAAGTATACATGCAAATGAAGTTCAATATATCCATGGTTAACTTCATGATTTACAATACATGTACATGTCATTCATGTTCAAAAGTTGAATATTCCTTGTTCAACCAATAGAAGAGTACTGTATTTATCTTAGAAATATTGCAAAATGTTGACAGTTGTAGTTAAAAACAAAGTTAATCTTATATCATGTTTTATCATGTATCTCACCCATAGAACAAAATTTGAAAAAATTGCTTTGGCATCTACTTTACCTTTTCAAAAGTTCAACATCTTTCATTTATGTAATTTTCATTTATTTTCTCCCCTAACATAATTAACTGCTGACATGTCGATATCATCTATCTATGGTGCAACATTTCCAACAATTGCTTCAGGATATCTTTAACTCCTATCAAATCCTTGTCATATGGATTTTCTAAATAGGGCTGATACTTACTTTCATCAATGGCATAGACTTGTATAGCACCATTCAGGCCTAGAACCATTTGGTGACGTCTTGGGTTAATTGCCATGCAATATACTGGCTGGCCAATCTGGAATACATAGCAAGGTTATAATCATAGGCAATACAAAACCATGGGAAATTATACTCGCCCAAGAATACTGTCCAAAGATTAATTATCAAAGTGTGGAAAGTCCAAAGATTAATTATCAAAGTGTGGAAAGTCAAAATCAATTTTGCACTGAGTTTAACCCCTCCCTCTATTGCTCATATGTATTAATTACAAATTGTTAAAGGATATGAGGTGTAAGGCATTTTTTCATGTTTATAGATAGAATATTTATGCATATTGTGATCTAAGAATGAACTACTTCAATGTATTCTAGAGAAATAACAACAACAACAAAATTCATACTGAATAGTATTGATTTTGAAAACAGGTTATTTCTTGTTCAATGCCACAGTAAATACTGTAGATTTATTTACATTTGAATTAAATGTAACATTTTAATTATGCTTTTGTTTAAGTGAAACTGATTCAATGTTCACTTACATATATTCTATCAAAGATGGTGTTCCCAGAGGACCAAGCAACAATCATGCCATCATTGGCAGCAGACAGCATCAATTTCACATCTGAAGGTGACCTACATGAAAAATAATATAGTTTTATACATTCTGGGTTTTAGAGGTTCATAAATTCAAGTAATGATTCATTCAATGGAATAAATTAGTGAGCTATACACTGTAGATAGAGAAACATTGCAAGAAAAATGTACTTATGAGTACCACCATCTAAAGAATGGATGGTTACCTTAAACATTAAAAATACTTTCAAGTTGCATTAACATACGACAATATGCCACAACCAGTTATTGGGAGTTGTTAGAATTGGTTACAGACGCCGAACCTGAATGCTGACTGCCTTACACCATATCAAAATGTTGGAGACTACAGTATAACAATATGTCACTTCTTGTGGTGACATAACAAACATTGAATGGGCAATAATATCTAATTAATGTTCAACTTTTAAACTACCTGTATATACTGAACATTCAGTGTTGGTAGGTGTTCACTACAGAGAGGGTAATTTATACAGGAGTCAGTACACATTGTGTGCAGGAAGGGTTTCCACTAGAGACAAGTGTTCACTAGAGAGAGGTGTTCACCAAGACAGGTCTTACCAATACTGTATATGCAATTTTATAATGACACACATTCAACAGTTCAAGTTCTACAGTTTAGTACACTCACCAAAAAAGGAAATCTGTGATCCATCCAGTGTGTTCATGCGAAGTGTGCATCAATTTACCACTCTCTGCTTCATATGTCTTGATAACACCATCTAGAAACATAAATATTTGGTCATAAAGTAAGCAAATACAGGAAATTATATAGAGATTTTAAGTTTAAACAAAAAGCACTTTAACACTTATTTTTATCCCTGAATTTAAAATTCTGGACTTTCATTTATGGGAGTAACGTGCATTGAATGATAATTCTGGGGTGTATGTAAAAGACTGACCACCGACCAGTTAATCTCCATGTTTGGGTCAGAAATCCATAGTCAGAGGGGTCAGTCTTTTTAGTACACCCCATTATCTAGCCTAGGGTGAAGATATGATACAGCCCTAGTAATCTAAGTTTCTGTAACTGAAACATGCATACTCTTCAGCACATTTGTTTAGAAAGTACATATAATTTTAGTGAGAGGCTTTTCGCTTGTCATATTTCACGAGTTTTAGAAAATGAGCAAATCATAGCTCTCAAAATTATTTGTAATCTTGTGCAGTAATCTTTAAATGCAGGAAACGCAGGAGCAAAAAAACGTTACCAATTCAATTTTTGGAATAAGGGTACATGTATATACTAAACCAAATTGTCCCATGGTCAGCTTTTTACCCTCTGAACACCAACTGGTCAATCTTTTACAGTTACTTTTCAAACCCTATACAAATCGCCCTTTCTTATCTTATTTTGATGCAAATCGCTTAGTTTTATTCATGTCTTATTTCATTTCCAATGTTTTCTGATATTCTTTCACTTTAAAACTGTTTCAGCTTGTTGAAATGAACCATTAATCTAAAAAAAATTACTTTACTTTCATTTCACCGTTACTAGATGCTCCCGGATGTACCAGCGTACTATTATTAATTTGTTCTGTTCGGTATTTTAGTGCATTAGGGTTCGGTATTTCAGTTTACTTTTCTCGAACTTTTTCTCGATGTTTACTACTGAAAATTGCCGATGCATCGATGTACGATTATGACACATCGCGACAACACTAGTCAGAGGTTCCCCCGCCCATACACTCACAATTCTGTATTGCAATTCTCAAACAATACAGATCTGTACTGAGTGAAATCATGGGCAAAATAACCTTTTGACAACCAAGAAAGATACGACCACTCCCTCTGACTCGGAGTACATTTATAAGGTTTAGACTATATCCTCTAGTCTGAAATTTTCTCAGGAAATTCAGTCTATTGGATACAGACTAGTATAAGGTTACATGTAGCCTCCACAGGATTGTAAGCCTATGCTGAGGACAGACTCGCAGAGTGAGTCACTGACTGAAGTAAAAATAATTAGAAAAAAAATCTATAAAAATAAAAATGGAATAAACGTGATTTTATACCTTCGCATCCAAGAAGAATTTCCCTTCTGACGGGATGGCAACCAATTGCAGTGATCCCTCTCGTATGGGTCTCCTTCATGACATACTGCTTTTCCATAGCCATGATGGCTTTTTGGAGTTTTCGTCTAGTTTGTACGTTTTTTAAAAATTTTATTCACCATCTTGTTTCTTTCATGACGACCGGGTTCTACGCATGCGTGAAGGAAATCCACTTATCACGTGATGCCCTGTTAAGGTGGTATTCCAGTAAATAACTTTGCTGATAAACATATATTTTTTATGTGCTTATTTTGAAGTATATTCAATTCCTAACATTTTGGTACCAAAAAAGTATAGGGTCACCGTGGAAATTTTCGAGCTACACATCCGAGAAAAAATATGGTTTTACATGATTTTTCTGATTTGATGGATAGGGTTTTCACCATTTACATGTTATTTCAATGGGATTTTTTAATATTTGCTGACTCAACTTTGAACTACTAGGGCTGAAAATTTTACTGATAAACCTGCATTTATTTTTTGACATTTTGTTAATATGAATGCCTTCTTTCACATAAGCTAATAAAAAATATAGGTCACCGTGCGTTTTTTTACGTATTATGACATCATAATATGTTGGTCAATTTTAAATTATTTCTGCATTTTTGTGCATTTATGATGTTATAGCAGCAGTTCATCCATCTTGAGTACTCCTGTTCATTACAAAATACTTATTTAGAATTGATACACCATATTAAACATATATATGTATATGTCCTCTATTTTTAAACCACGCATAGTGTTATAATTGAGTTAGATGTAAAGTTAAGGCGTTAAATGTTTGCATAGCAACCACCTAGCAACGGGCAAAATACTCCAAAATGGCTCTCAACATCAACAATTGGCAAGATAAACATTGCTTTAGCAGCATTATACTTATTAAAACCCAGAGTATAATGTGTTATCTTCTCTTTCATATAACCATATTTTGCATAGCAACTGCATAGCAACAGGTCAAAATTGACAAAATAGAAGCCCTTATACATCATGTCACTATTTTGGCTGCATATCTGGATATTTTGAGTGAAAAAATCTTAAAGACCCAAGTAAGATTGAAATATGCTGAAACCCAGATAAAACCCTAGGGGTGAGGTCCTAGGGGTGAGGCTACATATAGCTGTTTTCTGCATAGCAACTGCATAGCAACAGGTCAAAATTGTCAAAATTACTAGAAGCCCTTATACATCCTGCCACTATTTTGGCTGCAAATCAGGATATCTTGAAAATGAAAAAAAAATGTTTAAAATATGCCAAAAACCGAGATAAGACCCCAGGGGTGAGGTCCTGATGGGGCCCTAGTGATACCTTACTGTCTGTCATAACCATTTTCCTCAAAGGACCCTAAAGTGCATGGCCAGGTACTGCACTACAGAGTTTCATTAATAGCTCACTGATTTCTAACAAGACACACAGTGATAAATATCGCACTTTGAAGAGCAAACTGGCCACCATGCAATTTACCCAGCATGGCCAAAACCTAATCAGACCTTGGCACTAGTCTGCTCTTGCATCTGTAAACATATCAAGTTGACAAGGTTAGCGGTTTTCCTGCAATTTTGATGACAAGAATTTATTTGTAGTCTTGAACTTTGGGAAAATTTAGATAACATTGTTTGTGACCTGATTTGATGACCTTCGACCTTGAAAATTTCACTTTTTCAGACCTCAGTAGGTGTTCTGTAATTAAGCTGACCTAAATTTAAATCCAAAATATCAATTTAGAAAATCAACTTTTTGACCTTTTCAAGGTCACTGAAGGTAAACGAAATGTCAAATCTGAAATCTAAGGTCAGATTTGAACTTCTGAGAACTTGTAGATGTTTTTAAAAAAAAATTTGGTCAATTTGGAGCAAGTTGAAAAATTCAAAATGGCCGCCAAATTGAAAAATTCAAAATGGCCACCATGTAATTCAGCCAGCATACCCAACACCTAATCAGATCTTGGCAATAGTCTGCTCTTGCATCTGTAAAAATTTCAAGTTGAACGGATAAGTGGTTTTCCTGGAATTTTGATGACAAGATTTGTTGAAAAATTCAAAATGGCCGCCACGTAGTTTACCCAGCATGCCCTCAACCTAATCAGATCTTGGTACTAGTCTGCTCTTGCATCTGTAAAAATTTTGAGTTGAAAAGGTAAGCAGTTATCCTGGAAATTTGATGACAAGATTTGGTTTATGTGCCGCCCGCCCGCCCGCCCGCCCGCCCGCCCAACAGCACAAGACGACGACAATATAGCACTTTTTCAAAGTGCGATAAAAAGGATCACCAGGGTCTCAATAGGTCCTCATTAGGATAGTATATGGTCTCTTTACATCCTTATTGGGGTCTCGTTAAGATACACATTTGGAAGAACCTTCTTTTTGTTGAAAATTATAAAATCACACTAAATCTGAGAAACCTCTGATTAAAAGTGAGAGATTTTATAGACACAGCATGGAATCAAAACATATTTAAAACCAGAATTCATATTGGGATACACTTTATAACTTGTTAATAGCCACACAGATCCTGGTCAGTGATCAATGATAGTCACAAACAAACATAGGTACTATAATTCTCTAAAAATTTCACAATAAGAAGAATGAATCAAGCTGAGCCATTGAACTCCAACTTAGACATAAAAAAGGAATGGCATAAAATGGAGAATATCTATTGGGTCTATAGTTTTTTTTACTTTAAAATAATATACAAGTTCTTTTAACATGTAAGAAGAGTATTTTTTATTCATCTACTTTTGAAATTATAAACATACAGAGTATAATGTTGAATTAACAAATGTCAAAAATGATCAAAATTCGCCAGATATTAAGTAGGCACCATATCAACCACATTTACATAAACGGTTGCTTGTAAACTAATGAATTTATAAGATAAATATTAGAACATTTACACAGCATAGCATTATAAAATATTGACAAAACTAGATTGCACCAAAAACTTAGCCCCAAAGAGATACAAACTGACAAAGAGGCAATATTAAATAAACAAATAAGAAAAATAACTATTATGTGAATCTTTCCAGCAACTCTCTTCTTCACATATTAAATAGTATACATGTCCCGTATTAATAAATTATGATTACTGAGTTTTATGATAAATAATAATTGAGGGCCTTGACCCAAAGCTATTTGTTCTAAATCGCCCAAAATACAATTTTAGGAAAATTTGATTTTTGTGTTGACTATTTAGTTCAGCTTTAGTACACTGCATGTGACCGTTTATCATCGTTTGTGTACCACTGGTTGTTGAAGGTGCCATTACATTCACTGTGCCTTGTAAGCTCTCCTTATAAGGTACAAATACCAAGGTTGTTTAAGGTGCCATTACGTTCACTGTGTGCCTTGTAAGGTTCAAATACCAAGGTTGTTGTATTTACTGTGACATTACCAATTGCAACCTGGAAATAGTAAATACAAAGATTTTATTTACTAGTATATTGTAAGTGCTTTTATGATATTTTAAAATGTTAAGTAGAACTAAGAAATCAAACAGAAGATGATAACAATGATATACATGTATGTAGCTTTAGCCATTTTACAAAGTTTATTTGCAAAACATAGAATATTTTACCTCCTCAAACTAGAAATTGGCAAATCCAGTGAGATCAGATCCCAACACACTATATTCATAAATCTATACATGTATATCACAATGCTATATTTACCATTTACTATATATCCTTGATTAAATTGGCAGATATAAAAGACATACATTAGAGATGTATCAGAATTTCCACCGATGCATTTGGGTGACTATATTAGGGGTTTCAAAGGCACAAATGCAATTATAAGGCAATACAATATTTGAGATAATATTTGTTGTATAATGTGGAATCAGAAAAACAATACATAATTGTGATCTACTCAAAAATTCCTTCAATTTGAGTATAATATAACCATACATTGAAAAATCATGAAATTATTGTGAAATCTCACATGAGGTGATGACCCTTTTTAATTTTCGAAATCTGAAAGAGAAAAAGTATAGAACATTTGCAATCTAGCTAAATTGCCCTTCATAAAGCTATACATCAGAAAGATCTCAAAATTAATGAATTACTCCCATCTCCCTCCATGGCAGTTACTATTAATTAATTGAAATATTTCTCAATAATTACGCAGGATTGCATTTGCTAGAACAATTGCACACTATCCTGCTGTCATCAGGTCATGGCACTAATTTTGAAAGTAGGAATTTTCTAAATATCAATCCAATTTCAAGCTGAAAATTTTGATTTTTGAGACTACAAATACTGTAAATTCAAGTTTCAAGTTCATTATTCAATAATGGTAAGACATCCATTGTAACAAAAATTGGAATAATGCTCTCATTGATAATGATGCTTCGTACATCAAATGAACTTGCCCATGGGATTGACTGTATCGACTGATTTATATGTTATTTCCCTACAATGCCTTACCATTGTTGTTTATTCCTAGTTCCATTGCTATTCCGATATTTGCACTTGTGTAATAGTTCGATCAAACTGTCATATATTACTACATGAAGTATTCATGATTTTCATCAGAATCAGAAACTGTTTCTTCCCTCTAAACATCATGAAGTTGAGTGTAGTAGGCTAGGCTGTAGTGATTCTGTCATTGCATAGGTACAGTATGTTCATGTTCAATTCCTCCTGTAGATGGTCCACTGATCCTGAAATTATAGATAAAAATATAATGCCTGGATATTGTGGTTGATAAGTTCAATATCAACCAAACATTTTTGTCCAAATAAAAATACATTTGACTTTGATAGCTGGTGTAAAAGGGTAGGAGGTCCTATCAAATTGTGGTCCTACTCTCCATTGATTTATATGGTGACCTAAATACACCTCTTTTCCTCATTATCTTATACACAATCAGGGCCAGAAAGGGCCTTTAAAAGGGGGACCATAATCCCTGGGGGACCATAATTTCATTCACACCAGTCAAATAAAGTCACCATTTCATATCAGATTTTCTGACTCTGCTAATTGCGTGGGAGACCTCTTGAGTTTGAAATAAATAAATGTTTTATTTTGATGATCGAAAAAAAGAGACCCTATCTGTTGCAAGACTTATGCCTGGCACAACCGTCACCATGTTATTAAGTGTTTTTAAGTTTCGCAAGGATCCTGCCATGACCATGGTAGTATTATCGTGATAGCCTGATATAACCGTGATAATGCTATATTATATTTGCATGGCCTGTCATGACCGTGGTAATGTTAAAGCGGCCTGATATGACCGTGACAATGCTATACTATATTGCAAGGCCTGACATGACCGTGGTAATGATAAAGCCTGAAATGACCGTGACAATGGTTGCAAGGCCTGTCATGACCGTGGTAATGTTAAAGCCTGATATGATTGTGACAGAGGTTGTGAGGCCTGCCATGACTGTGGTAATGTTAAAGCACAACATGACCTTGACAATGGTTATATCATTAAAGGGACAACGTGCTGAAATGAAGTCTCACTTTTGATCTTCATAGTATTTTCAATGGATAAATAAGTACCTGATCTTTCATTTGACACCAAAAATAGCTCAAACAGACCACATCAGACTTGACACTAGATCATGAAAAAATATTTTTGATCTATCAATTTATATGTGTCAAGTTTTTAGCAATGCCATAGAAAGATGGCACTGTTGTTTGCATTGATTATCCATTCATTTTTAATATGATTTTCAAGCATACGCCATCTTTTAATCCAAGAGTTATTTAAAACATACGTTTTGTGAAAAGTGGTAATTCACTTTTTTCAATCTCTGAACTTCAAATGCCGTTTTCTATGCGAATAATTTTTTTTTCACTTCAGTATTATCCCAAATTAAAGATATTATCATATTTGATTGACTGTGTGAGTGACATGTCTCAAATAATATTTTGTCCTTTTTCCCTTCAAAAATAGGCGCATTGCCTGTTTAATTGACATTTAGTAGCATCACACCCGAATAGCCTGACTACGGTAAAGTCAGATACCGTTGTCACAAATGGCGGACATAACGCGCTTCAACTGTTTAATCACTTGGTTCTCATTTCATGGGACTTAATCATCGCTAATTCTGTATGCATTAAGCTCTTGTGATTAATGTATCATCTGAAATCCCATTTTTGATCAAATTTGGTCCCGAATCGCCACAATATAGCGTCTTCGATATCGTCAATGACAAGTGAACGGAATTTGAATTTGAGTAATTTAGAAAGACAGAAAGGCATATGGTAATTACAATTACCACGGTCATGACAGGCCTTGCAATATTATATAGCAATTTTACGGTCATATCAGGCTTAACATTACCACGGTCATGACAGGCCTTGCAATATAATATAGCATTGTCACGGTCATATCAGGCTTAACATTACCACGGTCATGACAGGCCTTGCAATATAATATAGCATTGTCAGGGTTATACAAGGCTTTCACGATAACAATACCACGGTCATGGCAGGATCCTTGCGAAACTTAAAAACACTTACTAACATGGTCACGGTTGTGCCAGGCATAAGTCTTGCAATAGATAACATGTGAAAAAAATGTTCGAACTAGAGTCAAGGTCTGTAATTCGAGCCGGTTGTTAGGTTTATCAACAGTTCAGACTTGATCAGTCTATGCAACTTTAATGAACAATAAAAAGGATAAATTCTTCCAGCAAAATACCGGCAAATTCACGTGTAATTTTGAGATGGATTTTAGTGCTCATATACTTGCGATCACATAATATATTGCATTTATTCATAAAATTAACACTACCACTTACTATTAAATACCAAATGATCGCACAAAATACAAAAGTTCAAAGTAATTTAGATCAATTAGAATTTACACGTATCAAAATGATATTCGGAAAAGGCCAAAAAGTCCCGATAATCGAGAACCAGGAAGTAATTTTTCCTGCTTTTGATAGATTGCAAGCAGAAAAAGATATTTATTTGGTAGTCCTTACCTTTATGTATAGTTGCTATGATGTTTAATGCTACGACTCTCCTCTGTTTGCCCGGTTGAGACTGAAATCGTCCCGCCACAACGTGAACCATTTTGTTTCTAGGTGGGCGATAATTGGTGAAAAGTTTCAAAGACGTTTCAAAATTACGACAATCAAGAGTCCTATTTATCCTTGTAATGTATTCTATCACCACAAATAAACATTTACAAAGACACATCCATTCATGCTGGATATAGATTTTATTTATTTGAGTAATATACATAAAATAACCAAATCACGGCATCGAAACCGAAACCAAAAGTGAGATGCGTGGGAATGATGCGCACTCGTCTTTTTTATTTACTGGAATACCATCTTAAGGAAATACCAACAAATAGTGATTGATAATATGAGGTTTCCCTCCGACTACTGAGAATTTACTCTTCTAAGAAAACCTGTTTCATTTCAAACTTCAAAAATGAAAGGAATGGAGACTTCTAATCGACGAAGTGACTTCAGTGTTTGCAAACGTTGGCCTTGTCACAAGTCGGCCGGGGTCGTGTCTTCCGAGCCTTGATGATTTGGCCATGGGCATGATTTACTGTCAGTGTACATCTACATGTAGTCTAAATGCGTTTTGAAATGTTGTCATCCCATATCAGTTGTGACCGACCTGGGTGCCTAAGATTTTGAAGGTTTATCAAAAACGAAAGAATTTTGGCCTCCTTCTTGAGTCATGATGCTAACTGCAGTTAGAGTCATCCGGGCTGTGGAAGTGGTAATAATTCCACAGCCTGATGAATGATCAGGCCCATCCGAAGGATTTTCCCAAGGCGGGGCGACTTTCACGTACGAATCGATGGACTTTGCCGAAGACACACCAGGCGAACTGCGACACGCGCCCACTGGCACAGCATTGTCGGGTCATGTATGGCCGTGACGCCGGGACGGTCATATCTTTCACCGGAGTACTACATGTAAGTTTCTGGCCATAAATACAGTGGGTTGACAATGTTTTTTTCAAGTGAAGTCCAAAAGATAGTAAAACATCAATCAACCTCTTTGAAAAATTGTGGATTAGGACCCCACCTTGGCACTTTCAGGCTTACATGTATTTTCTAAAAAGAAGAGTGGGTCTTGTAGTCTCAATTTAAGCATATCAAAAGTTTCTTCTATACTGTATTTACAATTCCTGAAAAGGGAATTGTATTTGAAATGCGCTAAATTTAAAAACCACTTATCACATGTTATTTTTTCCCATTAGGAAAACTCATGCTATCCATTGTTTTCAGCATAATTTTGGTCATCGAAAATTGATATCTTCAAAACTAGAGCTTCAAACAATTCTAATTTTAGAGACGTTTTAGACCCCTTGTTGAATAATCTTTTCATGCAATCAGAAAAAGATCCTCTTTTGAGTAAATAGGCTGAAGATTTTGGAAAAAAATGTTGGCATGGGGGTCCCTATTCATAATTTTAATAATTGATTGATTGATGATATTTTAATCATCAACGGCACTTTACTCAAAGAAAACATATTGTTTTAATAAAAACCACTGTATTCGTGCCCAGAAAGTAATCGTGGTGAAAGATATGGCTGTCTAAAAGCACTTGCCATACATAAAATTAATAAACTATTGATCATTGGGTAAATTTGAAGACAGATTTTGAAGACAGATTTCTAATTTACATTTTTGAGTGATTTTTTGTGTCAGAGAATGACAGGTTCGCGCAAATGTGATACCTCTTAATCTACAAGTCGTTGATGATATACAAACATATACAAATCTTTCTTCGATTGAATTCTCCATCTGCACATAAAAAATCATTAATATTCCGTCCTGCATTAAAGAGAGAATCAGAGATAGCGAGCAGGCTAAACAAAAAATTGTTTCAATTTTAGAATATTTTTGGCTAAGGTCATTCCTTGTCATGTCTATTTTCTAAAAATCACAAAAGTGCACACTTTATTCAAGGAAAACGAAAGATTTTTTACAATAATGTAGTATTTTTCTATAAGAATGGTTACCATTCTTATTATTTGGGAGAATTTAAACATTTTTCACCCATTTTTGCACTTTGAATCGTAAATAACTTCACCAATTTATAACATATTGTGAATCTTTTGGGAGATATTGTATTTGATATTGTAAGGAATAGATTGCTAGGTCAATTATGCATGTTGCTTGTAATTTTGTCACCCCCTATAGATCTGATTCTGCCTTTAATAAGAAAGTTATTTAAAAATTAGTGGGTGGCATTTTTGTGCCACCCTGTACACAGGATTTACTGTATTGAATTTTTGACCGTAGGCTTAAAAAACTCTTGATTTGTATATGCGTGTTTGGGATGGTAGAATATGTCATGAACTTGTGAGGATCCATGACAGAGTATAAAATTGAGAGAATACCGTAAATTGAGAGGATAGATAACAGAGGATAAAATTGAGAGGATGTCCTAAAATTGAGAGGATAAATGACAGAGTCATTTGTAAATTGCTTGTACGCCATTATTCAAAGAAGACTGAGATATTTTATCCGAGACAACTTGATACCATTATGACAGGGCCTATAAGTTTTATCTAGAAATCGAGCAGCAAGTACTGTAGGTTTGAACTGGCGTGGGACAACGTTAACTATATAGGATGATATAGCGCGGATAAATAAGTATCTTATAAGTAAACTATCTTTTGATTAATATCATGGTTAATTCACATCAATGATTGAAACTGTGAAATGAGCTGATAAAAAATGAAAAAATTGAAGTGAGCTGATAAAACATATATCAAATTAATACCATCAATATATGTGAGGGAAATCACGAATATGTTTTGAATGATTATACATTTTATAAAATTATTATATCGATGCTATTACTCTCCTAATATTGACATAACCGGGGCAATAATTAATAACTATTAATAAGTCTCACGACAGATCACCCAAATTAAAGAAAACAATACATATTATGTAAAGGGTAAGAAAAATAATTTATTTTATGTTTCCTGGTTTTTCCTATTGGCACTTGAGAATAAAATCCATAACAATTCATATGGAGTCAACAATTTAGACTAGGTTCAACACTAGCAAATTGAATGTTCTAATAAATAGATTACGATCTTATGATCATATCAAGTCCATTTCCATTTCCAAGTCGTCTTCGTTTATGGCTAATGTTCATGGTTGGTGATTTAATATTCTTCACCTTCCTCTTCACCCTCTCCCTCAACAGAGTCGACACCGACCTCTTCGTAGTCCTTCTCGAGAGCAGCAAGATCCTCACGGGCCTCGGAGAACTCTCCCTCCTCCATACCCTCTCCGACGTACCAGTGGACGAAGGCACGCTTGGCATACATGAGATCGAATTTGTGATCAAGACGAGCCCAGGCCTCAGCGATGGCGGTGGTGTTGCTCAACATGCATACGGCACGTTGGACCTTGGCCAAATCACCTCCGGGGACGACAGTGGGTGGCTGGTAGTTGATTCCGACCTTGAAACCAGTTGGGCACCAATCGACGAACTGGATGGTACGCTTGGTCTTGATGGTAGCAATGGCAGCGTTGACATCCTTGGGGACGACGTCACCACGGTACAACATGCAACAGGCCATGTACTTTCCGTGACGGGGATCACACTTCACCATCTGGTTGGCTGGCTCAAAGCAAGCGTTGGTGATCTCAGCGACTGAGAGCTGCTCGTGGTAGGCCTTCTCAGCAGAGATGACTGGGGCGTAGGTGGCCAGAGGGAAATGGATACGTGGGTAGGGTACCAAGTTAGTCTGGAACTCAGTCAGATCGACGTTCAGGGCACCATCGAAACGCAGGGAGGCGGTGATGGAGCTGACAATCTGTCCAATCAGACGATTCAAGTTGGTGTAGGTTGGACGCTCAATGTCCAAGTTACGACGGCAGATATCGTAGATAGCCTCGTTGTCGACCATGAAGGCGCAGTCGGAGTGCTCGAGGGTGGTATGGGTAGTCAAGATGGAGTTGTATGGCTCGACGACAGCGGTGGACACCTGGGGAGCGGGGTAGATGGCGAACTCAAGCTTGGACTTCTTGCCGTAGTCGACGGAGAGACGCTCCATCAACAAGGAGGTGAATCCGGATCCGGTACCTCCACCGAAGGAGTGGAAGATGAGGAATCCCTGGAGACCAGTGCACTGATCGGCCAACTTCCTGATGCGGTCAAGGACAAGGTCGACAATCTCCTTACCGATGGTGTAGTGACCACGGGCGTAGTTGTTGGCGGCATCCTCCTTACCAGTGATCAACTGCTCGGGGTGGAACAATTGGCGGTAGGTACCAGTACGGACCTCATCTAAAGAACAAAAAAAATACACTCATAAATATTTGATTGAAGTGTTGATTGCTTTTGATAGCTTGTTATAACACATGTCCAGTCATCATGCAGACGGGGACGTAAGCTCACTTTCGTTTTTTGTAAGATATTTCAAAACATGACAAGTTTTTCATTTAAATTTGAGTATCGCCAATGGCAACCCAAAGTTACACGCTGATCTATCATTGTTGAGAATGAAATACGAATTCAAAAAGATTTCAATCAATGTCAACTTACCGACAACAGTTGGCTCGAGATCTACAAACACGGCTCTTGGTACGTGCTTTCCGGCCCCAGTCTCACTGAAGAAGGTGTTGAATGAGTCATCGCCACCTCCGATGGTCTTGTCACTTGGCATCTGACCATCAGGCTGGATTCCGTGCTCAAGGCAGTACAACTCCCAGCAGGCATTTCCGATCTGGACACCGGCTTGTCCGACGTGGATAGAGATACATTCCCTCTATAAATAAAATATGACAAAACGTTAATAAACACAAGCCTTTTGTAAAACGTTTAATTAATGAGAACATTTAAAAGTTGCGATGGGTCAAGAACTCCATCGAGATTCCAAGCCTTTCTTTAATATTCTTAATCAAAAAGCTACTTTACCAATACAAAAGTTAAATCATTACTTTATATGATAGATGAACTTACCATTTTGATTGGTTTAGTTGAGTATTCTTCAAGTAAATGAAAATAAAATCGCTTAAAAACTCTCTTGCAGTTTGACTTGTAATGAGTCGGCAAGTGAAATGGCGATAATAACTGACAACCGCTTTTTATATCGTTTGGTAACCATAAACAGTGAATTCAAATGCCCATTGGTTGATATATTCAAATCTTATATATTTTCAAAATCTTATTGGGTCTTGGCTTGGTAACCCGGTAACCATGAAACATTCAAATACGGGTTCTTTGTAAACATTTGTATACACGCACTTAATAGAAATCTTAATCCAAAATAAATACCTAGATTTAAATGTTGGTATGCATTGATCTTTTGTTAAGAACTTACAATTCATATTGTGACTCACCTAAATAAAGCTGCTTAAATGTCTGAACGTGGAATTGATATGAATTGAGTTCATTTTTTGATAAAAATGAGATCAGCTTCAGATTTCACAAAAAGAGGAA